TTACTACCAGATCTATATCAGTTTTACTCTACAGCTGCTGTTTTGGTATACAGTATTTAAGTGTTTATGGTTTACTGTTTGGAGCGCTCACATACCACTGTTTGGTTTTTGATTATCTTAATGATTAAGTCGCTCCCCTGTATGTGATGCAGCCCCCTTCTGTTGAATAGATATAATAATCTATTTCCTTCCCATTTTTCAGTGACGTTTTTTACATTTTTACCCATCTTTTTAATGTCTTACCCCTTTTTCTGTGACTTACCCCCCTTTTGTGTCTTACACCCCTTTAGTGTGTCTTCTCCCCCATATTTCCCCTTTGTATCTCACAAACCACTTGCTTATCTCTTACTTTCACCTTTTGTGTGTCCTACTTTCCCCAAACCCATTTGTGTGTCCCTTTCTTCCCTCCCTAATTCTCATTATTATTAGTCAAAATTGTTTTTGAATGGTATGAAAACTTAGCTGGACTTCACTGGGAGCCTCATTCCATCTTCACTATCTCCTCCTTTCCCCAGGCCCTTTGTGTGTCATTGTCCCAGTCCCCAGCATCTCTGCGTGTGTAATTTTCCTCTTCTCCAGGCCCTTTTGTGTGCCCTTCTCACTTCTCCCTTGCACACCTGCTTACCTCCACCGAGCAGACTGCGGTAGAGGAGCCTCTTTTTCCTCTACCTGGACTGACAGGAAGCTGTTTGGTGCTCTCACCGAGCACTTACTGTCAGACAGAGGATAAAGTCCCTGTACTGTGGCGTGTTCCGCTCGGCCAAGCAACATTAAATGAACAGCAGTAATGGAAGCTATGTGGCACTCCTTCTGCTGGTCACCCGAAGCCCTGATATTGCACCTCCAGCCGGCCAGTGTGTCCTAAGGTGTCCACCTGTGTCGTCTTATGGTAGTGCTGGCCCTGAGTGGATGCAGTGTCTGTGTAGTGGCTTCAGTGTGTGTTCTGGATACAGTGCATGTGTAGTGGATGCAGTATCTGTGTAGTGCGCATTTGTACTGTTGAATAAGGACTGTGAGGGAAAGCAGTTTTGTTTTAGTTTATAATTAAGTTTATTCCACCCTCCCTGCCTCTTACCTGTGACTAGGAATGGGGACACTAGACTCCCTGGTAGCCCAGTGGCACAGCATGCTTGCACAATTAAGAAGGGCCCTTGCGTAATTTCCTCTCTCTCCAAGCTATGGTTCTTTCCTCCAGCAGCAAAAGGCTTTTGCCATGGCAACCCACTGAAATGATCTTGCATCTTGCGAGACGAGAAGACCTATTGCTGCTGGAGGAGAGAATCATAGCCAGGAAAGTGAGGAAATGAGACTCCAGGGATATATATATATATATATATATATATATATATATACACACACACAGATAGGTGGTCCCCTACTGCAGGCTAGTTAAAGTGCTGCCTGGGGACATGGCCCCACCTTTGGACAGGCTGGCCCTGATGGGGACTGTAATTTAAAATACAGTGCTCTACCTTTAGGTCAATTCTGCAATAAACTATATAGGATAAACTGACTAGTGGTCTTCATTAAATCTTCAAAGGACAATATAGAGCATAGTGATATTTTATGAAAACCCAGTAATGACACAGAAAACCAAAATCAGGTTAATTAAAAACATTTTTATTTTGTCAGGACACACAGGATCATTTTATTCAGGGATGCTAGGTTTTCACCTCCTGCTTATTTCTCTGTCTACCATGGGCATAAACTGATACTACAGTTTCTGCAGAAGTAGCTGTTGGTGATGTTTGTGGAACCTCGGTAAGGCCCTCAGTCTGAGGTTGTGACTATGGTCATGCGATCCAACCTTGTCATCCTGATAAGGGAACTGATGGGTATGAAGGTGTGTGAGGCATATGGAAGGCTGGTGGCACTGGTGAAGCTAGTCTTTATGGTGGTGGTGGCAGAAAGCTTGAGGAGGTAATTTTCCCATTTTCATCTACCTTGCACAGGAGATGCATGTATCTTAGGTGATCTTCTGTGGAGAGGACATGATAGTTTATGACACAACTTAAACAATGAAAATAAATAGTAACAATCAATGTGACTTGTAATTCCTAAAACACCATTACTTATATTCTATGCTGTTTTCTTTATGAAAGAAACACTGGCAAGGAGTTTCAATACATGGGCTATTTTACTTAAGTGTATTGTTGGAAATATGAAATTCACAGGGAATTTTAATGTATAGGTCAAAACCAGCCATTTTTTTTAATTTTGACCAAAGATTTTAATTTATGGCAGACTAGATGGGCTCAATGGTTCCTATCTGCCATCACATTCTATGTAATACCCAGCAATTCACAATAACTCACAATTTAGTGAATCAGCCCACGAGAAGAAAGAAGACAAAGGCATATCAGAAGAATAGTCTGAGCAGTTGGTAAAAATCTCCCAGGAGCTCTGTAAATAAATGATAGGGGGAGGAGGGTGTAGGTGCTGCCCTTTCAGGCAGGAGGATCCACACAGGGGCAAAGCCTTGTACTACACACCCTGCCCTTAGTATCAGCTCTACCCACAGGGGTGGCATGGTGGACCAGGTCCCTCACATTATTATTTTAGCAACTTGGTAACAAACAAATCGTTCAGATATTTTAAATCCGAGCCTCGATTTGAAGCATCCAGCTGTAATTAGACTGGCTTAAATGTGGGACATATTCCAGCTCATTTGAAGTCTGTTTTGTAAAATCTGGACATTGTTAAACATTGCTAACTATGCATCCCAAACAAAAGATAGGGGTACCAAAATTCAGCATATAAAATTCTCACACTCTGGTGTAGAACCCTGTTATTTTTAAACGGTGTATTTCCACCTATTAGCCCATAGTAGTGGTGGTATACATAGGTGTGCGCACGGGGTGTGCCGGGCGTGCCTAGGCACACCATAATCCCCGCGGCAGGCTTGTCAGTCCATGCAGAGCTGGCGCTATCCGAGGCTCTAAGCCTCCATGGGCAGGTGGGGAGATCAAAGATCTCCCTCAATGGCACAAAGCAGCATGGAGGGAGGCAGTAGAGGACCTGGCTCTAGCCAGCAGCTCCGCCGGGTTCCTCTTGTGAGATCTGAGCGTTGCCGCGGCAATGCTCAGATCTCGAGCATGTGAAATCTAGCCCTGCAGGCTAGAGTTCACTCTCCACTGGACCACCAGGGATGGCACATGACAGCAAGGATCCTCCCTCCCTACATAAGGTAAGAAGGGAGGGGAGATATTTACTAATCTGCCCCCACCTCCACCTCCACAATCCCACCAAACATACAGCACACACACACAGCACCCCCACAAACACAGCACACGTACAGCACCCACACACACACAGCACCTACACACATACAGCACCCACATATACACAGCACCTGCACACATACAGTACCCACACACACACAGCGCCTACACACATACAGCACCCTCACACACAGCACACAAACACACACAGCACCCACACATATACAGCACCCACACACACAGCACACTAACAGCACCCTCACAAACACACACACACACAGCACCCTCACACACACAGCACACAAACAGCACACTCACACACAAACAGCACCCTCACAAACACATGACACCCACACACGGCACACAAAGAGCACCCTCACACACACAGCCCCCTCACACAGCACATTACCAGCACCCTCACAAACAGCACCCTCACACACAGCCCACTAACAGCACCCTCACAAACACACACACACACACAAACACCCTCACCCACATAGCACACAACCAGCACCCTCACACACACATCACACTAACAACACCCTCACAAACAGCAGTCTTACACACACACACACACACACACACAGCACACTAACAACACTCACACACATATGTATATATATATATATATATATATATATATTTATATACATACATACATACGCGGCATGTGTTTGTGCTTTAGGGTGCACAACCTAATGAAATAGGCTGCGCATGCCTATGGTGGTATAATCAAGCTGATAGTCCAGGTTTACATGTCTGGTGGGATTACTCAAAAATAAAAAATAATATTGGAAACAAATCCATAACACAACTTATTCATTGTCAATGTTACTATTTCTTTCTCTCGATAGCTATTATCAAACCTAGAATATGTGAATTCTTATTTTATTACCTACTGGAGCTCAGTCACCCATCATTGCTTAATGGGATACTGTAGGCACTACAACTGTCTAAAATCATCAAATTGCTTGTAATTTCTGGAGGGTTGTAAAGGACCGAAAGCAGTCAGATGACTATCAGCCAATCACAGCCATCCATTTCTGCTCAGGCTAATACTTCTACATTAGCTCAAGCAGCAGTGAGGGAATGGGCTGATAGGTACTCTCATTTAGCATTAAAACCATTAAAAACTCAATGGAAGGGTGGCTCCAGGAGACTCCAGACAATATATGCACTTCAATTATATGAAACACTTACATTCTTCCCTTATAGCAGCACTCTCAGGCCGAACTTACCTTTCCCCAATTGATTAATCTTCTCTCCCTCTGTCAGGATCTGTTCTTCATTTCTTCCTGTCTGCTCTAGTTTTCGTTAAAACATAAGACAAAGTAGGGACAATTTTGTCTTATGCAGGTTTCCTACGCCTGACCAGCTATGACCAGCGGAGGACCAAAGTGTGCTTCATTTCCTGTGGTCAGAGCGATTTGCCACAATTCTCACCTTTCCTCCGTCATCTCGCCATGCCTCCTTTCACTATTCCCGAGCATCCTATCATTTAGATAGAACGCTGTCGAAACTTCCGAATTTCGTGCTAACAGAATGAGAACAGTTTCTCCATTCGGGACTTTGTTCGGATCGGAATTTCATTAGAATGAAAGAAATTCCGATCTATTTGTGCCGCAGCTGCATCTTGCAGCCACTTAGTAATTCCCACGGTATTAGGGAGCTATCTACCAAAAGGCTGAAAGACCTAAAATGGTCTTTCAGCCAAATTTACTAACAGTAAGTAAAGATTACTTAGTATTAGTAAATTGTGCCCCTACTCGCTATATCACGAGTAGGGGCATGTCTACTAAACAGTGAGCAGCCTGTGCTCTGAGTAATTTTACTGACAGGTAAGTCTCTACATTTATCTGTCACAGCACTCTGATTGGTTAGCTTGGAATCCAACCAATCAGAGTTCTCTGAGTAATTTTACACAGTGTGAGGAAGTTCTTTTGAATTTTCCCATGCTGTGTAATTTGACTCATAACTTTCTGAGTGGTTGATTGAAAGCAACCAACCAGAGTGCTATGAGTCAAATTACACATCATGAGAAAAGTTTACAGCAACTGGCTGCTCACTGTTTAGAAGACATGCCCCTACTTGCGCCATAGCGAGTAGGGGCATTCGGAAAATTTTAATCTCCCTTATGCTATTATGGGGGTCATATTGACCCCATAGAGTGAGGGAGGACATGGGGGGCTTAGGAAGTGGTGGGGAGCACAGCTCCCTGCCGTTTCTATTTTTACATATTACAAGGGGGGAGCTGTGTGCTGGTAGCTCCCTCCTTGTAATAAACTAAACGAACGAACGAAGAGGTCTTCTGATGAATGAATGAATAGATGAAATTTCTGTTCAAATGACCAAGTGTTTAACTGGGCATGCGCAGGAATTTCACATCGCTATCTAGTGTGGGCAGATGACGTGTCCCACAGGGACTTCATCTACCCACACAAGGATGGTGGAGCCCAGGACCTAGGTCCGTGAATGAAATAAAGATGAAAAATAGGTAATATGGGGGGCTTAGGGGCATTTGGAGGTGACTAGGGAGACAATTAGATGTAGTGGAGTCGGGAGCGGGGTTAAAAAAAACCAGGATTTGGCCATGACAGTGCCGCTTTAAAATCTCTGTGTTATTATTGTATTATAACTATGGAATCCAGAGTACTAGTTCAATATATTAATTTACTTTTATTTATTTATATACATTTGCATTGTATTGTATAATGTTATATGCATTGTGTAACGGACCGCCTGGCCGACCGGGTACCTCCGTCTATCGCTGCTTCCTAGAACTTGTGAGCACCATAAGAACTGTACTGGAACACCATAACCACCGTAAACCCCATGAACCACCGCAGCTTGGTTGGGGTCTCACCGTCCTCCACCCACCCTGGACCCAAGACCAGAATCCAGCTTCCAGTGAGTAGACCTCTCCTAGTCCAGAGACAGAAGCATGAACAGCTCTTATAAGAGCTAGTGATTATACTCAGGGGAGTATTGTGATTATAGCAATCCCCAGAGTAAATGTAGTTCTCCAATACCCCAAACATGAGCCCACACTTCATGAAGGGGTAAACTAATTTCTATTTAATGGGAGCCACACTATGACAATCCCCATGCAAAGGGCACGCCCACAGGGACCTTGTTGGGGACAGGGACACAAACTTACAAACCAATAATAACACATTTTTTCAATGTAAGGCACTCCCACATAGCACAGAATCCCCCCTCTGCTTGGGAGATAATTGGATCAGTAACTGTACTAATTCTAATCCAATTATATCCAAGCACAGAAAAAAACATACTTTTAAAAAATGTTATATCCCCAGATAGCCCTGATCTGGGTGACCAACATATCAAAAAATCACCCAGATCAGTTCAGGGGTTCAGGAATTTCCTGGAAGTCTTATTTTTGACCGACCATGCACATAGTTCCATGCCCAAATAGTTCCAGAGAATTAGTGCTAACAGTCAGTCTCTCTGTCTGGAGTACAAAAGTACATACTTCACATGAACAGAGCCTTTCAAAGTATTTTAGCCAAGTCTATTGCAGAGGCCAAAGTCACAGGGTAGGAGGCTGGCAAACAGGCCCCTCCAAAAGCCAGTGGCGAAGTTACTTTCGTCACACATAGGATGCAATGTATATTTTCTTGAATAATGCAAAATATAGTTGTGTACTTTCTAAACCAAAAACATTAACACAAATTGAACTACCCCCCACCCGCTGCATAGAGACAAATAGACAGATACTAACCTATTGCAAAAGGCATTGATCCTGAGTGCACAGTTTTCCGATAGCTTCATTTATCTAGTAAGAAAATAAAAATATTGAATTATACAAACTGTACACAAAATAGTCATATATATTAATTACAATGTGAAAGTAATTCAAAGTAAACATATATGTTTGCTGTATTTAAACTGTAAGACATTCATTTCAAAACTAAATAGCACAATTGGCCTTTTTTTTATTTTTTATTACTATAAGTACATCATTGCATCCTATGACTTCATATTCCTCTGTGGGCCTGGCATAATCTATAGCACTGACATAGACTGTTACTCAGCTGTCTTAAATTATTGTTTTCTGTTTATTGTGGAATCTAAAGCTTTGGATCTCTAATTTATTATTGATTTTGATTTTTTCTTTAAAAAAAAAAAGTCAGTGAAATAACGAGAAAGCATTGAGATGAAAGCATTGAGATAAAGCTGCAATTACATTTGCCACATATTTCATATCTTTAAAATATCAAAACATACAATGAAGTAATTATCCTTTTTCTTTACTTATCCTTTGTGACAAACAGCAACCACAGATTCAATAAATAACGAGATACAGGTCTGGATCATATCTCTAAATCTGTCTTTGGACCATAATAGAAATATTTGAGATTAACGTTATGAAAAATAATTTACAGATTATATGGTCAATACAATAAAACTCCTGTGATTATTATATATGTATAACCATTTTTAACCCTTTTAAATTCAACATTCATTCCATACATACTAATGCAAAACAGAAAATACTGTAAACAAATTCAAACATTCAGAAATACCATTCTCTATTTCTCTCTCATATAACTTCTATGCACATATATGAAAGCGACACTCCAGGCACTGACACAACGCATTTTACATTTTTAATGACTTGATAATAAACAATGCTTTCTACATGCAGAAATCTTTATGTTTTTGCTAAAAAAAAGAAAGAAAGAAATGTTTTGCAGATTTCTGTACCATAACCCTGCCTCTTGTGCCAATTCTCCTCTATTCTAAAATAACTTCGTTATTAGTGTATTTGCACAGTTCAGCCACTCGCACAACTGCAGGTGAGGAACAGCTGGAAGTAACCCAGCCTACATGAAAAGAAGTGAACATATAAGTATATTGCTACATGTCTGACTGTTGTCCTTGTCTGCTGCTTGGGTGGATTGAATAGACCACCGTCATTGTATATCACAGAGGAAAGGAGGAAGAACTGCATGGAACATAGACTGGGAGGGAATCATTAGGTTTCTCACTGTGGAAGTATTCTTAGCACACCTCAGGTTGGCACTAGTGTGGGATGGCCAGGGCAACAGGCCTAGGTGAAATTTTTTTAATTTTATTTTTTTATTTCAGATAGGTACCTTAACACTGCGTAGCTGTTAACACTATTGTAAAGTGTATGTAGCTTAAAGGTCCCTCTATCATCATTAATATGGTATTGCTTTGTTCATATAACATCAAATATATATCTCCCACAAAAGGAGAGAAGAAAAGAAATAAACCATTGGGATAAACCTTTATTACCTCCTATATTATCCTATTTCCTCCCCCCTACCCACCCTTATCGTAATTATCAATTTCTTAACCCTAATAAAACTCGCTTATCTAATAGACCTAGTCTTTATTTGTGGACCGAGAGAGAGCCCCTTAGTCTCGACTACTGTCGTCAACTATTCGATCAAGTTTTAATATACACCCGATTAACCCATCTGTTCCTATCTTATTTCCAACACATTACATATGCCATTCCTCTTATCCTTTTCCCAGTTCCAATCCATTTCTCTATTTGAGAGGCCCTTTATGGTGTTTTTAAAAACAGTTCTAATTTATCTATCCAGTTGTCCCAATATTCTATTTGTATGTGACGATTTTTTAAACTCACCAAAATACCTCTTTCCATGTTTGCTTGCCAAATTACTTGTATTTTAGTTTTTAGAGACTATGGGGGTGTGACAGATATGTTCTTAGGGAGCTGAGCAGAAAATTAAAGGAATAATCCATGCACAATAACTGGAGCAGAGGTGTCAAACTAATTTGTTCTTACATTTTCCACTGAAATAGATATGATTGAATGCATACACATGCACACAAACAAGTAAAAGAGCGAGCACAAAGAACAATTTAACAAAAAAATATGTATTTCTGTGTTAGCGTTAAAAAGCCTCATACAGGTAGTAGTCCTGATATCTTTTGCAGCAACTACAATGAATGCACTGTACCATATTGCTCAGACAAGCTGACGTTGTTCTGATGCTCATGTACTGGCAATGATACATGCATTATTTTTTGAACACACACTTAGACATATCTGTTTAATTTATACAATATTATCAAAAATGGTTCTGAAATCTTGACATATAATGTTTTCTTACATGCTAATCTTGGATCTGTCAAAATGTCATTACTTGCATGTTGTTCCTTAAAGGCACCACAAAAAAAAAAAAAAAAAAACCTGCAGTGATCAAAATATCCAATGTTCTAATCACTGCAAAATCTCATGGTCACTCTGATATCCTAATTCTCCTTGACCTTCATGCTGCATTTGACACTATTGATCATCAAAAGCTACTTCTTATTTTCCACAATCTCAGTCTATGAGCTACTGCTTTTACCTGGTGCTCCTCCTACCTTTGCTAGCAATCTTTCAGAGTTTTTTTTACTCTGGCTCTGCCTCTTTTCTCCAACTGCACTGTGTTGATGTTTCCCAACTCTCTGTCCTTGGTCCCCTGTTCTCGATCTATACTGGCTCCCTTGATGAACTCACCAGCTTCTTTGACTTCTCATATAATTTCTATTGGATGACACTCAAATCTATCTGTGTTCTCCTGATCTCTCACTGTTCCCAGTGGTGTATCCTGGTTTTGTGCTGCCCTAGGCAGGACAAAACTTAGGCACCCCCCTCCCCCTGCGCCACCCCCACCCATCCCTTCCCCCCCGCCCCACCTTCTAAATACACACACACACACACACACAAACAGTCACACACACACACACATACACACAGTCAGACACAAACACACACACACAGTCAGACACACACACACACACACACACACACACAGTCAGACACAAACACACACACACACACACACACACACACACAGTCAGACACAAACACACACAAAGTCAGACACACACACACACACACAGTCAGACACAAACACTTTTTTTTTTAATTTAACCCCCCCCCCCAGCCTCCTTACCTATGGGAGTGCTGGGGGGAGGGTTCCTCTTTCTCCCTAGTGGTCCAGTGGCTGCCGGTCAGGCTGATGGGCTGGCTGCTGGGCGGGCGGCTGGCGAGGGAGCTTTTCCTCTGAGCTGACTGCTCAGCTCCCTCGCGCGCCGCAGAGTGAGGCTGGGAGCTGGAATATGACGTCATCTTCCGGCTCCCAGCCTCACTATGCGGCGCGCGAGGTAGCTGAGCAGACCGCGTTTTTGCCGCCCCCTGAAAAATGCCACCCAAGGCAAATGCCTTGTTTGCCTCGCGGCTAATACGTCCCTGACTGTTCCTCTTGACTCGTGTCTCTGACTGCCTCTCTACTATTTCTGATAGGTTACTCATTTCCTCAAACTTAACCTGTCCAAAACAGAACTTCTGGTCTTCCCTCACTTAAGTGTTGCTAATTTTGTGTCTCCCTCCATCCAAGTCAATTATCTCTACCTCACAGGCTCACTGCCTAGGTGTTCTCTTTGATTCTGACCTCTCCTTTACCCCTCATGTACAGTCGATCACCAAATCCTGCCTTTTACATTTCGCGGCTAAGGTGCTGGTCCATGCTGCTCTCTCTCTCTTGCCTTGACTATAGCAAAATGTTGCTAAGTGGTCTTACGTGCTATAATGAATGCGGCCGAGGCTCATCTTTCTGTCCGCCCACACATCCCACACCTCCCTCTCTGTCAGTCCTTACATTGGCTTCCCATTAGATATAGGGCGCAATTCAAATTCTGGTACTTGTTTACAAATCTCTACATAATGCTGTTCCAACCTATATATCTTCCCTAATACACAAGTATGTCCCGTCTGTGCCCCTACGCTCTGCCAAAGATCTACGTCTATCATCTGTTCGTACCACAACCTCTGATGCTCGCCTTCAAGACTTCTGTAGGACTGTAGTCTCCATTCCTTCAAAAAATCATTGAAAACTCACTTCTTCAGGAAAGCATATCAATTAAACAGTTCATAGCTTTCCCTTCCTGCACCTAGATTCCTCTCCTGCAACTGTCATAAAAAAAAACTTTAAAAAAACAACAACACTCAAGCCCTCAGTTAATACTATATATCATATGTCACTATAACCCACTCCCTTTAGCATGTAAGCTCATCCATCAGGACCCTCAACCCCACTCTGTTCCTGTGCGTCCAACTTGTCTGGTTACAATTACGTGATCCACCCACTGTACAGTGCTATATCTAGACAAAGCTAGCATGGAACTATAAATTCTAGATGTAATGAAAACTTCTTTCACATCTCTTTCAAGAGATTGACAAATAAAACTATGCATTTAATTTCTATAAAATACATTTTTATAGAAATGGTGGGAGTATTAGCATAATAGCAGCATATACACATAATAAAGAATAAGCACAAATTCACAATTTATAGTATCATATGCAAAGTTAAAGCGGGGTGAGGGTACAGCCGATATGTAGCTAAAATTGATTAGTTAAGTACTGTCAACAGATGATGATCTACAGCACTCATTTAAATGATCTAGTTGAAGATAACATGAAAAACCATTTAGCACGTGGTTATTTATACAAGGGAACATCTTCCATTAGTGTAACAGGATGTAAATTCGTATGCAAAACAAATATAGCTATCATAAGATGTGGTTTTCAAACAGAAGCTACTGATGTATTTATGCATGCAAAACTATTATCTAATTTACTAATGGAAGATGTTGTGCATATACTCAAGGACAAGAACTAAATGTTATTTTTTTTTTGTTACCTTTCATTTATGTGATCAAGTGCCTTATATTGCTGTCTGTAAAAGGTATTAATGGCTATGTGGCTGCTGGCATGGAATGCAACATATGCTAATTTGCTCTCATCCTTTTGTTACCCACATCTATGTGCCTCTGAAATGTTATATTGTTTTATGTCTCTATACTAGAATGGCATCTCCAGTACATTCTAAGTGATACACTTCCTTTTTCCTTGCTGAGTCACAGTGGATGCTCATCCTTAGGGCAGCACCAAACCAGATCATTATTGTCAGATTAAAAATCTATTTCAAAGCTGAACACTCCCAACACACAAACCAAAAGCAAAGAGTATCATGTACTAAAAAAAAAAGAATAATTACTGGTTATAAAAGAGGCTTGACTTGCATATGATAGTGTAGAATACAATTTGTTGAACAGACAGAGAGGAAACAAGGTCAAGTTTTACAGAATAATGTGAAATAAATTAGAGCCAAATCAAAGATTATCGAGGTCAAAGCCGGGTAAAAAACAAAATGCATACACTTAGAATGCATTCTCGAGTAACAGAGACCACTAAATGGCAGATGCATGGATGGTGTGGTCTTAAATAAGCTCAGAACTGCTATAATTGACTGCATCAAAATCATATGCTTCTAGCTTTGCTGGATAGGCACGGACTGGCCTGCATAAGAAGGAGGCAAGGTGGAGCGGTACACGTCAAAAAGGACACCAGAATGATGCACGTTGTGAATGTGTACAGTGGCATCCAGAGGGCACAGGGGTCATAACACATGGCCAGTTGTAAAAGAATATACTACTGGCAAATTTGCATTATAAATGATAAAACCTATTATTATTATTATTGCTATTTATATAGCGCCAACGGATTCCGTAGCGCTTTACAATATTTTGAGAGGGGGGGTGTAACAATAAATAGGACAATTACAAGAAAACTTACAGGAACAATAGGTTGAAGAGGACCCTGCTCAAACGAGCTTACAGACTATTGGAGGTGGGGTATTAGAAACATTAGAAACATACTGTACTATAATTTTCCACTCCTTTTTGCACCACAGCACAGACTAACTGATAACAAGTGATAGCTGATGAGAGTAGCTGAGCATATATAGAATTTTGGTTCTTTGTGAAAAAAACCAGTCTGAGTGTATGTCAGACAGCTTATACTGCTCCTAGTAGTAGTTTGTAAAGTGCCCTTTTTTTCTCTGTGGATGTCCAATGTACATCTAACTCAAACTTCGTACATGTTCACATCAGACACTGGTGTTTGCAAGTTCAATCCCTACACTGTTATGTTTTTATTTCTATAGTATTTTTTATTTAACACTTTTTGAGAATGCCCTTATTAAAGCTTAGCCAGAATGCATTAAACTAATTTTGAGTTTCTTTTGCATGAACATGCAAGAGTAAATAGGCATATTTACAGCTGTGCTCAAAAGTTTGCTACCCTTGGAGAATTGGTAATATATGTACCAATTTTAAAGAAAACATGAGTAAGCAACCAAAACACATTTCTTTTATTTCTTATGGGATTGATCAACTGTAGGTTATAATAATGTAGGTCATAATGCAAGTGGTCTGCCAGTATTTTCTGATAACATGCTGCATTCATCTTGCCATCAATTTTCACAAGATTCCCCATGCCTTTAGAGCTCACACACCCCCAACACATCAGTGAGCCACCACTATGTTTCACAGTGTGGATATTCTTTTCACTATAGGCCTTGTTGCCCAAACATAGCGCCTATGATTGTGACCTATTTTGGTCTCATCACTCTAAATTACAGTGTGCCAGAAGCTGTGAGGCATGTCAAGGTGTTGTCAGGCATATTGTAGCCAGGCTGTTTTGTGCCATTGGTGCAGTCAAGGCTTCTTTCTGATAACTTGACCATGCAGCTCATTTTTGTTCAAGTATCGTTGTATTATGCTCCTTGAAACAACCACACTGGCTTTTTCTGGAGCAGTCTGTATTTCTGCTGTGGTTACCTGTGAGTTTCTCTTTGTATCCCGGACAATTCTTCTGGCAGTTGTGGCTGAAATCATTCTTGGTGTACCTGACCTTGGCTTGTTATCGATAGATCCCTGAATATTCCACTTCATAATAGGTGATTGAACAGTGATTAACCTTTGTTGCCATTTTAACCTGTGTATGTCACCTTGTGTGTCTGTAACAAGGCAAAATATCCAAGGGTATGTATACTTTTGATCAGGGCCATTTGGGTAATTTCTGTTATGGATACGATTTAAAAAGGAACCAAATAACTATGTTATACTAAATGGATTCATATGATCACTATCCTTCAATAAAACAAATTGTTTTGCATGATCAGTCATATTTTCAAAATCAATGCATTCAGGGTGAAAAATAAAGCATTAACTAAGGATAGCTATATAGCATATCTCAGTTCCAATACCAGCACTGCGATGGGAGTCTACTGATAATGTGTCATCTAAAACCAGTATCGTCAGGGTTATTTACTAAGGCTAAAATTCACAGTGAATTAAATTTTTTGATTTTTTTTTTTTTACAATTTGTATTTTATTGGTTTCCACAATCAAAATACATCTGATTTGTGGTATGAGAAAAATGATTAGAGGAAAACATCTTTAAAGCATTTGCGAGGCGGTATATGTAGCCAGTATTAAGCAACTATGGATAGCATAACATTACATAACATCTGTTATATTGCCAGGTATTATGGCGGTTAAGGTAGGTGATGTCTATTAATATTGGTTTGTCTCAGCCTGGATAGGGCAGAGGTTGTAGCAAAAGACTCTGCTGAAAGTAAAGGTAAGACAAAGAAAAATAGACAATTAACAGCTCAGATAACACATTACATATAGGGATACTAGTTTTATGGACTTCTTTGCCATTCTGGTGGGGTGTTAGAGCATCATGGAGTCACCATCACTGCATTATGTCTAAGATATGCTCGTGGTAGTTCAGAATGAGGACTTTGATTGAGGAGGGTGACCTGCCGCAGTGCGCTGGTCCCTATCTTCTGGGCTTTCACTGAGGTTGGTGTAGGCACCTTCAGTTTCTGGAGAAAAGTCTCTTGGTTCTCAGGAGAGGATAGAGTAAGTATACTATCCGATAAATACAAACAAATGGTGAGCCGTGCTTAATAATTAAAAAGGATTATACATACAATCAACGGAGGAGGATAATTGTGAGACGTATCGTTAACAAAGAAATGTACAATAGTGTAATACTGTAAGAAATGCAGCAGTAAAGGGGAAGGGAAGCAGTACTAAACGTTCTCCATTGCCTCCTAGCCTCTATGGGCATCAGAGGCAGCACAGACCCAGGATTGATAGTCTCAGCATTTAGGGTCCGCAAAGCTGTTGCTGCACCAAGAGATGTGATTGTAGTGACTAAAGATCTATCAGTGCGGTCTGCCATCATGTCCAGATCCAGGGAGCTTGGAAGTATCCAATTTGAGTGCTGTGCCATAGCCATATATGGTGATCTCCCATTGGCAGTACAGGCGGTGAAGAGACAACTGGCACCGGTGGCCAAAAGGCTGAGAGATACGACAATCAGATATCGTTGGGAGACAGATGGCATCCTTCTGGTCCCGCAGGGGGACAGTATACTTAGGTACAAAAAATAATTTGTATAGTGTTCTCTTATCACAAATAGCAGCAGTCCACCTACAAGGAGTTCCCACACCTTGTGAATAACAAGCAGATAAATACAAACAAATGGTTATTTAAAAAGTAATTAAAAAGGATTAAAAAGTAATTAAAAAGGATTATACATACAATCAACGAAGGAGGATAATTGTGAGACGTATCTTTAACAAAGAAATGGACAATAGTGTAATCCTGGAAGAAATGCAGTAGATATAAACACAGTGCCAATAGAACACTCACACTTTCCAGAGCTTCAATTAGCTCTAACATTGCACGCGAGGACAGAACAATCCCCATCCAAGGATATGATGTCAGATATCTTGAACAGCAGTCAGTAATATATGTGGAGGGAAGTACAGATAGGAAAACCAATGGTGTAGTCCAATTATAAAATGCACATATTATACAGGTAAGTATTCTACTTACAATTTCCAGAGCGTGAACCTGCTCTGATATGGAGCACTTTGGTGGAATGATCCCCACCCATGGATTTGATGGATATCCAGGGAGCCAGGTGAGAATAAAGACAGAAATCCAAAGAGCTGGTAACTGTTAAAGGGCTTATGTTGCCAAAATGTTGGGTAGCACTGTTATTCTACTCCTGTCTATTGATACTAGAAGGTAACACTTAATACGGGGTTTGATTGTGCCATTTTCTTATAGTTTATGCTGATTTTTGTATGTTCAAGTATTTTGATTGCATGCCTATATTACCTTGAATTGTGCTTTAGGGGTTTGGTCCAGGTATTTGTATGGCTTATCATTATAAATTCTGGAAATGGGAAATGTACACTGATCCCAACTGACAGAGTGACAAAACTAAAGCATCTCTCAGCTGATGTAGCCAGGGGCAATGTGTTTCACATCCATTTTTATCATGTCAAGGAGGCATTATTCATGGCTGCTTGGGAACTTTGAGCCTTTCCAGAGCTCTTCATGCACATCTCATTGTTCGCCAACCTCTCTGCCGCCACAATAGTGTATTAAATTGGGTGGGGGAAGGACAAGTGTATTAGAGTGGTAGGGGGTGGCAGTATGTTGAATTGAGGGGCAGGGCAGTGTATTAAATTGGAGGAGGAATGGGGGAGTGTATTCAATTAGAGTGTATGGAGGAGGCAGTGTATAAGATTAAGGGGCAGTGTATTAGATTGGGGGAGGGAGAAGTGCATTAGAGTGGAGGGATGGGGGCAGTGTATTCTTTAGAGTGAGATGGGGGAGTCTGTATATTAGATTGGGGGAGGTTGTGTAATAGATTGGGGGAGGCTGTATATTGGATTTGGGGGCAGTGTATTAGAATGGGGGGGAGAGGGCAGTGTATTAGATTGGGTCTACATGGAGGCGCTGACTGGCTGCTCCGTGTTTTGCCACACATGCACGATAGCCTTTGATGATCTCAGTCAAAGTGAAGAACACACTAATAGTGTGATGGATAGAAATTAATGTGTGTAAAATGTCTATTTACTATGTATACCTGTGTTCATTTATTACTCAAAATGGCTGCTATAGCACCCCCCTCCCATCGACCAAGACCCTTGTGTAGTAAGATGGCGTCTCCATCCGCAGTTACACCTAAGATGAGGATGACATCAACACCCTCTAGAGGAAGTCCATCAAGATTAGGCACTTAACACCTAACCAATTAAATGTTTACTTTACTAAAACACCTAACACTTAACCAATTGAAAAGTTTACTTTCTGTATTTGCATACATTGCATTCTTTGCCTTTTTAAGGGGCTACGCCGCCCCCTGACAATACACTTTTCATTAAACTGAACCTTTCTGTGTCAGTGTGATTTCTTCGGCGTGCACGCTTTATTACATTTAAACCATTTGGACAGGGGCAGATATTCAAGCAAACACTTGGTTTGGTCTAAAACAATAGAACTTCAAAATCAAGAAGATAATGTCATTTGTATTTTACAGTTGCGCAACAGCATACATTCACCATTTTAGCCCTACTGCCAAGCTTTTCTTAATATGTCAAGGTAGTTGGACCGAAACATTGGTTATTTGCAAATGCACGGTTTCTTAAAATAAACTCACTCTTTTGTTTACTTTGAAGCCCCATGAGTGTTTAGGTTTTACCAAATATTCTACACTTATTCAGAACCCTACCTATATATCAATTATTAACCATATTTGGTGTTGAACGCTCACATATAGAAAGCAAACATCCCACATAAAGACTGCTGGTTGCCAATAAGGGTGGGGAGTCTAGGGGTACCACATATCTGTACATACTACAGAACCTCAGTACCATTTACACTATATAGTTTTTCAACTCTGTGCTCCTTTGTGGTTAAAACTAGCATGCGCATATTTATTTCCTTTTCTTGCCCAGATGAATTCATTTATGAAATTATTTCTGGGGAAAACCTCATTGGGCAAACCCCTTTCAATCTGTTACTTCTTGGTAGCCAAAATGGCATTGCCTGGTAAAATTCCATACAGGATTAAATGGGAGCAAGACCACAGAAAAAATATTTTACCAAGTAGCAACGGCTAAGTTCAGGCTCCCAGATCAAGTGTACCTCTAGAATGCATACAGAAACTTTTTAATGCCTAGCAAAAATTATTCCCAGATACCTATGTTGGAGATGGCAGTAACAGGAGGGATCCCTTGTTCATATTTTTTTGGTTATGTAAACACTTTACCCACATTGGAAACATGTACAGACATTGGTGTAAAAGGTAACTGAAGCTGAGCTGCTTTTTCCATTAGACTATGCTTTATTAGATATGTTCCCTTGACACTGTCAGTGAGCTTCTAAATGTACGGTGCTATACATTTTGACAACCATGAAGATATCATACCTACCTCAATTCTGTAAAATATGGGTAAATTGTGCATCTACCTTCCAGTTTGCCTCCCCAACTTAATTTATTGATAACCTTACGCATATTCTAAGATTATTCTTAGATTTTACAGATACACCTTACATATAGTCACTTGGTTGCCTGCTCCTGCCTGTTCACTGGAGATGATATCTGTGACAAACGCCAAGTGAGTTTCAAGTGAGTTTGCCACGAGTTACTGGAGGAGCCTGCTAGCCAGCCTCCTGCCCACAGACTATGGACCCTGTAAAATGTGATATAAAAGTCTCCATTTGTGTATTTGGACTATATGGTTCGTGAACCGAACAGCCGCACGAACAGGAGATCACCCTGGAGCTTGTTAAGCCTAATTGCTACTTTGTAACAATTTCCACCTCAGTGTTCTAAGTGTTCGTCTGGGTGGTCGCAATTCCTATGGATGACCACGATGTGGCAGCCATCTTGTTCGCATGAACGCAGGCAGTGGTTTTTGGTCGTCGAGTTCATGGAACTATTTTCAGATCCTGAAACTCCTGAACACCGCTGGACTTCCATGATCACCTGCATTCGGTTTGACAACATTCAGAAAGACACTGTTCAATGGAAACGTTCCCACGAACAAGGGGAACAAGCTCCAGGGTAAGACTATTGACTCTGTTCGGTAGTTTGTTTGTTTTTAAACTACCGCATTAGACCGACTGCAAGCCCTTATCCTCTGTAACTATTTTGGGCATGGGACCATGCGTGCGGCCGGTCAAACAAATGACTTCCAGGAAATTCCTGAACGGATCTGGGTGATTTTTGAATATGTTGGTCACCCAGATCAGGGCTATCAAGGGATATACCTTTTGTGGGGTTTTTAATGTATTATTACCTCCATCTCCACGTGCCACGTGGGGGTCGATTAGGTATCTGACAGCTGGAGCTGGTGGGGAGGCAGGTAGGGCAGAGGCCAGTTGCACTGGTGCCAGCTCTTCCACTGGGGTTGCAGGCTGCCGCTGGACAGGGAAACCGGTTGTCTCTGCTCCCAGTAATACACTCTGCTGCTGGGGAGGAAGGGCGACATGCTTCTCTCCCTGGACTGCACCCTGCCACTGCAGTCTCTCCCAGAGTGCCAACTCGCTTGCCAGCTCTGCTGTGCACTGCAGGTACTTGGACACTATTTTCCTTGTGCTCTGTATGCTTTTCTCAGCGGGGTTGGGTCCATAGAAAGCCAGCAGCCTCTTCAGCATATCGTCAAACTCTGCCTCAGTGTAGCTGGGCGCCATGCTTGTTTCCACTCTAGAAGATGTGCAGGAGTCCCAGGGGTGTTCTGGACGTTCCCCCAAGGCTAGGAAGCCATCCCACTGAGGCCACCAGGAGGTAGCAGTTCAGGGACCCCAATCAAGCCACAGCGACTGTGGGCAGAAATGCTGAGGTCTGTCCCATGTTCCAGCTAGGAAGCGGTCCTTTGGCGGAGGTACCCAGTCGGGATACAGGGAGTTCCGTTACAATATCTATTGGTTATTTCTTTATTATTGTTATTCTATTTTGTTTATTGATAATTTTCTTTGTGCACCTTTAATACATTGACCACAGAATTTTTGTTAGCACTATGATTCTTGTCTTCAGTGCTTATTCATCTCGGATATGCATGTCTTCATTTTAATTACAGATATGATGGGTTGTGGCCTGCACATACACTGTACCCACTGTTTTGTATCCTAAACATTCTTTCAATAAATAAATACAATTAAAGACATTTTGAAATGCCCTTTGAATTTACCCTTTAGTGTGTGTATGTCTACTCAAATAATAGCACTGCTTGTTTCTATTGAAAATGAGTCCCCAGTTCCAGCACTGTGCATATCTGTTGACGAATCGTGCCAGACTATACCCTGTTTTTAGATTTTGCAGTTCTAATATTGTTGCATCCTTTGCAAGGATAAGGATATTGTAACCTCTTCACTACCAGGTATTTTTTTAATATTTGCATAGCATTTATTTGTGACATGGAGTGCATAGCTTACACATACATATATTATAAAATAGGTATTTTGAATACAGATTACAATTCAGGCAGCCATAAAACTTACTATCATGCAAATACACACAATTTTTTATTTTTCAAGAATTATTTCAATCTATTTTAGAAATACTAGGGAAATAAACAGCTTTAGACAGCACTGAGTATTTTTTATAAAAGCAACAATAAATTTTTCGGGCAAAAGGAAGTGGGTATGACAAAAATACATAAAAACAAATGGTCAAATAATCAGAATTTTAGATTTTTAAAAAACTGTGATTGACTTGCTAACAGCTTACTAAAAAAAAGGAATATCTGCATTTGAGCATACTGCCCACATACAATAAATACAGTTAAGTATTATATTTCTAAAATAAAGCTGTTTTTTTTTTTTATCTTTTATGGTAATCTCTTTAATGCTAAAAGCGACGTATGAAGAACTCATTCCCTGCTTATAATCTTTGAATTAACTTTACTATTTGAACGGGTGGGGATGGCTGCCATTTTCAGGACATTTGCAGACATACACGGGTGGAATGGGTTCTTGAAAAAAAATGGGTTCTTGGAAAAAAAAATTTCCCTTGAAGCTGGTAATCTTTCATGGAGGATACTTGTAGGTAAGTGAGGCATTATAGACTAAATTTAAAGGGCCACTAAAGACCATTTCCTCTCAATTAAGTGGCCTTGGTGCATTGGCCCCATACTTTCAATCCTACACTGTAGCAATCTGCAATTTTTTTTAGGGTTAATTCCATTTCTAGTGGCTGTCTAGTGGCTGTCATACCATAGGAAACAATTAAAATACAATGCTTGGGAAGCTTGGGTGAATGCACGGCACTCACATGGTATGCTCATCAGGTCTCTAATTCTAATTTAAGGGGTATGTTGGATTGGACCATCACAGAGGAAGCCATGCCTCATCGATGTTGTGAGAGGTGGAGAGATGAGCAGTGCTGATGAAGCCTCTGTGCTAGAAAATGGTAAGTAAAATGTTTAAATGTATTTAAGGGACACTATAGGCACCCAGACCACTTTAGCTCATTGAAGTGGTCTGGCTACAGTGTCCCTATTGCACTTAGTGCTGCAATGCAAAATATTACAGTTCCAGAGAAACTTCAATGTTTACACTGCAGCACTAAGTATGCCTCCAGTGGCTGTTTAACAGACAGCCACTGGGGGCCCTTCCTGGATCTTAATTGACTTTTACGCTGAACGAGGACATCCAACGTTAGCTATTTCCCCATAGGAAAGCATTGATTTAACCCCTTAAGGACCGAGGACGGTTCAGGACCGTCATCGGCATTTTTGCGTTGCCGACCGATGACGGTCCTGAACCGTCCTAACGGTCAGAGCTACTTACATGATCGCCGTCGTTCCCCCGGCGGCGATCAGCGTGGCTCCGGTTGTGGGGAGACTGCCTGCAGCCCAGACAGTCTCCCCACGGCAGATTAGGACCCCTGTGGCCATGTGATCGCTTAACACAGCGATCACATGGTCACAATAGGTGTCCAGTGTCTGCCTGCAGGGGGACTGTCTGTGCTGACAGGCAGTCTCCCTGCTAGTGTAAAATCAGAAAAAAAAATAAAGTTAGTGTTAATAAAAAAAAAAAATTATATATGTGTATACATATATGATATATAGACATATATTATATCAATATAATATATGTCTATATATCATATATATATAATGCCATACTAAGTGTATTTTTATATTAATATGTACTTATATTAATATAAAATACACTTATAATTAAATTACACACGTATATATATAATATATATAATAACTATATATATTGTATATATATATTATTATAAAATATAAATAATAAGTAATTTAAATGAAATAAATTTTTTTTAAAATAATAATAAAAAATTACAAAAAAATTATATAGCTATATGAAATTTTATTCTAACTGTATTTTAAAATTAATATATATATATTTATATCAAAATACACTTAGAATGAATTTGTATATATATCTATGTATATAAAAATAAATAAAAATAATAAGAAATATACATACGTCCATATACAAAATTACATAAATAATTATATAAATATACACGTAGACTTCAAATATATAAATATGCATATATATTTAAAATCTACGTGCGTATTTATGTAATATTTTTACATAATTCAGTAATTTTATTGATTGCAATTTGAGGGACCTGCCTGCCAGCCCAGGCCGAAATTCCAGAGAATTGAATTTGCTAGCACTGTATTTTACCCTGTAACGTTCTACGACACCCTAAAACCTGTACATGGGGGGTACTGTTTTACTCGGGAGACTTCGCTGAACACAAATATTAGTGATTCACAACAGTAAAACATATCACAGCGATGATATTTTCAGTGAAAGTTACTTTTTTTGCATTTTTCACACACAAACAGCAGTTTTACTGATGATATAATTGTTGTGATACGTTTTCCAGTTTTTAAACACTAATATTTGTGTTCAGCGATGTCTCCCGAGTAAAACAGTACCCCTCATGTACAGGTTTTATAGCATTTTTGAAAGTTACAAGGTCAAATATATGGGTCAAATATTTTTACATTGAAAATGGCCAGGCTGGTTACGTTGCCTTTGAGAGCGCATGGTAGCCCAGGAATGAGAATTACCCCCATGATGGCATACCATTTGCAAAAGAAGACAACCCAAGGTATTGCAAATGGGGTATGTCCAGTCTTTTTTAGTAACCACTTAGTCACAAACACTGGCCAAAATTAGCGTTCAATTTCGTTTTTTACTTTTTTCACACACAAACAAATATGAATGCTTACTTTGGCCAGTGTTTTCGACTAAGTGGCTACTAAAAAAGACTGGACATACCCCATATTGAATACCCTGGGTTGTCTACTTTAAAAAAAATATGTACATGTGGGGTGTTATTCAGAGATTTATGACAGATAATAGTGTTACAATGTCACTATTGATAAATTTTAAAATGTATGTTTTGAAACCGCAATATCCTACTTGTACCTATAGCCCTATAACATGCAAAAAAAAGCAAAAAAGCACGTAAACACTAGGTATTTTTAAACTCAGGACAAAATTTTGAATCTATTTAGCAGTTTTTTCATTCGCTTTTGTAGATGAGTAAAAGATTTTTCAAGTAAAAGTCAAAAAACATGTATTTTTTTCAATTTTTCATCATATTTTTTTATTTTTTTTAAATTAAAATACATGAGATTATATAAATAATGGTATGTAAAGAAAGCCCCCTTTGTCCTGAAAAAAACAATATATAATTTGTATGGGAACAGTAAATGAGAAAGCGGAAAATTACAGCCAAACACAAACACCACAAAAGTGTAAAAATATGCCTGGTCGCAAATGTACAACATCGCAAAAACAGTCCAGTCCTTAAGGGGTTAATGCTTTTCTATGGAGAGGCCTAATGCGCATGTGGTATTTGGCGCATGCTCATTGCAGGACGGTGGAGGAGGCAGATCCAAGTGATATCGGCGCTGGGAAAAGGTACGTAAATAAAGGGGTTTTAACCCTTTATTCATGTGGGTGAATCACTTTGAATTTACATTGATTCCTGTACATTAAACACTGATTTATGAACCAAGTATTGTATTGAAAACCAGTTACAAACCTTAGGTAAAAAGTGCTGGTATAAAAAAAACATTTCTCCAACTTGGCTATAATTACAGCTTGGCTATTTTATGCAAAATTATGCAATCTGGTTTATAATTCACTATAAATCACTGTTTAATGAACAAGCCCCCTTTGGTTTTTGTAATACTGTGGTGTTATTAATATTGTTTATAAATAAGTTTTCTTCTGAGTCTGCAGATATGTATGTGTTATTATTTTCAGGTTAATTTCAATGAGCTTAGGTATCTAAAATGGTGTTGAATATGTCTACGCTATAAGCACATTTGAAGATTTATAAATATGTAGGTATGAGATATCCTGTAATACGCGAGGATTATTTTTTTAGAGCGACTGAGCCTTGTTAAGTAGCATTATACATTCAGCTTTTGAAACAATTTTATACCTGCAGAAATAGGAACATTTTGTAGAGCAATTTCAAATGCCCATCAAAATAATCCATTACTCTCAGATAAAGTAAACTTAAAAAAGAAAAAAAAAACTAAAGCAAAAATAGTTTCCTTTTAAAGGGACACTCCAAGCATCATGACATATGCTTCTTCTTTCGGTTTTGGTGAATACCTATCTCCTACTGTCTTTCTGTCTTTTTGCTTGTAGTGTATTATAACTGCAGCAATTTACAAAAAAATTTCTAGCTATAGGTCCACCCCATAAAGTAAATATGCCATGAGGGAACTTATGCTACCCTCTGTCATACAAATACTTGTACTATCTTGGGGGGCAACTGTCAGTTATGTTCAGCTTACAAATGAACTACATTTTCCAGAAACCTTAATTGAACCCTTTAAGCTCTTCTGTGTATTTAAGGAATTAAGCAGGTTAGAGGCAACCTCTAGAGGCTCCATAGCCACAAAAGCCCACATTAGTGGTTATGGTGCCCTCCCACAGTATGTAGTGAAACTGTTTACGAATGTTTTGACAACTTACTTGAGGTTCACTGGAAGTCTGAATAGCTGAGAGCTCCATTGGGTCCACCGAGCCAAGCCGTTCTGCGCAAGGGGGCTCACTGGCTAAGAGCATCTGTTGAGCCTCTGTGCAACCCCAGGATTAGCTCAGGAGCTTCCAGCGCCAGAGTTGTCACAGTGGATGCCTGGGGGTACACAAGGTAAGTTCTCAAACTGTTCTTAAACAGTTTGACTGCTTACTGTGAGGGGGCACCAGCCACACAGCTTGTGACCAAGGGCTTGACACTCTGTGTGCCATTGGATGTGTTTCCCCTCCATGCAGACTGTTCTGCTTTAACATAAATATTCCCACCACTGCTGCTAGCACAGACATCTTTATAAAGTCATGCATGTGCAGTACTCTACTTAGTGGAAAAGAGTTGTGTGACATTGGGGGAGGTGAGATGAATTAAAGTGGGATGCGAGAGAGGATTTGGGTTTGTGGGGGACACAATGTGGAAGGAATATCAGGGGACAAATTGAGAGGATTAAAATGGGTTGTGGGTACACGGTGAGAAACATTGAGGGTATAAGGTGGGAGAATTTAGGTGCATGGGTGGGGAACAAGGTGAGGGGAATGTGTGGGTGGGGGAGACTTTGAAGCATAAATGAAGAAGCACAACTGGTGAGAAGATCTATAAATCTGCCAAGGAAGGGACCAGGGCCTTCTTTTGCTTGAGGGCTCAAATTGCTGTTAGTCTGTTCCTGAGCACCAGGACACTCCAAAAAGCACAACCCCTACAGAAGGCTATAGGTGTTATGGTGCTTGGAGTGCTCATTTAAGGTGGCATCATGATTGACTGAGTTACTTCAGTGTATGCGCAGAGTTAATTGATGAATAAGCATCAATCTACTGCAAATAAAGGGCCTACAAATGTAATTTACTTTGTATTTTTAGTTAATTTGTGCATACATTTTGTTAATGTATAATATAAACAAAGCAGTAAAAATGGATTAAGATCAGTCTGACATGATTCTATTTATTTTTTTATTTTGAATTCAACACAATCTGTATTCTAGCTTTAATGATATAGGAGGTCGATACATTATTTTGGGTACAACATAGATTAAGACACCAGTCTACTCTAGATAATCTGTTTCATTACTATATGTTATCCTTTGACAGAGCTTCAATAAAATGGCTAAAATATCTTCAATAAAATGGTGAAAATACTGGTTTCAATGTACTCTCAACATTTGGGTTAGTAAATCACCCTTTTCACATGTTACAAAAGAGCCGTTTCAGTTCCAGTTACTATTGTTGTGGCTTTGTAATAGGTTAGCTATCTCTAGCTCCGATCCCATCTTCTCTGTGATGGAGGAGAGAGCTATCTACAGCAGTCCTACATTTCCAAAGAGTAATAAAACAATACAGAGGACACAATTCTACATGAGGAACATAGCCCCTAAAAGTTGGATCAGATCAGTTGTAGACACAGATGTTGAGTAGTCAGCATGGCATTTCAGATTATATCCATGAGTCACTTGTTTTTCTTACCTTTTCTTTGCAATAAACTGGAGGAGCATTTGTTATGCAGCATGTTGATGCTAGATTTGCTCGCTGTTCCACTAACTCATCCAGCTTGCTTGATGGTAATTTGGAAACTTTCTTGCTGAGAGTTTTAGTTAATCTGTGACAACAAACAAAGCCACATTCATTAGAAAATCTAAGGCTGTCTTATTATTGTTTAGTCTTCATGAAAAAAAGAAAAAAAAAGTTAGAAATCGTATTCATAATTAACCACTTCATGAGAAAGAAGTAGACAGAGTCCTTTAGGCAATTGTTATGAAGGGGTTTGTCTGTCTGTCTGTCTGTCTACCGGTTAATAAATTAATATCTCAAATAAATTATTTTGGAAAGTATGTGGTGCAGTGGCGGATCCAGAGCCTGACCTTGGGAGGGGCACTTGCAGATTATTTAGAGAAATAATGCAGACACAATACCCACTGCAGCGCAGTGTAGTGGTTATGGTGCCAGTAGTGCCTGGACCCCCTCCCAGAGTAAGTAGTCAAACCGTTTAAGAACAGTTTGACAACTTACCTGAGGTCTGCTTGGAAATAGGGCTGTAGTAGGGCATAGGAGCAGGGGTGCAGTGTGTGTGTGTTTGTGTAAGAAGGACTGTGTTAGCAGTGTATGTGTGTGTGAAAGTTGCAGTGTGTACGTGAGGACGGCAATGTGTGTTAGGGGGGCAGTGTGTGTGTGTGCGTTGCAGTGTGAGTGGGGGGCAATGTGTGTATCGGGGGAAGTTTGTGTGTGTGGGGCCAATGTGTGTGTAGGGTGTGTATTGGGGGCAGTGTATGTGGGCAATGTGTGTGTATGGGGGAAGTGTATGTATGTGTATGGGGGCAGTGTATGTGTGTGGTAGCAGTAGTGTATGTGTATGGTGGGCAATGTGTGTATGGGGGCAGTGTATGTATGTGGGGCAATGTGTGTGTATAGGGGCAGTGTATGTATGTGGGGGCAATGTATGTATGGGGGCAGTGTATGTGTGTATGGGGGCAATGTGTGTGTGTATGGGGGCAGTGTATGTGGGGGCAATGTGTGTGTATGGGGCAATGTGTGTGTGTGGGCAGTGTATGTGTGTGTGTGTGTATGGGGGCAGTGTATGTATGTGGGGCAGTGTGTGTGTGTGAGGGCAGTGTATGTGTGTGTGTGTATGGGGGCAGTGTATGTATGTGGGGAAGTGTGTGTGTGTGGGGCAGTGTATGTGTGTGGGGGCAGTGTATGTGTGTGGGGGCAGTGTGAGTGGGCAGTGTGTGTGTGTGTGGGGGCAGTGTATGTGTGTGTGTGTGTTGGGTATGTGTGTGATAAGGAAGGGGGGCTTTTTTTTTAGTTTGATAAAATAATTATTTTTTTTAAATTTAAAATATACATAATGTCCCCCCTCCCTTCTTACCTTTGTTTAGGGAGGATGGGGGACATTTCTCGATCCCTGGTGGTCCGGTGGGGAATCCCTGGTGGCCCATGTGGTGAGAGTGAACTGTAGCCCCGGTCTCAAGGGCTAGAGTTCACTCTCGCGAGATCCAGAGCTTTGCCGTGGCAACGCTCCATGCTCGCGAGAGAAGGACCTGGAGGAGCTGCAGACTGAGCTCCCCCGGGTCCTCTCTCTCTCCCTGCCCTGGCGGCGGCCAGCAAACAGTGCCTGCAGACAGGAGAGGGAGATCTCTGATCTCCACTCCGGTCCATGAAGGCACATTGCAGGGCTGGCGCTTGGACAGCGCCAGCCCTGCATTAGCCGGCAGGGGAGAGGGAGAACCTCGTATTCTCGGGGGGGACAATTGCCCCATTGCCCCCCCCCCCGGATCCACCAATGATGTGGTGGGACATATAGCCCAAGCAACTTTTTGCACCCATCTTTAAACCTCTATTCTTTTTACAACTAGGTCAGCATTTCATTTTTTGGTTGAAGGCCACTCTTTCAAACGATTTCACAGTTATACCTGTAATACCTGTACCACATTAGCACAATGAAAAATTGCATTGCTTTCCAATGTTCTAACAAACATGAGCCCTCCAGATGTTATGAACTACATCTCCCCTGATGCTTTGCCTGCTTTATGGCTGTAGGAGCATTATGGGAGATGTAGTCCACATGCATAGCGTTGCCTACCCCTAGTGTAGCTTAAGCCTTTGTATTACCAATACAAAAGTTAACCTTCAAGTAAAATATAATTTGAACACACTATAAGGACCAACATAACTTTAGCGTAATGGAGAGGTTTTGGTTTAGTGGATAATGCCACTACAGTTTAACTGCTTTTCTCTGCGATTTAGGTGTTAAGTCACTTTGTTTATGTTGCCCTAGTTGCACTTCCCCTGCATGTAACTTACACGTTTGCTGCAATGAGAGATCTAATGTTTAAACTTCCTTTATTGCACATTCTGTTTAATTTAGAATTTTATATCTCCTGCTCTGTTAATAGCTTTATAAAGTCTGCAGAAACTTCCTGTGTGTCATTAAAAGGACACTATAGTCAGACTCGGTACAATCTATCCCAGCCCTTAGACCAACGTTGAACGCGTATGGCTTTGTGACATACTACAAAAATAATGCAGCCAAGACCCAGGCACTCCCCATTCGACTACCAAGAGCCACAATTAATAAATTGGAGGAGACACATACATTCGAATGGCGAACTAAATTGATCCAATACTTAGGGATAAAACTGACAAAGACCGTACACTCCCTAACCACAGAAAACCACACACCTGTGATCCACAAACTAACATCCCAAATAAGTAGATGGGAGGGGTTGGAGGTATCATGGCTGGGGCGCATTAATACCATTAAAATTATGGTTCTGCCACATGTGCTCTATCTCTTCCGTACACTTCCCATACCACTGTCGGCCAAACTGCTGAAAAGATTCCAAACTATCATTAACGCCTATATATGGAAATGGAAGCCTCCTAGACTAGCCACCGCCAAACTTAGCCTACCATACACGAGAGGAGGTTTAGGTGTCCCAGACATCCGCAACTATTATCAAGCATCTCTACTAGCACAAGGTCTACGATTAATTAGAACCTCAGGCGCAGAACAAACCCCTCTATGGTTGGCTCTTGTGGATGCCTGCATATACCCGTCCACTATGCCCAATGCCCTCTGGTCACACGAAACAAAGAACATGGGGAAAGACGCACTATGGTGCACAAAAACCACACTGAATACTTGGAAACAATGGGCCTCAGAGGTAATAGACACACAAACACTACTTAAGGAAGCACCACTCACAGCACTGCAGGCTAGTTTCCCTGACCTCTCGCTCCAGACATGGTCAGCTCTAGGGATACGTAAAATAAGGGATTTATATGACCAAAACAGGCTGAAAACATTCCCTACCCTGCAAAGTGAATTCTTCCTAAAATCAAGGGACATTTTCAAATACCTAAGGGTCAAGAACATACTACAGACACGCACCAAATCAGAAGCACCCCCACAACAACTAGAAACACCTTCTGTCCGGTACATTTTGACATCCCGCTCCATCAAACCTCTAGCCTTATGCTATAATGCACTAGAAAGAGGGAAATCCGCGCACAAACTCTCTTATATGGAAAAATGGGAAGAAGACATAGGGGAATCACTCACTATACAACAATGGCATGAAGCCTTTCACATCACTAAATGAGCGGCCAAAAGCTTGTCTCTATGGGAAGCATATTGCAAAATTGCAATACGCTGGTATTTAGTCCCCCTAAGACTGGCTAGGATGTTCCCCAACACCTCCCCGTTGTGCTGGAGGTGCAAACACACACCAGGGTCGCTGCTACACATATTTTGGGAATGCCCAGCCATAACTCCGATCTGGACTTCTGTCCAAAAGCTCATACATGAAGCCACTAGCATGACAATACCACTGAATCCGGCACACTACCTGCTCCATATGCTCCCCGCAAACAACCCAACGAGAAACTCATCAACCACAACTGCCATAAACATACTAACCACAGCCAAAATTGCGATGGCATCAAAGTGGAAAAACGAAACGCCTCCTACTCAAGAGGAGGTAGCAAAAAGGGTGGATAGCATATGCCTTTATGAGCAGATGGCATACAAACTGCAGGGAACACCTGAGAAACACAGTATCCATTAGGGAGGGTGGCTAAGCGTCCGAGCAAAGGACAGAACAGAAGGATACTAGATACTAGGACACTAAATAAAAGCATTTTAAGTTCAAGGTGATTGGAATGGGGACCACGAATCATGGTGACCAAGAGGTCCTGTAGCGGAACCAAAGCCGTGTGCACAGCATGCAAAACCCAGGTCAAGTAGGACACATGATACAGTTCAAGTTGAATGTTACCCTTCCCTTAACTCTTTTTTTTCTTCTTTTACCCGGTTGCATGATGTGAAAGAGGTATATAGGCCACGTAGGCTCACCAACTTAGAGAGCACAGGTGACCAATGTTCCATGCCGAAGATGTTTCTAACAAGCTGTCACACAGGCAACAATATAACCCGAAGCCGAAGTGAAGCAAAAGTCAGCACTGTATTAATATACGTAATATACGTGTTATAGTGCACGTGTTATAATGTATGAAGAGTGTTGCAAACTGGTAATGCTGTAATTGGCCAATGTACTGCCGCGTCAGCAAATGTATTATGCACTGGAGTACTACTCAAAACCAATAAAAAAGATATATGAGAAAAAAAAAAGGACACTATAATCACCAGAACAAATACAGCTGATAGTATTTGTTCTGGTGAGTATAATAAGTCCTTTCAGGCTTTTTGTAGTAAACACTGTCTTTTGAGAGAAAAGACAGTGTTTACATTACAACCTAGGAACACATTTTCACTAACCACTCCTTAGTTGGTGGCTGCTAGAGGCACTGCAGCACTGACATTCATTGTCTCCGCTGTCTGCATGGAGACACTGAACTTCCTCACAGAGATGCACTGATTCAATGTATCTCTATGAGGAGATGCTGATTTGTCAATGCTGTGTTTGCCTTGTTTTGGCTCTGCCCCTGATCTACCTCTTTAAAAATCTCTTACAACCCAATGCTTTCCAATGGGAAATCATTGTGATTGGCTCAGATCAACCCTTCTGATGATGTCAGTCAAGAAGGCAGATCTGGGCAAAGCCAGCAGCAGCAGACAGGATAAAAGGTAAGATTTTACTATATTTGGGGGGGAAGGAGGGGGGGGCGGGGAAGCAAGAGGGTATTTGTAAACTCTATAGTTTAGGCATAAGGCTATCCTAACTATAAGATAAGGTTAGGGACTAATTAAAGTATTTAGAAAATTGGGCAGACTAGATGGGCTGAATGGTTGTTATCTGCCGTAACATTCTATGTTTCTATGTTTCTATAGGGTCAGGAATACATTTTTGTGTTCCTGACCCTATAGTGTTTCTTTAAAGTTCGATTAACAGAGCACAAGATAAAAACTTGTAAAGTAGACACACTATACTGTTTGAAAATGAACTATTTTTTTTCATGCAGATGGTGTGAGTCATAGCCAGGAGAAATATGGCTATGGCTGTATAAACAGAAACAAAAGTGATTTAACTCCTAAATGGCAACATGTGAACATTAAGACTACAGGAGCATATTCTACACAACAAACTGTTTCATTAAATAGTTTTGGTGTTTAGATACCCATTTAACCAATTTTATTCACAAAATGTAGCCATCTATGCTGTATTCATTAGTATTTAGGTATCATATTTCTATAATTGTGTGACATGATGGTAGCAAAGTATACCTTTTTTTTCCTCTTACCTATCTTTGAACGTTAAGAAAGGGTAATTATTGTACTCCGAACATAACTCCTTGCCTTCGTTTATGTACTTATTAATTTCCTCTGCTAGTTGTACTTTCTGAAAAATAACACATATGAGTGAATAGGTGAGAAACATTTGATGAGTCTAGTTAGCATACTAAAAGAGAGGAGTGAAAGTTAGATAGTTGAGCGTATAGAAAATAAAGGAACTCTGGAACTTAAAAGAAGGCTACAGTCACCCAGACCTCGTCATCTCAATCTCATGCAGTCTCTTTTCTCTTAACCCTGCACTGCAAAACATGTACTGTTTCAATGCTTTTCTATGGCAAAGCTTTAATGTGTGCACTGCACTCGACACCCAATGCATCCCTATGTGGAGCATTTGATTGGCCCATCATGAAGGAGGCCCTACTGGGGGAGGAGAGGTAAGCAGTGCCGAGGGAATTTCAGTGCTGGAACATGTAGAGTAAACGAGAGTTTTTAACCATTTCTATGCCAAACGAGGAGAGGGGGAGAAACACAATACCACTAAGGACAGATTTGTATTCTTAAGGCTATAGTGTTCATTTAATATTGTAAAATGGATTGATATTAGATATTTCATAACAATCTATAGCATAAGATATACATATGAGGGAATGTCAGAGCAGTAATAATGAACATCCACAATGTTGAATATTCATTTTAATTTTATCAACAGAAATGTTGCCAAATGTAGTTTTGCAGTTTTTGTGACTCTGTGTTTGCAAGTTGTAGCTGTCTATTAATCAACAGACACATACACAATGCTCTAATAACCTCTAGCTCCTCAAATCCCGATTTTGAGATGTGACTTTGATTGTGCTCCTAGAAAGTGGTACAATTATAGAATCACTCTGCTAGGAAAAAAGTGGGACGATACAGAGCAAAGTCATCAACAATTCCATTACATTTATTTTTCTTGAACTGTGCAATGTTGTCATATGGTCGTTACACAATACCTTGCTGTCCAGACAAGTGCTTGGATTATCAGAGATACAACATCTTTTCACAACATCTACAATAGAACCATGCAGCTTATCAATGAACACTTCTGGCAGCTTTGTGTTTCTTCTTGCCAACTCAAATGTGTACCTGGATGAATACAGCAAAATCACACTGTTAATGAGAACATTTTTTGTTTTATGTTCCACACATTCTTTAATGCTCATGTTACGTTTGATGGTGCTACACAAGAGAAGAACAAGTATATATAGCAGTATTGATGCACTTCTGAAATAACTGAATTCTTTTGGGATACTCCAAGAAATAAGTAAGCATCCGTAAATAAAACCAATAAATAAGACATGGGAAGATTGTATAACAACAATTTATATTTTTATTTAACTTTTTTCAAATTCTGATGTATAGAGTTGAGCGGACACCTGGATGTTCGGGTCCGGCGAGTTGGCCGAACTTTAAAAAAAGTCCGGGTTCGGGCTCAAACTTGACCCCGAAACCCTGAACCCCATTGAAGTCAATAGGGACCCGATTTTTTGGCCACAAAAATGCCTCTAAAAAACTCCTGGAAAGGGCTAGAGAGCTGCAAAAGGAAGTAAAATGGGGGTAAGAGTAGGACAAGTGCCCTGCAAACAAATGTGGATTGGGAAATCACTTAAAATAACATAAAATACCCAAAAATTAAATATACAGCTGAGCCATAAAATTGCACTAGATGGAATCTTTGATTTTAGCTTTTGAAGAACATAAATCAAAATCTAAAGCATGACTTTCAGGAGGATCACCAGAATTACCCATTTGAGAGAGGGTTGGCGTGCAGGCTATTCTCTTTCATTGTTCAAACTGAGCTCAACTCCTGATGCATGGAGAAAAGGCCTTCACAAGCTTCTGCTATTGTGTACATAGTTTATACTAAGTGACCCATAGGCTGAGGAGTTGGTGACCGTGGCGGTGTAGGTGGAAGCAGCGGTGGAGGAGGAGGATGAGGTAGCCAACACTGTTTTTTATATATATTTTTTTTTTAAATTGGGGTAGCCCCCAAAATATTGGAACTAGTGATGTCCCGAACTGTTCGCCAAACGGTTCGCGAACGGTTCGCCACGAACAGTTCGCCACGGACTCATCATTGAGTAAACTTTGACCCTGTACCTCACAGTCAGCAGACACATTCCAGCCAATCAGCAGCAGACCCTCCCTCCCAGACCCTTCCACCTCCTGGACAGCATCCATTGTGAAGCCGCATTCGTAGTGAGCTGTCCAGGAGGTGGGAGGGTCTGGGAGGGAGGGTCTTACTTGGATAACTGGTAATTCTCAAGCTAATACATGCCAATGAGCGCTAGGGGACGGCCACTCTGCTTTTGCACCCTGCTCCCTCTAATGCTGTGCTGGTGCCTCTGTGCAACCAGCGCCTCTTCCTCCAAACTGCACACGTCACTCGCATGACCTTGATTCAATGTGGGGTCTAGGACCTCATCATCCTCCACATCATCTTCCACCCACTCCTCAACCCTGCCCTCCTTGCCGGTATGCACACTGCAGAATGCCACAGCAGTTGGCACCTGTGTTTTTCCAGCATGTAAAGTCTGCAAATGACATATGGAAATTGTTTTAAAATTGTATCTAGGCAACAGTTTTCCCTATAAACTGATCTCTCAGTTTGACTTGTGAGGGTATTGCCCCAGAATTACAATATTGTTTAAGTACCTCTTAGCTATTGATAACTGGTTTAAATATAGCAGCTTGTTATCTGGTAGTTTCTAGTGTAGAAAATATCAATCTGTTTTCTATCACTTAGATCAGTGTAACAAGTGTTGTAGTTGTGAAACAATATTACAAGTGACCAATGTAGTAAATTCGAATCAAAGTTCCATTTGCAAAAAAAATTCTCGCCCATCTTCTTATTGCATTTTTAAGATGTAGACTTATTGTATCACACTAGCCATGTACAGGTAAATTATCTGGCACGTTGTTTTGGTGTTTGGTTTTTAACTTTGTAGTTGTGTCTTTACACAATATAGAAATGTATATTAATGCTTCTGTATATGAAGTGATCACAATAACATTTATTTTTCACCTTTTTAAAAAAAAATCAGGCTACACAAAAATTGGTAATTCACAATATGACATCTGAAAAGCACATGAAAGGATGCTGTATGATTGTAAAAACAAGAACACACTACATGAAGGTCCTGTTCACTAGAGTGTGTAGTCATGAATGTAACCAGTAAAACTTTATTTTTACAGCCACTGGTTGGCCCATACATATTTTAAAACTTGTTAAATTTTGTTGTAGCATGACTTGTAGATATGAAGAGCAGGCCCCAAAATGTACTGTATTGTAACAGATTAGCCCCCAGAAAATAAGAATGTTTTCCACTGCGCTGTAAGCACACTATTTGACTCTCAGATATGAAGTGCACACCCCAAATATACTATATAGCACCCCAAATTTTTTTTTTAAAACTCCAATGTAAGCAGCAGATTAGCAGCAAAACAATTAGAATGTTTACAACTGCGCAGTAAGCGCACTATTTGACGCTTCTATTTGACTCTCACATATGAAGTGCACCGCAGGCCGCAAATTTACTATTTAGCAGATTAGCACCCAGAAAATAAGAATGTTTACCACTACGCTGTAAGCACACTATTAGACGCTTCGATTTGACTCTCAGATATGAAGTGCACGCCCCAAAATGTACTATTTAGCAGATTAGCACCCAGAAAATAAGAATGTTTACCACTGCGCTGTAAGCACACTATTAGATGCTTCTATTTGACTCTCAGATATGAAGTGCACCCCACTAAAATACTATTTAGCAGTTTAGCACCCCAAAAATTTTAAGTTTTAAAACTGCAATGTGACAGCATTATTTGATGATTCTATTTGATGCTCAGATATGAAGTGCACCCCACTAATGTACTATTTAGCACCCAAAAAAATGCACTTTTTAAAACTCAGATGTAACCGCGGTATTTGAAGCTTCTATTTGACTCTCAGATATGAAGTGCACCCCACTAATGTACTAGTTTGTAGAATTCTTTCCTAAGCTATCCCTATCAGTGGCAGCATCCTCTCTGTACACTAATAAGACCTCATGTGCGTGCGGCGCTACGCGACTCCAGCTTAAATATAGAGGCTGGGTCACATGCTGCACTGGCCAATCTTATAACTTATAAGGTCACACGAGTCAAACGCTTGTTGATTGGCTGCCCTGCAGCCTTTGAAAACGCGCCATTAAATTGCCGAACACCGAACTCCAACCCGAACATACAGTGATATGTCCGTGTTCGGGTCCAGGGTCCAAAAAACTTAATGTTCGGTACAGTTCGGGTTAGGTCAAGTTTTTTTTTTCATACTTTTTTCCCCTGCTCTATAGACAATATTATTAAAATCTTTGTTTATTTTCCCGGCAATCTTTATTGTAAAATATTATGCACAATCTAAATGGAAATTGCATCTTTAGTATGGTTTGGGTAGAGTTATATTAAGCAGTACACATTTGGAAAGGTTTGGTTTTAGGTTGGATAACTTGTCCTTAAAGATGGAAGTGGACAGCATGTTAGGCAGACAGGCTTTGGGGTTTTATAGACGTTCCACATCCATATATTAAAACAATAAATAAGATGTGGAAATTGTATAACAACATTTTATATGTTATTTTATATTATTTTTAATCCTTTTTTTAATGTACTATTATGGTTTTGCTAATTTCTAGAGTGTTTATGTTTTTCTTTTCTAATTCTCTTAATCATCACTTTCTCTCATCATCCAGGATGCCTTTTCCAGAATGTGATCCTATTAAAGCTACCTTCTCCATCAATTTTGCATTTCCTGACTTTTCATTTAAAAAAAAAAAAAATCTTTATTTTAATGTTTTAAGGTTTACAATCCAGTTGCTATTTAGTAAAGATGTATGCTAGTATAGTTGGTAACTTACATAAGCATAGAATATAACTTTGGAAAACAAACAAAGAGGTTGGTATACAATTGTTTCGAAGGTTTGGTACATAGTATGCAAGTGGTAACAGCCCATTGGTACATGACCATTGAGAGAGCTGGGTGAGTGGGTTATCTCATGCAGTTTGCAGCATTACAACATAGTTCGTCACCCCAGGTCAGTAGAGATGTAGTAATTGCCTGCTTTGTAGAGACAATACATTAAGGTCTATCAAAGTGAATACAAAGTTTAGGTGTACATTATCGAAAGAAGATAAAATAATATATACAATAATAATGATAATAACCAAAAACATCTGGTAAGGGGGTGCAGTGTTCCTCCTGTTATATGTGCAGAGTGTGCAAGGAACTGGGACAAGGTTGTCAGGGCTATGCCTTTTTCAAAGAGGGTGCAATCTTATTTTGTGTGTCGGGACTGTGATCAGATTTTAATCACTGTGTATGGTTATGCCCTGTTCTTTAAGGGTATAGGTTTGTAATTAGTAATCGTTTGGAGGCAAAAGAAGATGAAAAGTTTCATCCTGTGTCTGTTCCAGGCTCTTTTAATCTCTCAGATCCATGTGTCACTTACTCCTCAGAGGTTTCGGAGGTAACATTGTTTTCTAGGGGTAGGGGATTGGATTCTTAATGAGGGGGGAGGAGGCAAAGAGAGTTGGGAATGACATTAGGGTCGTTATAGATTGAAATGCAAGTGACGAGGGAGGTAGAAGGGGAAGAGCCTGGTTGTCACGATACTCCTTAGTTAATATGCTCTCGTGCAGTACTCACACTCACCACTGTTTCTGTTTGGCACTGTTTCTCATTTCTTTTCTTTAAGCACTACACTTGGCCCTTGTTTAGCACCTATATATTCTGGTTTCTCCCCTCACTCCCTGTCAGATCATTATCCTTCATCCTTTATCCTGTACCTGCTGTTTCCTGGTTCCCGTGATTCTGACTCCTTGCTCCTGAATCTTGTATCCTGTGTATCCTGATCCTGTGTTCCTGTTCCGATGTCCTTATGTCTCTGCCTGGTCCTGTGTCTCCCGTTCCAGTGTTCGCTTGCAGATAAAGAGGTGTGTTGCTGCCTCAAGAGCAAGAAGGAGTCACTTACGGAGCCAATAGCTTATAGGCTCCAACCCACGTGAGTGGTTTCAACCAATTGCTACCATTATTCATTTTTTTATTTTTTGTAATAAAGAGGTGTGTTGCTGCCTCAAGAGCAAGAAGGAGTCACTTACGGAGCCAATAGCTTATAGGCTCCAACCCACGTGAGTGGTTTCAACCAATTGCTACCATTATTCATTTTTTTATTTTTTGTAAACCATCTGCACTATATTCTCTCTTTTTGTTGTTTTACTTTGTATGTACATTTGGACACATTGTATCACTATGTTGGAGGGGTGAGTATACCCCCTCATTATTTATATATATATTCAATATAGCGCTCCACTTGCTGGTATATTGTTTATACCTTTTTTTCTTGTATTTTGCATTTTCTTGTATTTTGCACTTTATTGTGGATTAAGGTATTCCACTTTTTGTGTTGAGCTGCTTTTATTCAGGCACTTTAGTATATCACTCACTATCTCAGTAAGGGATAGTTTTTGTTTTCTTTGCTTGCAGTATTCCTGCCTAAACTTCAATTCCAGTGATTCTGACCTTGCTGCCTTATTTACGTGTGACCTGCTTTGGGCTTTGCTCCTTGGTGTTTTTTATTTAGTGCTTCGTGGCTTAGTATCTGTGCCCCACTTATATTCTGTGGTGGCTGCACGATCCTGCCTAAGGCCTTTACTTTTGCCTAAGGACTATCACGTGTACTCTGCCTGCTCTATTTGTATTTATTTCTTGTGTGTGTGTGTGTGTGTGTATATATGTGTGTATATGTATATGTATATATTTTTTGCTTTTGCATGTCTTCAGTTGCCATCGGGAAACTTCATGCTGTTGCTTAGAATCTCAACTAGGCCAGTCTCACAGTAATCATGAATGTCAGTGAAGACTAAGGACAGCTGATGTTTTATTTGTAATTGAATCAAATTAAGCTAACTTCTGTACCAGTTTAACTTGGTCTGTAAGATATAGATGGTTAGACGGCAAATACTATGGTTAAACTATCATATAATTTATTAATTTGTCTTTAAGCTACTTGGCTTTTTTATGTCTTACAAATAGCAATATGCACAGTCCTAATTCCTGAATGTGTGTGTTTGTGTGTGTATGATTATGTATTTGTGCATTCTGTCTCCATATCAGAATTCAACAACTGCTTAATAGTAGGGATCGACCGATTATCGGTTTTACCGATATAATCGGCCGATATTCGGTATTTTCGGCAATATTGGTATCGGCCAACATAGACACCAATAATACCTCCAAGGACCGCCAGGTTCATTACAAGTGGGGGGGGGGGGCAGCAGCAAGCGCTGACTTACCTTGCCAGCAGCTCCTCCAGCTACCCTGTGCAAATCTCGCGAGACCCGCGGCCGTCAGAGCGGGCCGCGGCCATCAGAACGGGTTACCATGGCAACGCTCCGTGCGGCACTAAGGGCCGCGAGATTTGCACTAGGAGCCTGAGGAGCTGCTGGCAAGGTAAGAAACAGCTTCCTGCCGGCCCCCCCAGTACTTAACAAGCCACTGGACCACCAGGGAATACTGTATCCACCCCTCCCTGACCAGGCAACAAGCAGGGAGGGGGGATAACAAAAAATAATAAAACATATAAATATTAAAAATAAACATAAATATTAAAAATTAAAATAAAACAAACATTAAAAATTAAAATAAAAAATGCCTTTCCCTCCCCATTTTACACAAATCACATCCCTTCAAACAAATACACACACTCTGCATTATATACACACACACTACACACTCTGTATATAATGCAGAGTGTGTAGTGTGTGTGTATAATGTAGTGTGTCTATATAATGTAGTGTGTGTGTATGTAATGTAGTGTGTGTCTATATAATGTAGTGTATGTGTATAATGCACACACTACACACTCTGCATTATATACACACACTACATTTTATACATACACACTACATTATATACACATTACACACTGTATTCATTATATACGCACACTACACACTCTGCATTATATATATATATACACACACACACACATTATATATACATACACACACAAACTACATTATATACACACACTACACACACACTACATTATATACACACACTACACACTGTATTCATTATATACACACACTATACAAACACACTGCATTCACTATACGCACACTACACACACTGCATTCGCTCTACACACTGCACTCACTTTATGCACACTACACAAACACACACACTCTGCATTCATTATATACACACTACACAGTCACTGCATTAACTATACACACTACATAGTCACTGCATTAACTATACACACTACACAAACACACCCTGCATTCATTATATACACACTACACAAATACACACAGCTCCACTGTCTAAACACACTGCATCCACTGCATGTAGCATGTATATTTTGTGCATTTACCTTTAGAAATAGTGTATTTTTTCAAAATGGTAAATGTAGAGGTTATCGGCTATCGGCCTGAAAGGTAACAGATTATCGGTATCTGCTCTAAAAAATCAATATCGATCGATCCCTACTTAATAGGTTATTTCTAGGCTACATAGTTTAGCAAAAAAACATCAGTAAGTCCTATGATGTTCCTGTTGAAATGCATCAGAGCTACATATTATTTCTATAATCAAGCTGCCTTCATGAAACATAGGAGTTTTTTTTACCTGCATTGCTCATGCACCAGGATGTTTGATATTGCATGCAGTAACTTATTTTTTTTAATTTTTTTTACTTACTACTATTCATGTTTTTGCAAATGAGCCAAAAAGAATAAAAATGGTCCTGGAATTCATTGCTGTTGTATATATTTTCAAACAATTTTTATTGAACAGAATTTAAAAAAAAATATTTCACATTAATTTGGTATGTAAATAAATCAACATTTAACAATAAAAACTAGTAGAAGTAAGAAGGGAAGGTGAATAAAATGTTGTATATCTAATGCCATTGTATCTCAAACATTTCTGCATAAGTGTGGGGATGTTTGTCCTATAAGGTCAACTGGATATATAACTCCATATCATACTTATACCACTATTTGAATGACATTGCACAAGCAAGACTGGGTTGGAATCTTTTTATCCAAAAGAAAATACAACCAAGTAGACCAATTTTCAACAAGAGAAATCCCCCATCCAGCACACTTTTAATTAATTGTATATCTTATAAAGCATTTCTTATAAAACATAATTTTTTTTTAAGAATTCTATAATAAACACTAAAACAAGTTTAAATGTCAGTGCTAATGGAAAGCTTCCACAAATTTATTTCAAACATCTTTAAACTGGACTAATTCCAGAACACTTTTCTCAACTGACATACTCCTTACGGCAAGCATGTCAAACTCGTGGCCCACAATGGACATCTTTGCGGCCCGGCATGCTGCGAGTACATGCTTAGTGTTAAAGCAGAGTAGGCACCTGCTTTCTCCACATTGCAGGTGCCTATTCTGCTAAAACTTACCCGGTCGGGGAGGAGAGGTCGCTGGAGGAACTCAGTCTTCCTGCTCCTTACTTCTCCCTCGCGCACTGTTTGTAGTGATGCCAGGTGCCGGAACAGGACATCATTCTGGCACCTGGCATCACTAAACTGCACGCGTAAGGGAGCAGTGAGCAGCAGGAAGAAAAATATCTCCAGATAGAAGATAAATACAATAATGTGAGTGTGTGCAAGAATGTGTAAATGTGTGTGTGTGTCTGTCAGTGAGTGTGTCTGTCAGAGAGTGTGTGTGTCTGTCTGTCAGTGAGTGTGTGTCAGTGAGTGTGTGTCTGTCTGTCAGTGAGTGTGTGTGTCGATCAGTGAGTATGTGTCTGTCTGTGTGTGTGTTAGTGAGTGAGTGTCTGTCAGTGTCTGTATGTGTGTCAGTGAGTGTGTGTGTCTGTCTGTCAGTGAGTGTGTGTGTCTGTCTGTCAGTGTGTGTGTGTGTGTGTGTGTGTGTGTGTGTCAGTCAGTGTTGAGATGCCCACGTCTGGACAGTGGAAGATCTAGAGGTGCACAGAGGGACGTAACGCAACGCCACGTCTCATTCCAACGTTCACATTTCACAGGGTTTCAAGAAGTAGCAGGAGGATCCGCTTTGTCACAGTGTGCGGACGGCGCCATTTGGGGGAATACCAGAGGACTCCGGAGTCGCATACTGGCAGCGACAATGTATGTGGAGTCTGCTTGTTGGCTAGAGGGTGGTGCTGGGATTTATTAGAGGGGGTACTGTGGTTTAGTAGAGGGGATGCTGTTTTTTTTATACTGTACTTTTCAAAATAAACCTATGTTTCTATGAAAATTTAAGTTGTTTACTTGGACCGTGCTAGACTTTGAATTTGACATGCTTGCCTTACGGCATTGAGCAGGTTTGTCCCAATGTGGCTCACAGTCTGATTTCGATGACTTTTTCAATGAATTAAGGCACCTATGCATTCTACTTGTGCATAAGACAGGATTGGCAGGTACCCGTATGCGTTTGCTGTTGAAAGATGTTCATATCCTACCGACGTTGTGACAGAAAAAAATGTCATTGTTTGCAGGAAGTGCATTATTTTCCTATGTATCTTAACAGAAACTGAAGTTGTTATCAATATAATTTGGAATTAATTCCACCTCCATAAAACATCGGCAGAAAGTTATTTCTGATTAAAATTCACATTTTAGGGAATATTCACCTACTTTGTATGTAGAAGTTACCTGAGGTGGTAAGCTAGTACCCTCTGTTTCCTTTAGCCCAAGCATGTCAAACTCTAAGGCTAACACGTGCCAAAGAAACAAGGTTTAAGTTTATGTGGGCCGCAAAAAAAAAAAAACTTTAGTTTTTATAGAAATGCAGGTTTATTTAGAAAAGTATACAAACACAAATATAAAGCACCGCGCTTACGACAGCAGTAGTTTAGTATCCAAGAGCTAAAAACAAAGCGAACGTTACGTGCGCTCTGACCTAAATCCCTATGTACATTTAAACAAAATGGAGGCTCTTTAGTTTTATTCCAATCGCCATTTGAATATATAAGCTCACCTGCCACGTCAAGGCAAGCCTCAAGAGGTGAGTCCTAATCTAGCCATTAGATTTGCTGATATCAGCCAAGAATCTCCAATAAGACAGGAAGGGGTATTTTATAAACCCTTTCATATTTAACCCTTTATAGGGCTTCTACACATACAATAAACTTTGCTGGTATCAAACAAAGTGTAAACGTCTCTAATGAGACAGGAAGGGGTTTTATAAACCCCTACATACCCTGAATAGGGCTATAACATATAAATCACCTTGCCGGTATCAGCTAAAAGGCAAATTTCTCTGTTGAGACAGTAAGGGGTGCTGCCTCTACATACTTATAGCCTCTTAATAAGACAAACATGGGGTGGCTGGCAGCAATGTTATTATTATTTAGAAAAGTACTGTAGAAAAAAATGTCACATGCCCTCTCCCCCCATTCTAATACACTGACCCCAATTCCAATACACAGCCTCCCCCAATCTAATATACAGTCTCCCACAATCTAATATATAGCCTCCCGCGGCTCCCCCCCCCATTCTAATAAATACACTGTCCCCCATCCTCCACTCTAATGCACTGCCTCCTCCCCCAATCTAATACACTACCCCTTAATCTTATACACTGCCCCCTCCCTACACTCTAATTGAATACACTGCCCCCCTCCCTCCTCCAATTTAATACACTGACTTGCCCACTATTTAACATACTTCCCCAACTCCCACCACTCTAATACACTGCCCCTTTCCTCCCCCAATTTAATACACTGCCCCCTCCCTCACTCAATTTAATACATTGCATCCCTACCCTAATTTAACACACTGCACTCCCACCACTCTAATACACTGCCCCTTCCCTCCCCCAATTTAAAACACGGCCCTCTCCTTCCCCTAATTTAATACACTGCCCTCCCCCTAATGTAACACACATCTGCTGGCGGCCACCATGGACCTAGCACACTTGCAGCCGCCAGAGCACGAAGGGCAGACAGGAAAGCAGCTCCATGGCAGGTGGGCCGCAAAAATATTCATTGTGGGCCACAATTTTGACATGCTTGCTTTAGCCCTTTAAAAGCATGACATTTATTTTTTATTTTTTTCATGTTGAGAAAGCGTAATATTATAGACGTGAAACGCGTCCAATTTTTTTTTTTTTGTTCCCCCTTCTTTGTTCAGGTGTATTAACTTTGTTTTACTTCTTGTCTTTCTGCACATACTTGGTCTGATTATGCTTAGTGTATGATTTTGTTATAAAAACAGCCCAAGCAAGGAAATATTCTCCATATGTTTATTGCCTTTTGAGTGCGGCTTGATGCATTACTGTTTGTGGATCATATGGTTTGTGGAACAATGAAATTGGCACTAAGTAGTCCGGATGTAGAGAGTTATATATTTTTCAGTTTTCATCTGTTTGGTAAATATAATCTCCTTTTGGCGTAGGATACCTGTGGATTTTTTTTGTTTTCTGTTTGCAATCATAAAGACATCATGGAGCAGCAAAGACATCTTGAACATGGTACTGCAGCAGACATAAGTATGTTTTACATACTTATGCTGCATTATACACCCCTGAAAATAATTCACTAGCATTTACGGGGTGAGATAACAAAGAAATGCAAATTCATTAGAAATGACAGTTCCACTTTAACGAATCAATTTGACGATGCATTTTAATTTTAAGCTAATTTACCAAGTTACTCGTATATCACAACAAATTGAAATGATAGTAGGTGATGTTGAAGGGATAGTTTACAAAGTAAAAATCTATTTAAATATATCAGCTTGAAACAGAATGATATTCATTTTTTGGTGTGGATATATGAAATGTAAACATTCAACACAAGCTGTGGATTTGAAAGAAGCCAGTTTAGATTTGGGCCAGCTGTCACAGAATAAAAATGATCTCTGATGTTCTATATCAGAATGTGCTTAAAATTAAGCAGACATGCACTGAAACAGATGTTATAATAAAATACATACTTGAAAGCCTGCAACAGTTGGCATAACAATAAATGCTGAGACCAATGAAATACCAATCTGTAAAAGCATGCAAAATGTGGCTTGTCATTCAGAAATTGTGTTTTTTTTTTAGCCCTGGATCTCTCTTTCCTTTTTTATTACAACAAATACCTAATCTAAAAGGAGACCACGACTACAATGCCCATCCAGCCTGCCAAGAAGAAGGAATGGGCCCCTCGGGTGACAGTCAGGTTTACGAAAGGTTGCTGGACAGAGGAATTGCGTAATACCCCTTCTCTATTGCTGAAGTAGTATGTCTAGGCAGTATTGCAATAGATTCCCGGCAATACAGCATGTTCTTGCTGTTAGCTATTTTTCATTCATTGACATCTCGGCTCGTATTGCTGACAAAGTATGCAGAGAAAGCTGGAATATAGCTCCTCAATGTAGCCTTAGAGTAGAGTTCTTTGGGTTTTGCTCTGGGTTTAAGATCCAGATGTCAAATCAATTTAGATTTTTGTATTTGTTTTTCTTCTTCTGTTTCCATATGTGGAACTAAGTTGCTAGGAGCTCTTGCATATGGAGCCAAACAGGTAGGAACTGTTGCAGTGAGAGCAATTATTATAATGGACCTTTTCTTCTGTGTGAAGTGAAAATACGTTATGGCGTCAATTAGAGTTGTTTCACACAACCATTTATCTTCTAAGTAGAATAAGAAACCCTCAGCTCTCCCTTTAGTAACAAGCAGCCAGTGAAGTAAGTAGTTTAGCTCATTTCTTATAGTGATTTGTTAAGTGAAAGTTAACAGCTTCATATTCAAGTTGTTGCTTGTTATTTATATTTGACATATTTCAAAGCAAGTAGTCAAAGTGTCTTCTAATCATATGACGTCTTACCTGGGGTCTGGCAGGCACTGCTACCATCCCTTTTCCCTCTGGCCTGAGAGCCGTAATAAACTGCTAGGAGCTTCTGTTAGCTCTCCTGAGCTTAAATCTGAATTGCAGGGCCAGCCTATTCGTTGAGAGCATCAAGTGATCACTCTCAATGAATGATCTAAAAGCTAGCTGAGCATCAAGGAAAATGTAGTCCAGAAACAATGTATGGTGTCAAGGTTGGCCACCACCGAGCTAGGCCTACACCACCCATCTTATCTCAAAGAGAGATCACTCTGGCAGACAGGGAAAAAAGCCAGGCAGATCTCAGCTAACAAGTTAAACCATTAAAAACCAGTTTGACTTCCACATAAGTATGCTCTTTTAGTTGAAGAACTTACCAGTCAGATTAATAAAATGAAAGAATTAAAAGGTTTAATGGATGGGAAGGATCAATATGATTAAGCTTATTTGGTTCCTAAGATTTTAATAATTTATTAAATGATTTTAATAATTTTTTTAGAATGATTCACATACGTGTTTTGGTAAAAATTTTAGATAATTTAAAAAGATTACTACTTTTTTGTGTGGAAATGTAAGAAACCAAGAATTACACAAAATATTATTAAAATAGAACAAAATCAAAAAGGTCAGAGTTTCCCCCAATTTGAGTTTGCTACACAATGTGACTATATTTACACATACCCTGGGTTGGGATGTTAAAAAGACTAATAACATGGGCTGGTTTCAATGTGATACTTCTCAAGTTAGGGATATAAATCTATTTAATTTATGTTGGATCAGGCTTTTCTCAATTAATTCTTTAAACAGTAGCAATCCAATGTTGAAAAGGGCAGTTAAGACCAGGGCAAAACAAGGATGGGAATCGATAATTTAGTTACACCTGCCACCCTAATTACAGTTCTTAAATATTATCTGCAAGATATTGACCCATCTAGGTGGAGTAGTAAAGGAATTCTTACTTTAGCGCAAAGTAAGTCAAATAATAATATATTAACTTTTAACAAAATTCAAGCTAAATTTTCTCTTTCAAATTAAGAAACGTTTCCATATCCGAGGGTTAAATTTTTGTTAAAAAAAGCTAATCCTATAGCTACTACAACATCATTAGACAATTTTATAGGTAAGTGACTTAATTCCAAGTTAATTTCTAGAGTACAAAAGCTGATCTGTAGTAATTAAAACATTCCAACAACTTATTCTATAGTGAAATGGGAATGCGACTTAAAGACCACTTTCTCTGTGAATAGTTGGTTTGAAGCTTGGGCAATAGTTAAAAAAGCGTGCATTCCGTTAACTTACAAGAAACTTACTATAAACTGTTTCAGAAGCTGTGCCTTGTACCTTCCCGTATTGTTAAGTTCAACAAAACTATTTCTGATACCTGCTGGAGATGTAATCAGGATAAGGGCACCTTGTACCACATATGGTGGGAGTGCCCATAGCTGCAGGGTATCAAAATTGAAATAAATAAAGTCTTAAGTTCTATTTTTAAACATGCTCTTATATATGGTTATTTCATTTGGAACTTCCAAGGGCAAAAAAAAGTTGTGGAATATTTGGTAGTTAACATTTTGCTTGACAATAAAATCTGTATCGTAAGAGAATGGTGTAAACCTAAACCTCCTGCTTTGTCAGTAGTTGTTAATCAATTTTCTTTTTAAGGGCAAATTGAATTTGGCTTTTACTCCCTGAATGAGAAAATACTTTTATTTAACAAGATATGGGCTCCTTGAGTTAAATGTATTTACGGTGATCGATCCCTGATCGGATAACACTTGAACCTTTACTTACGTAGTCGACTAAACCTCATACTCCACAATGCATTGGGAAGTGTGTAGGACCTGAATTGTATGAATTTCTGAATGTACGATTTATTTTGTTTTGTCTTTTACAAACTGTAAGTTTTAAAGATCCCTTCTACAATTGCTGGATTAGATATTGTTAGTTAATGATTTTGATTCCTAGATTATTTGTATTATGCATCATATACTTTTAATATTGTCTGTGTATTTTTGTGACACATTATTAAATATTTCATGAGAAAAAAGAACTACATTTGACTACATACACTGAGAGATGTGCAAGGACAGTCCTGGAAACATAACTATTACAGTACTACACAATGACAAATCAAATTGAGGCATGAGGCTGAGTATCATAGTGTTCATCTTACAGCGCCTATTCATCTTACAGTAAAGTGAATAACCCTGCAGTGACGCAGAGAGCTCAATCCCCACAGGCTGGTTAGTTCGCCCCCTGGACAATATAGGGAAGGGGGAGCATGACTGCTGCCCATGATGGGGGGGTGGGGGGGCTCGAGGTTAAGTAGCAGCAATCTTGCAAGAATTGAAGGAGTTAAAAAAGGAGAGTAGGGGAGAGGACTTACCAGTCAGCAGGAATTGTTGAAAAACCCTGACTGAATTTCCCAACCTCCCTCCCTGGTATTTGGGGTATATTTGTGTTCTCTTATTGTCACAACTGGCGGTTTTTCCCTGGACAGCGTAATCAAAAGGAAGGAGTATGAAGCAAGGTCACCTTTGGGGGACTACAGTCGGTGCAGTGCTGATGGCTAGTGATGGCTGTGTTGGGCTCTTGGAGAATAAGTATGGAGAACTGTCTGTTGGGCTCTCACCCAACAGCTGACAGGAGTTAAGAATTTCTTATGATGTTTAATAAATCTGTGACCGTTGCCCTTATCCACTTTAAAAGGTGTCCAGTGTGTCATTGGGGGAACAGTGGGATGGATATAGGTCAGCAGTCAAGCATATATCAAAACTTTAAAGTGTGAAAGCCCTCCCTGACTGACTATAGATTTTACAGTGCCCATACAATAGTGTGCTATTGTTTTAAATAGTTATAAGGGGCCACAGACTGGGTCATTATAAAACATCTTTACAATGATTTATACTGTAATACAGTACACGTTTAGAGATAGGAAATGGGAGACTTGAGAATTTGAAGACTTTACACAATCTAGCCATGATTAAACAAAATAGAAGCCAAAAAAATCTATCTACACAGTTAAAATCTTAAAACTATTGACTACTCTAGTCACACATTTGGTTTGGATCTTGAACAGTTAATAATAATAATTTCCTATAAGATTCTACTTTCATTGTGCAATGAATTCAGTGTGAACCTCCTGCACTGAATTCATTGCACAATGAACTTTTAAATGATAGACATTTACACTACATAACATAACTCGTATATGTATAGCATCCTTAGGTCTATGAGCAGTATGTGACCTCTTTAAACTCCTCTGTACAAGAGGCATTATCTATCCCCTGAAAAAAGGAAAACGTATACCGCGCCTAATTTATATATGTGAAATATACATACATATATCTTGAATATTCCAAACGGATCGTAACCTCAAAGGAAACAGATTAAGAAACAAATGATAGTGCAATACAGTAAATATATTCTTTAGAGCAGATAGTATAAGGCTAAGTTCAATCCACTCACATATGGATGAGCTATAACAGAGCTCTGCTGTAAGAACGCCTGGACGGTATAATCCCCGTCTATCCCCTGCAGAGTGAAAGAGTCACACACTTCAAGCACTTACAAAAATCACTGAGTTTCCATACCCATACATATGCATGAATGCAGGGCTGGTCCAAGACAATGTGCTGCCCCAGCCCCCACCGCTTGCGCCACCACACCACCAAAACACGCCAACATCCATTATGTTGAATCATAATAATTAAAATAACAATTAAACGTATCACAATCCCTTCATCACATTCAATCAATACATTCCAGTAACCTATTTAGAGTAAGGCACGCTAAGTTAGACATCACAACATAGATGTTTCTTCAATTGTATTAAAATATTAGCCAAGTACAATATACATAATTTACCAACAATAATAATCCAAAAAGAAGTAAACTGAATTGTCATGGCGGATGTATGCTATTAGATAAGTGTTTTCTGTACCAAGCCCATCTCTATTATTTTAGATGTAAAAAAACAGATAATACCAGATACAAATTGTATCTGTTTTTTACATCTACATCACTGGACTAATATGGCTACAATCTCTACTTGTATATTATTTTATATAGAATATTATGGACATTGCATAGGGCAGTATGGGATTTGATGCTTCCCTGCATAAGTCATATTGCAATATTGCTCTGTGGTCACCTTACTCATAGATTGCATACAGAACGTCACTCTCAAGCATTGTTAGGGGATTTTGTGACTATTGTGCTTCAGTCAAGTTGTTAATAAAGAATACATGCCCAACAAATAGGGTTTCGGCTGTTAATAAAGTGTTGCATTTTTGTTTGATATTCCGTGGTGTATGTAAATATGAGCGGAGTGGAAGTTTAGGCTGATTTTGAATAATAATCGTCATTTCAGGTTATGTTGCTGCCATTTGGAATTTTTAGTGTAGTTGTTTCATGTAGCGTGAGTGTTTGTGCGGAGCGGATTACATCAACGTTTGTATAGGGGACATTGTGTAAGGAATATATTGTGTGTGCTGATGATACAGTGTGTGTTTGAGATGTAGAATGAGATAGGGGAAGTAGTGTGTGTAGGGAATGTATTGTTTGTGTATGCTGGTGATGCTGTGTGTCTGGAGGATGCAGTGTTTGTGTGAGTGCTTTTGGATGCAGTGCGTTTGTGCTGGGGATGTAATTTGTATGTGTGTTTGTGCTGCAGTGTATGTGTGTTTGAGGGCAGTGTGTCTGTCTGTGTGCTCAGAACCAGTGTCTGTATGTGTTGGGGATGAAGAGTGTTTGTGCTGGAGGTGAAGTGTGTGTCTGTGTGTGTGCTAGGGTTGAAGTGTGTGCTGTGTGTGTTCTGGGGGTGAAGTGTGTGTGTGTGTGCTGGAGGTGAAGTGTGTGTCTGTGTGTGTGCTAGGGTTGAAGTGTGTGCTGTGTGTGTTCTGGGGGTGAAGTGTGTATGTGTGTGTGCTGGGGTGAAGTGTGTTTCTGTGTGTGTGCTTGGGGTGAAGTGTGTGTCTGTGTGTGTGCTGGGGACTGGCTTACCATGTGTGTGCACTGCAGCCAATCATGTGTATGTGTGTTGGTAGCTGTGAATGATGTGGATGGCTGAGAGACAGAAGAGAGAGAAAAGGCTGGAAAGAGATTATGTTGTAGTCTAAAGAAGGATTATGGAGGTTAGGTGGCAATCTGGAGATGAATTAGGTAGTTGAGGTGGCAGACTGGGAAAGAATTTGGTAGTTGAGGTGGCAGACTGGGGAAGAATTAGTTAGTTGAGATGGCAGACTGGGGAAGGATTATGTAGTTGAGATGGCAGACTGGGGAAGGATACGGTAGTTGAGGTGGCAGACTGGGGAAGGATTATATAGTTGAGATGGCAGACTGGGGAAGGATTATATAGTTGAGATGGCAGACTGGGGAAGGATACGGTAGTTGAGGTGGCAGACTGGGGAAGGATTAGGTAGTCGAGGTGTCAGACTAGGGAAGGATTAGGAAGACTAGAAGGCAGTTTAGAGAGGGACTAAGGAGTTAAGGTATCAATCTGGAAAGGGATCAGGGAACATGTGTGTCAGGTTTTGGGGGAATTAGGATTTTTAGTTTGCAGTTTGGAGAAGGATTGAGGAGGGTAGGAAGTAGTTTCGGGAGAAATTCCTGAGGGTACATGGCAGACTAGGAGGGAGTTGGCTAAACAAGGTGGCAGGCACGGGCACAGAAACTTATCCCTGTGTCCGTGGCTCCACTCCTCACGACCCCACTGCTGCTGCTAAGGCATGACTTCTGTCTACCTGCTCCTGTCATAGGAGGTTCATTGCCCTGCCGTTCCGACCAGCTCACAGAAACAGGAGCAGCCTTGCTGCAAAGCAAACTGAGCACTGTAGCTCCAGCTCGCACTACACGTACAAGCGCTGGAACTTCAGTGCTGAAGATGTGCCCGGCAAGCTCAGGTCAGCTTCCATCTCCCAACAACTTTGAGTTTTTCACATTTTGGGAAGCCTCGCAGCCTGCCCTGCAGAGGTGCTGATGGGGGGAAAAACTAAGGCGTTCAACCATATAAATATTATGCAAAATGCCGCCCCTGTCACAGTGCTGCCTGGAGCCATGGACCAATGGACAGGCCGGCCCTGCATGAATGGCGTATACGTATGAATAAATGGCACAGCAGGGTAAGTCTCTTTTGAAAGTGAACATCTATATGAAAAACATAAATGTACCTGTTTAAAAAATATTTTCGGTTCCTGATGCCCTTCCATTTATTATGGATGTACATACATATTTACACACTAAATCACATTATTCCCAATTATCCCATATCAGGAAGAACACCTTAGATTGGATATAAAACACAGCAGACAGTTGTATTAAGAAAGTTGTGCTCTAATTAGGCCCAGGTTTCAGAGTTAGAGAAGTGTTATTGTAAAACCTGACTGCATAACATTGGATGTGTCAATTGTATCACTTGACATTGCAGAAATATCTCTGTTCTTTAGTTGTTTATGTACTTTTTGGCAGTAAATAAAGAAAATCCACTGTGCACAAATATGTTTGCTACACTGCATGTTGCCTCTTCGAAAATAAAAATAAATGGTTGTTAAAAACAAACAAACAGGATTATTCCTTAAAACATTAATGATAGAGAAATCTTATTATTATCTATAAACATCAAAATATTCCTGGATGGGGTATGCTTTTTAATAGGGAACACAAGTGGACAGGGGCAGTATTATCAAGTGATAAGTAAAGAATGATCTGGATTTATCGACTGAACCCTAAATCTTATCAGAAGCCGAAGACTAACCTAGGGGGAGGTATTGAGCCAATGAGAAGACAGGAAGATGTGTCTGACTGCAGTATGTATTATGAGATGAGCTGGGAATGCGTAAGAACACTAAGAAGTGGGTTACTCTAGTCAGGATGTAAGATGAATGTACAATGAATGTTCATCCGGTCTTAGGTAGGTTCAGATGTTCTTAAAGGATCACTATAGCGTCAGGAACACAAACACGTATTCTTGACCCTATAGTGTTAAAACCACCATCTAGCCCCCCTGGGCCTTTCATGCCTCCATAAATATAGCAAACTCTTACTGTATTCAAGCCTGAAGCTGTAACTCTGCATGCTGTTTGCCTCAGAAAAACTAGCAGTCTGCTGACATCATCAGAAGTGGTTGCCTGATCCAATCACAATGCTTTCCCATAGGATTGGCTGAGACTGACAAAGAGGCAGATCAGGGGCAGAGCCAGCATGATTCAAACACAGCCCTGGCCAATCAGCATCTCCTCATAGAGATTAATTTAATCAATGAATCTCTATGAGGAAAGTTCAGTGTCTGCATGCAGAGGGAGGAGATACTGAATGTTTGGATGCATTTTAGGCAGCCATGACCCAGGAAGGATCTCTAACAGCTATCTGAGGAGTGACCAGTGAAGTTATCATTAGGCTGTAATGTAAACACTGCATTTTCTCTGAAAAGACAGTGTTTACAGCAAAAAGCCTGAAGGTAATGATTCTACTCACCAGAACAAATTCAATAAGTTGTAGTTGTTCTGGTGACTATAGTGTCCCTTTAAGGTGGAAGCAACAGGATTTGGTAATTGACAGAATGTGAGATGTGAAGAAGAGATTGGAATTGAACATAATATAAAGGCAGCAAACCTGTGCTATGGATAGATAGTACAATTGACCTGGAGGGAGATAGACATGGGGGTAGTAGTGCTTGAAGAAAGAAAGGCAAGAAACTTATTTTGTAGAAATTTAGTTTAAGAAAATTAGCTTTGTATCTAGTTAGATGCAACAGAAAGGCAGCTGGAGACATAATTTAAGGAGGATGCAGACAAATCAGGAGTATCTGTTTTAAAGTAAGATCAGAGACCACAGATTAGTTTAGCAAAACAGGCAGTAAAGATTGAGAATGCTTTTGTTAGCAAAGTTTATATTGAATCATGGTAAAGAACTTCTTGTGTTTTAACACCATTTCTATAGTTTTAATTGAGGTGCTTGAAATTTGTGTAGTATGTGTTTTCTGTTTTTTTGTTTTTTTTAACTAGATATACACACTTTAATGTGTTACTATGTGTGCATCTACACCCTGTTCCAAATTATTATGCAAATTCTATTTAAGTGTTACAAAGATTAAATATTTTGATTTTCAGTTTAATTCATGGATGGCATTGTGTCTCAGGGCTCTTTTGATCACTGAAAACAATCTCGGACACCTGTGATAATTAGATTGCCAGGTGAGCCCAATTTAAGGAAAAACTACTAAAGGAGGGTGTTCCACATTATTAAGCAGAGCACCATTTTCATGCAATATGGGGAAGAAAAGAGGGATCTCTCTGCTGCCGAAAAGAGTGAAATAGTTCAATGCCTTGGACGAGGTATGAAAACATTAGATATTTCACGAAAACGTAAGTGTGATCATCGCACTATTAAGAGATTTGTGGCTGAGTCAGAGCACAGACTGGTTTGTGTAGATAAAGGCAAATTGAGGAAGATTTCTGCCAGATCCATGCATCGGATCAAGAGGGCAGCTGCTAAAATACCATTACATAGCAGCAAACAGATATTTGAAGCTTCTGGTGCCTCTGGAGTCCCATGGACATCAAGGTGTAGAGTACTCCAGAGTCTTGCAACTGTGCATAAACCTTCTATTTGGCTACCACTAACCAATGCTCACAAGCAGAAACGGCTGCATTGGGCAGAAAAATACATGAAGACTAATTTTCAAACAGCCCTGTTTACTGATGAGTACCGTGAAACTGGAGTAGTGGATGGTTGGTGGACGGCCACCCTGTTCCAACAAGGCTGCGACGTCAGCAAGGCGGTGGTGGAGTCATGTTTTGGGCCGGATTCATGGGAAGAGAGCTGGTCGGCCCCTTTAGGGTCCCCGAAGGTGTAAAAATAACGTCTGCAAAGTATGTGGAGTTTCTGACTGACTGAACTATGCTTTCCGTAATAAAATCATCTTCATGCATGACAATGCACCATCTCATGCTGCAAAGAATACCTCTGCATCAATGGCTGCTATGGGGATAAAAGGAGAGAAAGTCATGGTGTGGCCTCCATCATCCCCTGACCTCAATCCTATTGAGAACCTTTGGAGCATCCTCAAGCAAAAGATCTATGAGGGTGGGAGGCAGTTTACATCCAAACAGCAGCTCTGGGAAGCTATTCTGACATCTTGCAAATAAATTTAAGCAGAAACTGTCCAAAAACTCACAAGTTCAATGGATGCAAGACTTGTGAAGCTGCTATCAAATAAGGGGTCCTATGTTAAAATGTAACGTGACCTGTTAAAATGTTTAAAAAGTTAAAATGTTGTTATAAGTTTGATTGAAATAGCTTTTGATTTCAGTAAATATGCTGCAAACACAACAAATGACAATTTTCAGTTCTTTACAACGTATCAAGTGTTTTGAAACTTACTGTGCGTAATAATTTGGAACAGTGCATTGTAAATTTTTTATGTTTAAAAAAAATACTTTTATCATTAGGAGGTTTGTTCAATAACATTTGAATTGTACTCTTAATAGTTGATAACATGAGAACTATGCTGACTGTTATTTACATCAATTATTTAGGTAAATTAGAAAAATATAATTTGCATAATAATTTGGAACAGGGTGTATAATGATGTCATCCTTATAAGCCTAAGTATTGCTGCAAACATTCTATGGGTTTTGCACATACACAAAGCATCTGAATTGTTAGTTTGCCTCCGAGCTGCACACTATTCATTATACATTGACACACTATACATTGATAAAGTGGTTTGTGTTGGCATGAAAAAGGCGCAGTGTGATTTATAAACAGTACAAAATATTATCAACAAGAGTCTGGAATCAAAAGCTGCCAGACACATGAAACGTTATTCCTCAAACTTTCAAATAAAGTATAAATGTAAAAAAAAATGTCAGTGCTAAAAAATCATCCCCAAAATGTTGTACAAAAGGGGAGTATTAGGCAATATTACTATTCTTTTTGTGCATAGTTCCCTTTCCAGCTGCACAGCGGCATTGTTTACTTGAGGAAGGTTTTTTTTTCCATTTATACTAAATAAAACAACACAATGAAAGGGAAGAACCACAGGCAGCACAGCCTAAGGTTGATTTATCAAATGGGTTTTTGTAGCAAGAAGGGCAAAATTATTATTCTTTTTTTGGAAAATTTTATTTTTGGACAGTGCAAGCCCATTCTTTTATGTTTAGGAGCGTCGCTGGTGCTAGGTCACTTGACTGCATTAATAAACTTAACCCTTTGCCAGCTATATATCAGCCGCTCGCAATGTATTATTTTCATTGTAGTTATCATTTCATTATGTTCTCTATGAAAACTTCAAATTTTCTTTAATATATGCACTTTTATGATAACAAAAAAATATTACACTTACTTTTCAACTTCCTGGTTCTTGCCCTTCTTGCAGAACTGATTGCTTGTCGGCAGCTGTAGCTTTGGAAGTGAAATAGGCTCAGCGGCTGGCAAGGAATGCAGGCAGTGAATGGTATCTATATGTGACTTCTTACAGCACTCGGCAATTCTGCTGTCTTTTGTTGAAAGTGTTTTGCACACTTGTTTAATGTGTACTGAGAGCTGCAAAATTAAAAACAGTTTTAGCAGAAAGGCATAGTTGCGGGGCTCCTAATGAATAATTAACAGGCAAGCATGCAATGATATCCTATCCTGCTTCACGCAAAAACTTCTAATTTAAAGGGACACTATAGTCACCAGAACAACTACAGCTTATTGAATTTGTTCTGGTGAGTAGAATCATTACCTTCAGGCTTTTTGCTGTAAGCACTGTCTTTTCAGAGAAAATGCAGTGTTTACATTTCAGCCTAGTGATAACTTCACTGGCCTCTCCTCAGATAGCTGTTAGAGATCCTTCCTGGGTCGTGGCTGCCTAAAATGCATCCAAACATTCAGTGTCTTCTCCCTCTGCATGCAGACACTGAACTTTCCTCATAGAGATGAATTGATTCAATTTGGCTCTATGATGAGATGCTGATTGGCCAGGGCTGTGTTTGAATCATGCTGGCTCTGCCCCTGATCTGCCTTTTTGTCAGTCACAGCCAAACTTATGGGGAAGCATTGTGATTGTATCAGGCTACCACTTCTGATGATGTCAGCAGACTGCTTTTTTTCTGAGGCAAACAACATGCAAATCTACAGCTTCTGGTTTGAATACAGTAGGATGTTGCTATATTTATGGAGGCATGAGGAGCCCAGGGGGGCTAGATGGTGGTTTTAACACTATAGGGTCAGGAATACATGTTTGTGTTCATGACCCTATAGTGATCCTGTAAATGTATCCTTGTAGTGGTACTTGTGGAGCATTTTAATTTTCACTCATCATGACATACTTTACGTGGTGTCTCTTTATAGCAAACACAGTTTAATCAAAATCTATGGTTGAGACATTATTGTGATTTGAATTTGTTTGGCCTCTATTAGTCTATACCAGGCCAGGGTAGGCAACCTTTGGCACACCAGATGTTGTGGACTACATTTTCCCTGAGGTTTTGCTAGTAGTATGGCTGTAAGAGCATTATGGGAGATGTCGTCCACAACATCTTCAGTGCCTAAGGTTGCCTAGCCCTGGTCTATACAAAGGGTGGCCAAGCGTAGACCTTTAAATTGCTACAGTACTACAATTGCCATGTTCCAGCTCCATGGAGTTACAGCCCTGCCCCTCCAACTCACAGTGGGATTCAAGTGACAGCATGATAAAACATACATTGTTGGTTTGTGTGTTGCTCTGTGTGTATGTAACTGTGTGCGTGTGAGTCTGTGTTATGTTTCTAAATCTGCATGCAAGTATTATTGTGAGTGTGTTAGTATGTGCAAGTTGCCCGTGAGAGGAGGTACAGAAAATGACATTTGAGACGTGGAAGGAACTCACAGTTGCAAATGTGGTAGATTTGCACAAGTGGGTACATGTGGGTAAAATTCACAGTGGATATCAGGGCCGAGCCAGCATGATTCAAACACAGCCCTGGAAGGAACTCACAGTAGCAAATGTGCTAGATATGCACAAGTGGGTACATGTGGGTAAAACTCACAGTGGATACCATGTGCCCTTCAGACAGTCCTGTATAATAGTTTAAAAATGAAATCTAACCCTGAGAAGCTGTAGGCAAAGGATGACAATAGACGTATCCTCAATGTTTACTTATTAATCATGCAAATTATTGGCAGGGTAATTAAAGTACATTACCAGAACTTGAGGCATTAACTGTACAACCACAAATTGGAATAGTGTGGTAGGGGGCTAGAATGCATTTTATTTCTATATATCTCAAGACAATTGTCTGAAATTTCAATACTATAGTATTTTTTTTGTTTTAGTTTGCTTTTTGTACTTGTCTGGTGAAAATTTGCTGTTACACAGTATACATTACTTGCACTTTAAATCAATGCTTATTTGTCATGTTTCTAAAAATTCAATAAAAACCATATTTGGAAAAACATGCAGAATAAAGCTGCGAAAAGTGTTTGCTTTCATAAACAAATGAATGTTACAAAGGTTTAACACTGCTTCGATTTACTATGTAATCTTATAATCAGTCATTGCATACCATTGGGGATGCCAACTAGAATTAACCATCAGAGTAAAAAAGAGCACAGTTTGTTATTCCGTAATAATGTTATTTTCTAGACTGTATTTTTTTATAAATGTGTGTCAAAGCAGACATTCTTAACATAACAAAAAAACAAACAAAACGCCAACTGTGTTTTTAGAACTATAACTTTAAAAAAAGCGAAGAGGTTTGTCTGACAGATAGCTATTGTACACAATGCAACATGAACATTACTGTTAGAATAAGTCACAACACAGTACTGTTTTGATATACATACCTCACTCTCCATGCAATTATCTGTCAATGAGCTGCAGCACTTAGCAAGCACCTGTGTGCCCTGTTCCACAATTGGTATTATATCTTTATATTCTGCAGAAGGTACTTTTTGGCTGAACATTATTGAGGCACTGGAGAAAAAAAGAAATAATTATGCATGCAAATTTGAAAAGCCTGGTGTGTGCTACTCTTATTTAGCCCTCTAAAGAGTACATCCACATCCCCTTATGTATCATATGCCAATAAGGGATGTCCTGCTTATTCTGCATTTGTAGCTCTATAGCGCCATGCATGTGTTAAATTAGTGGGGCATATTGACATAAGATCTATAAGGGTAGTTTGTTATAACATATATTCATGCCATTGGTAATTAAAAGTGGAATCTTAAAACACACATGTAGACATAGAAAAACACAACAACAAAAACATATTTAACAGGAAAACAATATTATGCAAAAATAAAGAAAATGTAACACGTAAAATACACACACACATATATTGCTGCGTTTTACCTGAATTTAAACTTTTCTTCTCCATAACTGTAACGTGCACACAGTCTATTTGACATCACTGTAAGTAAATGGATAGGTTGTCTCTGGAGTTTCTGCATGTGAATAAAAAAAAATAAGGATTATTATTCCATATCAACAAAAATGCAATGTCTTGCAAAGTATTCACCCTCCTTGGATGTGTTCACATTTTGATGTGTTATAAACCAGAATTAAAATGGGTGTATTAGTATTTAACTATTTGTTTTACACAAGGTACCTAACACTTTGAAAGTGTATTTTTAATTTTTCGTTTCTTGTTTTTTTTACTATGGCACAAAGGTTAAAAGGCACAAAGGAGCAATCTACATGTTCTGACGCAAAATGTAAAATTAGAAACAATGCAGACCCTTCCTAAAGTAAACAAATTAAACAGAATGTGCAATAAGGCAAGTGTAAACATTAGATCTCTCTACAGCTGAGATCTGAGACATTTGTGCTGTGGTTAGTTGAATAGTTGTGAAGCTTCAAACTGCAGGACTGAGGATGTGACTCTGAGGACTGATCTGATTCGTTTTTAATCTGTTATGATTGTTGCTTCTGTTAACCATGTCAGCAACTTCTTTGATCCATATTACCTCTGCAGATTAATTATATTGCCAGTTGCAAAGGTAATAATGAGTCTATCAGTACCCTGCTACTTTAACCCTGTGTACACTGTGTGCTCAGAACTAATAGTTAGTCTGGAGTAGCTGACACGGTTGAAGTCAATATCTTAATGTTTTAACCATGTGCACACTATGTGCTGAGAGCTGATGGAATAGCTGACATTCCATAACAGCAGCAATATTTAATAGAAAGCTAAATGTATCATAACAGAAGCACTACTTACAATGAGACCATGTAATGGTGGACTAAGAGAGGGCTAGAGAGATAGAAATAGAAGCCAGAGAGAGAGAGAACATTTTGCACAGACATGTACTGTGGTTGTATCCTGGTTGTGTGGGATAGTTATATCTTCTTATTGTGCCCAGCTCTGTGTTATTCTTGTGTCTTTTTCTCAGCTCTACCTGCTGTATGGGTATCTCTGTATTCTACCCAGCTCTGTGCATTGAATGGGTATCTTAGTATTGTGCCCAGCTCTGTGCGTTACATTTCCATTTTTTTCTGTTCTGTTTGTGGTATGGTTATCTCTGTATTGTACGCAGCGCTATGTATTTTATAGACATCTTCATGTTGTGCCCAGCGTGTTTTATTTTATGAGCATCTCTGTATTATGCTCAGCTCTCTGTATTGTATGTGTATCTCTGAAATGTACAGTGAAGAGTAAAATTCTGGGAGATAAGTCAGGCACCCCACTATCTTAAAACTTCACTAGTCGCCAATGTAATAGCATCAAATTAAGTAAAACAAACCTGTTTCACGAAACACGTGGCAGATTTCTTAGCTGTGCAACAAGCTGCTGCCATACTGATATAGTTGCTGGTAGAATTAGCAACCACAAGTAGTGGCGCTTGAGCATAATTACTAGCATATTCATACAAAAACCTGGAAAGGAAAACCAGCAATAAATAAATGGATAAATAGTCAATAATAGCCATTAGACAGTTCAATACAGCAAATTCAATCACAGCTTACCATATAAAGCAATAGACTGAATTAAGTAAATAGAAATACATTTTAAATTGAGTCACAATAAGAAAATAAAAATAGTAAAAAAATAAATATGTTTAAACATGTATAAAATAATTTCAGTTTAGATTATCATAATTTCCTTTTTTTACAACATTACGTTTATTAATAATTTTTCAATTTATCATTGAAATTTGTTTTGGAGCAGAACCGATTGGAATGCGCGTATCTATGAATGTGTGGACCACACATAGTAAGCCTTCCTCCTGCATCTCCAACAATAATAACAAAGCAATCGGAAGCAATCGTTCATTACTGTTCATTTATCTTTCCACATTCCACATGTTCAGTGATATTTTATCCATTCTTTAATTTGTACATAAAATTTCAGCTCTTTTCATTTTTCCATTTGTTTTTCATTTCATTTTTTGTGCCTATTTTATTTTTCTTTAAATTATGTTTATAGCTAATCTGTTTGTACATGCAATACATGCATACAATAATCACAATATATGATGCAATATAATTATTTTTAAATGTTTATTTCATATGGTACTAAGAGAGAATGAGTAGGTAATAAACAAAAATATTACTATGAGAACTTAGATTCTGGTATTAGAAAAAAACAAAACAAAAAATAGTTTGTTCAAATTAAAACACACTTAAAGGTTACTCTAAGCATCATGGATTGATATTGCCAAGGCATTTGGCACAGTAGAACATGGCATTCTACTGCAAAAATGACTTTGAAGTAGTCATGGTACAGTAAGAGTGCTGCCCTATTAGTGTCAATTCTGTGCATTGCTTGAATCTATCTTCAGCATGCATAGCATGCTGGTAATAGACCACCAATGGCAGCACAGTCCCTCCTCCATGCTGCCCTGAATCATCTATGACATCCCAACATCCCTCCTTTTGCAGAAAGAGGGAGTGAGGTTACAGAGGTCTAGCTGCAGGGAGAACTTGGCCTTGGCACAGGATCACAGGTATGTTTTTCTCTAATATCTTATTTTGGCAGGAACTGTACCAGCAAGGATTTCTCCATCCAAAATAGAGTTTTATTAAAACACTGTTTTAGCTTGGAGTAACCCTCTATCTATGCCAAGTGCCAAACCACTTGTTTTTTAATCGCTCAAGATTTATTTTTTCCCCATTAGGAATTACACCAAAGAATTGTCAAGAACACAGATGTAGTGCACACATTTTCAGTGACCAACATATCTCCCTGGAAATTACAAGCTTGTGAGTGTAAAATCTGTGTTTGTGAAATTATTTGAATGATTATTAAACTGTTGGGGCCCTAATCAATTGGTCCTTGGTGTCTGAACACCCAACCAAATGTTGGAAGACTGCAAGAGTAGTACCTATCCATAAAAATGATGACAATACTTTGGTATCTATCATCCAATATCATCGATCCCTGTATTGTCAAAAATCTTGAAAAATGCATTCACACACAACTATGTGCGTATTATCAACAATTAAACTATCTAACCCCTGATCACTCAGGCTTTCATCCAAATCACTAAACTAGATTTGCCCTCTTAAAAGTTTGCAATAACATTCAAACTGATATGGAAGATGATTCTTAATTGGCTTTTCATACAGTAGACCATGGCATTCTATTGCAAATACTTAAAGGGACACTATAGTCACCTGGACAACTTTAGCTTAATGAAGCAGTTTTGGTGTATAGAACATGACCCTGCAGCCTCACTGCTCAATACTCTGCCATTTAGGAGTCAAATCCCTTTGTTTATGAACCCTAGTCACACCTCCCTGCATGTGACTTGCACAGCCTTCCATAAACACTTCCTGTAAAGAGAGCCCTATTTAGGCTTTCTTTATTGCAAGTTCTGTTTAATTGAGATTTTCTTATCCCCTGCTATGTTAATAGCTTTCTAGACCCTGCAAGAGCCTCCTGTATGTGATTAAAGTTCAATTTAGAGATTGAGATACACAATTATTAAGGTAAATTACATCTGTTTGAAAGTGAAACCAGTTTATTTTTTCATGCAGGCTCTGTCAATCATAGCCAGGGGAGGTGTGGCTAGGGCTGCATAAACAGAAACAAAGGGATTTAACTCCTAAATGACAGTGAATTGAGCAGTGAAATTGCAGTGGAATGATCTATACACTAAAACTGCTTCATTTAGCTAAAGTAATTTAGGTGACTGTAGTGTTCCTTTAAGAACTCAGGTATTTGGTGATCATCCGCTAAGCTGCTTTAGTCATATATATTGGATAGATCACAATATTTGTCCATTTCTGACAGCACCTCCCAGCTTGGGGGAAGAGACACACAAGGGAATGTAAGACACACAAAGGAAAAAAATGGTGGATAATATAGAGCATGGGTCCTCAAACTCCCCCCAGATGTTGCCGAACTACAACTCCCATGATTCTATGGCTATCTATGTAATTCGAAGAATCATGGGAGTTGTAGTTTAGCAACATCTGGGGGGCCAGAGCTTGAGGACCCATGGTATAGAGGGTAAGACACAAAAGGAGGTAAAAATCTAAAGAGGAGGGTTAAAAGACATAGTTGAAGATACATTTATTTGGAGGGAGAAGCAGCAAAATGCAGCTTTGCCTGTGTATCCAAAAATCCTTGCACCAGTCTGGCAGCAATGAAGGTGATATGTTTTGGGGAACGTCATGTGACAACATATATAATAATTATATACATATCTATTTACAGCATGGTTTACTTATCTGTAACTTAATTATTTGTTAAACTATTATTACACTTTTTTTTATTTTAAATGAACTCATTACCTTATCAAGGTAAATATAAGTAATGTATTAAAAAGGTGTAAGCAAAGAAATGAATAAAAAGACAGTGTAAGATGTCAGATGTAATAAAAAAGATTAATAAAAAGACATCTGTATGTTTATTTTCTGTTGGTTAAGTACATTTAACAGCAAAAAGTGTTAAGCCATTGACATTTGTAGTTAATCACTTGAATATTGCTCAGATAAGTTGTAAATATATCACCTGAGTCATCTCCCTCACTTCCCGCATCATCCATTCTTTTAATGTTGTTATGAATATTGACATGATTTATACTCATATGATAATAGTAATAGGATAGTGATATTTTTCACTGTCTTGCATGGTATGCAGTAAATTATTATAAAAAGTGCAATTTACTCTCTAAATAAAGGTATCTCACAATTTGTTGAGAAGATTTCCTATACTTTATTCCAGCCAAGTGCTTCCTAATGTATGGTAAAACAAAACTATTTACTAGTTTGGTCTTTTGGAGCTTCATAGCTATGTCATAGGTGACCGTGTGACGAAGACATAGTATTAATGACTATAATTGTGAAATTCAAATGCAACTGGGCACACAGCAAGAGATGCAGAAGAATATCATAGCACCTAATATTCAATTAAGGGCTACAAATTGTGGAATGTTAATTGCATTAATTTGGAATGGAGGAACTGCATATGTTGGGTGAGTATATAGCGGTAGCATCCATAGATTTACATTAACATAATTTATAAATAATGCACACCTTCATAAAAAAGATACATGTAAATATAAAATAAACATAGAGCAATATTGTGTGTGCACCAGAAAAATATCAGTGCAAGCCTACCCCTCTATGTCTACCTCTCCGTTACTGGTGTTTAAACATTTCTTATTAAAATATAAATTTTCTTTATAGGATAAATATTAAGTTTTGAAACTGTTAAAGGACCACTATAGTGCCAGGAAAACATACTCATTTTCCTGGCACTATAGTGCCCTCAGGGTGCCCCCACCCTCAGGGTCCCCCTCCCGCCTGGCTCTGGGGAGAGGAAAGGGGTTAAAACTTACCTTTCTCCAGTGCCGGACGGGGAGCTCTCCACCTCCGATCCTCCTCCTCTCCTCCCTTTTGGCTGAATGCGCACGCACGGCAATAGCTGTGCACGCATTCAGCCGGTCTCATAGGAAAGCATTCATAATGCTTTCCTATGGACGCTTGTGTCTTCTCACTGTGATTTTCACAGTGAGAAGCACGCAAGCGCCTCTAGCGGCTGTCAATGAGACAACCACTAGAGGATTTGAAGGCTGGATTAACCCATTTATAAACATAGCAGTTTCTCTGAAACTGCTATGTTTATAAAAAAATGGGTTAACCCTAGCTGGACCTGGCACCCAGACCACTTCATTAAGCTGAAGTGGTCTGGGTGCCTAGAGTGGTCCTTTAAATGCTGTACATGTTAAAGAGTTCAAGCATCTTCTATATAAAGGGACACTATAGTTACCAGAACAACTACAGCTCAACCTCTTAACCCCTTAAGGACGGAGCCAAATGTACACGTTGTGAACGAAACAAAATGTAAACAAAACCTGGCATTTGCGCTACATGTCTGTCCAACCGTAATACACCTCTTTCATAGTAAATGCACCCACCCTTATTATATATCATTTTATTCAGGGGAAACAGGGCTTTCATTTAATATCAAATATTTAGCTATGAAACATAATTTAATATGAAAAAAATGGGAGAAAATACGATTTTTTTGATTTTTTTAGTTCTACATGACATTTTAACGGTCAGTGTCATAATACTGTTTGCTTTTACTGCAATAAAATACACATATTTGTATTCAGCAAAGTCTCACGTGTAAAACAGTACCCCCTATGTACAGGTTTTATGGCGTTTTGGGAAGTTACAGGGTCAAATATAGCACGTTACATTTGAAATTGAAATTCGCCAGATTGGTTACGTTGCCTTTGAGACTGTATAGTAGCCCAGGAATGAAATTTACACCCATAATGGCATACCATTTGCAATAGTAGACAACCCAAGGTATTGCAAACGGGGTATGTCCAGTCTTTTTTAGTAGCCATTTGGTCACAAACACTGGCCAAAGTTAGCGTTAGTATCTGTTTGTGTGAAAATGCAAAAAATGCCAATTTTGGCCAGTGTTTGTGACTAAGTGGCTACTAAAAAAGACTGGACATACCCTGTTTGCAATACCTTGGGTTGTCTACTATTGCAAATGGTATGCCATCATAGGGGTAATTTTCATTCTTGGGCTACCATAGGGTCACGAAGGCAACGTAACCAATCTGGGGAATTTTAATGTGAAAAAAATGAAACACAAGCCTTATATTTGACGCTGTAACTTTTGAAAACACCATAAAACCTGTACATGAGGGGTACTGTTGTACTCGGGAGACTTCGCTGAACACAAATATTTGTGTTTCAAAACAGTAAAAAGTATTGCAGCAATAATATCATCCGTGTAAGTGCTGTTTGTGCATGAAAAATGCAAAAAACTTCACTTTTACTGGCAATATCATTGTTGTAATACATTTTACTGTTTTGAAACACTAATATTTGTGTTCAGCGAAGTCTCCCGAGTAAAACAGTACCCCCAATTTACAGGTTTTATGGTGTCTTGGAAAGTTATAGGGTTAAATATAGTGCTAGCAAATTAAATTCCCTATACTTTCGGCAAGGGTTGTTAGGCAGGTCCCGCTAATTGTAATTAATTAGGATACCTAATTATGTAAAAATATTACATAAATATATGTGTAGAATTAATATATGTATATATATACACATATGTGTATATATACATATATATATAATTTTTTAAAATATTTTTATTTATATATAGGTGTATATATATATAGTGATATATACGTATATATTTATGTATATAGATATATATATTATTTTGTTCTACGTGTATTTTGATATAAATATATATATATTAATATCACAATACAGTTAGAACGAAACAAACATCTATATATTTTTTTATTTATTTTTAATTATTTTTTTAATTTTATTTATTTTACGTATTTACATTTTTTTATATTATATATAAATATATATAACAATAATTAATTATATATATATATATATTTAATCAGTATTAGTCTACGTGTAATTTGATAGTAATATATATATAAATAATTATATATATTAATATTTAAATACACTTCGTGTATGTGTAAATGTGTGTGTGTGTGTGTGTGTGTGTGTATATATATATATATACTTAGATCATATATATATATATAATATATATGATCTAAGTATATTTTATATGTAACTGTAATTTTTTTTTTTTTAAACTAATATTTTATTTATTTTTACAGGAGAGGGGGCAGTGTCAGTCAGTGATTTTACATCACTGGCTGACACACAGGATCAGTGATCACAGTGACTGCCTGTCACTGTGATCACCTCCTGCAGATTGGGTAATTGGCCACAGGGGGGAGTGCCTGGGTGGTACAAGCACTCCCCCCTTCCAATCTGCAGGGGGATCTTTGTGCCAGTTACATGTGTCAGCCAATAGGCTGACACATGTAACACTGATCGCAGTGACAGGCTGTCACTGCGATCAGAGCGCTCTGAGATCGCAGTGACAGCCTGTCACTGCGATCTCAGACTTGCAGATCGCGGTCACTGACCCCAGGGGGACTGCCTGGGGGGCCAGGTAAGTCCCCCGACCGCGATCTGCATAGCAGAAAGCCGCTGGCCACGTGTGTCAGCCGATTTGAAATCGGCTGACACACTTTAAAAACTGATCGCAGTGACAGCCTGTCACTGCGATCAGTGACTGCAGATCGCGGTCACCGGCCACAGGGGGGGTTGCCTGGGGGGCCGGGCATCCCCCCCGACCGCGATCTGCAGCGGGCGAATAGCGCCGGCCACATGGGCGGCCATTAAAGTGAGGGCGTACTATTACGCCCGCCGGCGTTTAGAGCCGGCTCCTGCAGGGCGTAATAGTACGCCCTCCGTCCTTAAGGGGTTAAGGAAGGAGGCAGTTGTAAAAGTTTAGATCAAAACAAAACATAAACAAAACCTGGAATTTGCGCTACATGTTGTTCAACCATAATTCACCTCTTTCATATTAAATGCACCCACAATTATTATATATCATTTTGTTTAGGAGAAACAGGGCTTTTATTTCAAATCAAATATTTATATATTAAACATAATTTAATATGAAAAAATATAAAACATTTGAGAAATTAAGAATTTTTTTTTAGTTCTGCATGGCATTTTAACTGTGAATGTTATAATACCGTTAGCTGTTACTGCAATAGAGTACACATATTTGTATTCAGCGATGTCTCACGAGTACAAAAGTATCCCCCATGTACAGGTTTTATGGTGGTTTGGAATGTTACAAGGTCAAATATAGCCCATTAAATTTTTTTGTTTATGCCCATGAAATTTGCCAGACTGGTCAAGTTGCCTTTGAGACCGTATGGAAGCCCAGGAATGAAAATTACCCCCATGATAGCATACCATTTGCAAAAGTAGACAGTCCAAGGTATTACAAATGGGGTATGCCCAGTCTTTTTTTAGTAGTGACAAACTACTGGCCAAAGTTAGCGTTTAAATTTGTTTGTGTGTGAAAAATGCAAAAAACTAATTTGAACGATAATTTTGGTCAGTGTTTGTGACTAAGTGGCTTTTACAAAAGACTGAACATACCCCAATTGCAATTCCTTGGGTTGTCTACTTTTGCAAATGGTATGCCATCATGAGGGTAATTCTTATTCCTGGGCTACCATACGGTCTCAAAGGCAACATAACCAATCCGGCAAAATTTAAATGTGAGGAAAGGAAATGCAAGGTTTATATTTGACTCTGTAACTTTTGAAAATACCAAAAACCTGTAAATGGTGGGTACCGTTATACTCGGGAGACTTCGCTGACACAAATATTAGTGTTTAAAAACAGTAAAACATATCATAACGATGATATCGTCAGTGAAAGTGCCGTTTGTGTGTGAAAAATGTAAAAAATAGCACTTTTACTGACGATATCATTGTTGTGATATGTTTTACTGCTTTGCACTAATATTTGTATTCAGCGAAATCTCCTGCGTAAAACAGTGCCCCCTATGTACAGGTTTTATGATGTCCTGGAAAGTTACAGGGTTAAATATAGGGCTTGCTAACCAAATGTTGGAATAATGCCCTGTGACCCAGTCTCTGAAGGGAGGGGATCATGCTCTGCTTCAGTATGTCACAGTACATGTTGGTATTCATGGCTCCCTCAATGAACTGTAGCTCCACAGTGCCGGCTGCAATCATGCTTGACTGAAGGCAAGACCAGGGGCGTACCTGGAGTATTTGGCACCCGGGCACCCCCTCCCCTCTCCTCCCAACTTTGAAATGTAGAAGACAACTGCAATTCTTTTTTAATGTATTTGGCACTGAACACCGAAACAAACACAGACACACAAACAGATACACAAACACACAAACAGATACACATACAGATACACAGACATACAGATACACATGTATAAGTGTTTGTTTGCCTAGTGAAAGCAGTGTATTTGTGTAGTGGATGCAGTGTGTTTGCGTAGTGGATGCATTGTGTGCGCTTGTATAGTGTATGCAGTGTGTGTATAGTGAATGCAGCTTGTGTGTATAATGTATGCAGTGTGTGTATAGTGTATGAAGTGTGCAGTGTGTATAGTGTATGCAGTGTGTGTATAGTGTATGCAGATGCAGTGTGTATGTTGTGTGGAATAAGTGCTGACACTTACCTGCCTGTCCCATTCTCCTCAACTGGTGGTCCGGTGGCAGTGAAGAGGGGCCCAGTACTCTCCATGCTTGTTTCCCATCCAGCAGCAGCAGCAGGGTCCTCTGTTCTCGCAACCCGCGGTAACGCTCTCGCGGATCGCGAGAACAGAGGACCTACTGCTGCTGCTGGATAGGAAATCGTGTGGATAATTTCCTAAGCGGCCGATCCCTTTACATAAGACATGTTAGCCCCGAGCACCCCCCTAGTAAGTGGTACCTGGGGCGGACTGCCCCTGCTGCCCCCCCCTTAGTCCGCCACTGGGCAAGACACACTTGTCTTTGTACTTCTCACCTGGTTGACACACACTTGACACCATCTGAGCCAAATAAGTTTATCTTGGTCTCATCGGACCACAGAACATGGTTTCAGTAATCCATGTCCTTAGTCTGCTTGTCTTCAGCAAACTGTTTGTGGGCGTTCTTGTGCACCATCTTTAGAAGAGGCTTCCTTCTGGGACGACAGCCATGCACACCAATCTGATGCAGTGTGTGGAGTATGGTCTGAGCACTGACGGGCTGACCCCCTCACCCCTTCAACATGTGCAGCAATGCTGGCAGCACTCATACGTTTATTTCCCAAAGACAACCTCTGAATATGATGCTGAGCATGTGCACTCAACTTCTTTGGTCGACCATGGCGAGGCCTGTTCTGAGTGGAACATGTCCTGTGAAACCGCTGTATGGTCTTGCTCACCATGCTGCAGCTCAGTTTCAGGGTATTGGCAATTCTTTTTCCTCAGAGAGTTCTTTGCCATGTGGTGCCATGTTGAACTTCCAGTGAGCAGTATAAGAGAGAGTGTGAGAGTGATAACACCAAATTTAACACACCTTCTCCCCATTCACATCTGAGACCTTGCAACACTAATGAGTCACATGACACCGGGAAGGGAAAATGGCTACTGGGCCCAATTTGGACATTTCCACTTAGGGGTGTACTCACTTTTGTTGCCAACGGTTTAGACATTAATGACTGTGTGTTGAGTTATTTTGAGGGGACAGCAAATTTACACTGTTATACAGGCTGTACCATTACTACTTTACATTGTAGGAAATAGGAGTAGGTAATGTATAGAGTCCCACAAGGGGAAACTAACACCAGGAGAGCTCCACTGTATAAGAAATGAGGAAGATGTGTGAGCTGCGCCCCATGGCAGCTGGGGTGTCACACAGCTCACACGGAGAGACCAGCAAGCTGAACTGGCCGCACGGAAGGAAGAAGGGGGTGGAGCAACGACTATATGGGGACGGAGCCAATCCGTAGGTAGGGGAGGGGGTTAACACGGCCCTTACCCGCTGCTGTTACTGCTGCACATGGAGGTGCAGCAAGAAGAAATCCCTGCTCGTCCACCTAACAGGCTCCAGCCAGGGAAGGACTTCAATTAATCCACTCCCCCAGCCCACACTGTCTGTAAGTAAGAGTGTGTGTGTGACTGCATGCCTGTAACTGTGTGTGTGCGTGTGACTGCATGCCTGTAACTGTGTGTGTGTGTGTGTGTGTGTGACTGCATGTCTGTAACTGTATGTGTGTGTGACTGCATGTCTGTAACTGTGTGTGTGTGTGTGACTGCATGCCTGTAACTGTGTGTGACTGCATGCCTGTAACTGTGTGTACCAGTCTGCCTGTAACTGTGTGTGTGTGTGTGTGTGTGTGACTGCATGCCTGTAACTGTGTGTGTGTGACTGCATGCCTGTAACTGTGTGTGTGACTGCATGCCTGTGACTGTGTGTACCAGTCTGCCATTCACTGTGTGTGTGACTGCATGCCTGTGACTGTGTGTGTGACTGCCTATAACTGTGTGTAAGATCTTATTCCATATTGATAAAGCCGTATTGGCGAAACGCGTTTATGGATATTTTATTGTGTATTTTTATATATTAAAGATTATTTGGTCACTCTATACTTGTGCCATTTATCTTTTGATACATTTTAGATTGTTTTTTTTTTTTACCTGGCATTTTTTATCACCCTGGACTCCAAGTAATCCTAGGTGGGGATCATACCACCAGCGCTATCTTCATGGAGCAGTTGGCCTGCTCCTTCCTTGTGAGTACCATTTTATATATTTTATTTCCAGTATTTTATCCAGTGAGCACTATTGGTTGTCTCTTTTTATCCGAGTGTTGAACATACCACGGATGGAGGAAGTCTACCCTATTCCCCATAAGCGGGGATTGTACCGCTGTACGCCTTTTACACTCGAGCGAGTTATAGCTCTTGCAAATGTGAGTTTTATACCAGCCTTCTATATTTTATTCTTTTTATTATTAGACTTATTGCACTATTTGGTTCTCTATCTGTTTTATCTCTTACAAATGAGTGGACCTATACGGAGGAGAACAGCGAGGACATTTGTTCCTGACCAAGCACCTATAGACTCTGTGACTCCAATAAGAGCATTTTAGATAAGACTCTTTTTTTTTTTATTGGACTATTTGTTATTTTTAGTCCACATTAAGTATTTCTGGAGCAGCCCTTATTTCTTATTTTTCTCTCCTTTTGTTATACTTTAAGGGTGTTTGAGGGATTCCCTTAAAGGGTTGCTGCCTATTTGTTATTTAGCACTTACTCTTTTTCCTGTTTTACTCTGTAACTGTGTGTGTGTGGCTGTAACTATGTGCATGACTGTCTGCCTGTGACTGTATATGTGATTGTCTGCCTGTAACAGTGTACGTGACTGTGTGTTACTGCTTGTAACTGACTGTGTGTGTGACTATATGTGTGACTGTGTGCGTGTGACTGTCTGCCTGTAACTGTGTGTGAGGGTGGTGCAGGGATTTTGTGGAAGGGGGCAGGAGTTTTTAAAAAGTTTACAAATTTGTGTAATACATTTTAAAAAATGTAAAAAAAACAACAACAAACAAAACAAACACATTTTAAAAATGTAGTAGGTGGGTTTGATCTTTTTTTTGGAGAGGGGGGGTGCCAAACCAAGGACCCGCCCCGGGTGCCATATGCTCTAGGTACGCCCCTGCTCGTGATCCGTATCACATAATTTGAGGATGATAGGTTCACTTTAAGTGGATGACCTAAATAGCATCATGTAGAGCCTAAGCACAATTCTCTGGAAGTAAGTTATTCAGTGCACAAAAGGCACTCACAATTTGTAACAGTTATAAACGTGTGTATACATTTACTTTTTATGCAGTATATATATATTAAAATAATAACTTTTGATGAAAAGGTGTGAGCTATCCTGTATGTATTCTCAGAAAATACTGCATTTTTTTTGCTTATTGAGTGGACAGCTAAAACTGTAGAATGCAGAAAAAAACGGACTTCTCCTTTTTATATTAAAAACTATGCTTTTATTTAAGAATCTTACCTATTTTCCTCTATGTTCCCCTATTTTTACTTTTACCGATTAATATAATTAACAAAGGGGCTGATGCACAGGGGGGACAGCTGGCCCGACGGGGCGTGACCATTCCTGCCTGCTTTATTCTACCCTACCTAACCTATACTTAGGCCCTGGGGCAACTCTTCTTCCCTCTCTACCAACCTACTTCTGATTTTCACCTGTAACCTTTACATACACACGAGCAAATAGATAAGACACACTCATGCTATAGTGATAAGCCTGTATCTTGTCCGGGAACCAGTCAGTGCGATCATAGAAAGACAGCACTATAATTCCCTCATTCACGCCTATCATGGATTTCACCAATGAACACTTCACATGCTATGTATGCAACCTTACTGTGCTATATGCAACCAGGACCTGCGAATCCTCACTGTTGAAAATGTTTGTATTGACAAAACTCAGTTTCTATACACACAGAATCTTAATAAAACAGATTTTAAAAAAAAAAAACATAGGGGCTGATGGAGCTGCAGGCCCATGGAATAGGCCCATTTTCTTACACACTACTCTTAGGTTTGCCACCTGACTGGTATTTTACTGGCACAGCCGGTATTTGAGGCTGCCTGGCTGTGCAGGCATTGCAGTAATACTGGCAATACAAATGCAGGTATTTTTCTCAGTATAAACAGAGATTACTCTGCAATACCAGCACCGGCCAGTAGGGGTCCCTGTGTGTGGAGAAAGGCAGGGATAGGAAGTTACAGGGGGAGCAGCTACACAGCACAGAGTCCAGACAGCAGCTCAGGTGAGAGATGGGGGAAAGGCAGCAGGGAGACTAGGGGACACTGGGAGACCTGGGGACACTGAGATACTTGTGGACATTGGAAAACATGGGGTCACTGAGACACTAGGGGACACTGTGAGACATGGGGATGCTGTGAGACATAGGGATATTGGGAGACACAGGCATTGGGACATGGAGACACTAGGGACACAGTGTCCCCATGTCTCCCAGCCAGTGTCCCTAGTGCCTCAGTGTCCACATGGCTCCCAGTTTCCCCTAGTCTCTCAGTGTCTGTGTCCCCATGTGTCCCCTAGTCTCCCAGTGTCTGTGTTCCCATGTCTCTTAGTGTCCCCATGTCTCCCAGTCTCTGTGTCCTAGTGTCCCCAAATGTCTGTGTCCCCATGTCTGTATTCACAAGTGCCCCCATGTCTCTGTGTCCCCAAGTATCCTAGTGACATGGGGACACACTGAGACATGGGGACACTGGGAGACTATGGGACTGGGCAACATGGGGACACTGACCCTGTGATAAATAGGGACACTGAGACACTGGATGACTACGAGACTGCGAGACAGGGAGACACTGGGAGCAATCCATCTATACAGCAGAATCAAACTGTCAGTACTTTGTTGGTGATTTTACAGAATGTTCTCTTATGTCACTCCTTGTGATTTACATCATGTGATGTCATGCATAACTAATTATACAAATTATTAAGGATGGTATTTTTTTCAAAGAAAGGTGGCAACACTAACTACTCTTCACATACTCTTGCTTAAAGGAACACTATACAGTCAGGAACACAATCATGTATTTCTGACTCTATTATGTAAAAACCACCATCTAGCCTCCCTGACCACCTCTTGCCTCCCTAAATATAGTAAAATCTTACTTGTATTCAAGTCTGCAGATGTTGGCTCTGCCTCTGAACTGATATCATCAAAAGTGGTGGTCTGAGCAAATTACAATGCTTCCCCATAAGATTGGCTGAGACTGTCAACTAGGCAGATCAGGGGCAGAGCCAGCACAAGTCAGACATAGCCCTTGCCAATCAGCATCTCCTCATAAAGATAAATTGAATCAATGCATCTCTATGAGGAAAGTTCAGTGTCTGCATGCAAAGGGGGGAACTAGGCAGTACTGCCCCAGGAAGCACCTCTAGCAGCCATCTAAGGAGTGGCTAGTGGAGTTATTTTCTCTGAAAAGACAATGTTTAATGCAAAAAGCCTGAAGGGAATGATTCTACTTACCAGAACAAATCTAATAAGCTGTAGTTGTTCTGGTGATTATAGTGTCCCTTTAAGTTTGGAAGCAAATAAAAGCAATAAAATTAGTTTAGGTAATGCAGACTTTGGTTTCTCTAACACTGTGGCATGTCCCCTTTATTCTACACTCACTACATACACCTTTACGATATACCAGGAACTTCTGCCTGCTAGTAAGATGATAAGGAGACAAGTGGACCAGCGAGTGCTAGGGGACAGTCCTTAGAAAGCGTGGAGTATGCACATCATTTGATGCATTTATGTCAAGCTCAGGGTGCTGCCTGCATAGTATGCCCTTAGTTGGACAGCCTGCATGATTGGCAGGCAGCCTGACATGCATTCATACCAGGCTGGCCTTCCAATTCTTTGGACAAACATGCCCCCTTTTTGGGCATGTTCACCCCTTTTGGCAGGTCTGGTCACGTGATTCGCGTCAGTGGCACACCCTTTTACGCTGCCCATTGACTTCCTGCTTCACTGGACACTGCTATTAAGGGGTATGGATTTACTTGAAACATGAAAGCATAAATTAGAGAGAGATTAGTATAGAGTATGTGTTTTCATATAGCTGCATCCTTTCCCTCCAACACCATCTCCATCAGATACACGACGCTTGGGAGGTATGGTTGTTTTTAGTATTTTTGGCCGATAAGATTCTGTAATTAGGCCCATCATAATTGTCCGCTCCAGGCCCACTGGGCTCTTAAACTGGCCCTGTATATACACATCTAGAGCTCAAAGTATCTCTATCACTATAAATATATTTTCAGACTTTAACTGATATAAAAAGTAAAATCGCCCACACTCAAAGGACTTCAAATAGTGGGTAAAAAAAAAAACCTTACTAAGGTACATGTGATATATTATTGGATAGGATATCTTTTGTTCAGATGCTCAAATATGGATGAGGAAAAGTATTTCCCGTTAACATATGACTGCAAGTTACACATCCCGTGCAACAAAATCAACGCTTTGTAGCGCTGGTGCAATATTTTTTTCCTAATAGGATGTATTTTTCTCTTTATATATTGAATAAAAAGGGGCATTTTATTGTTCTACTACTTGTTTCTGGCAGCTTCACTAATGAGTTTTCTGGTCTGTTTAGCTGCTCTTTTATGTTGGGCTGAATAGGTGTATTCAGCCCTTGTTTGTTTGTTTATAGGTTACCTTTGATCCTTATACACTTTATCTTGTAATGTGCACTTTTCACAGATTTTTGGAAACATTTCATGACCATGCCATCTATTTATTTTTATTTTTTTTAAATTGGGCTACTTTCATGATATTGTATTATATTTTTGCCCAGTTTGAACGCTGTAGTTTTAACGTTTAATCATCACATGACTCTGTATGAAGTAGATGCTACATCCGGTGTTCGGGACTGCCGATGGTGTAAGGATGATGCCTCAATTGGTGTAATTGTTAGATTTTATTTACCCATTTTACATATACACACTTGTATGATTATTTCATTGCCTTGATAATGACCTTATAGGATCAAAACATTGTTTGTAGGCATGTATTAGTACATTTTTCTTTTTACAATTTTAAGTGCTTTGGGTGCTGACAATTTACTTTTTATTATTCATATCAGTTTGGTTTAGCACCTAGGCACATTGCATTAATGTGGTCCTTGCATTAATTTGATGAGTTCTGGATAGAATATATATGTGTTGTGGCATATGTTGCAATGTATGATCATATACTGTAACCCCTTTGATCTGATGGTTTTTGTTAAAAAACAAACAAAAAAAACACCTTATAAAATATGTGAACTTTGACGTTCCTGTTTAGTGGATGAGTGAATTAAAATTGATTTTTCTCTGGTATGTTAATTCCTCTTTCTTAGGTCCTCTACCAGAGGATTTTGAGTCTGAGGGTTCTAAGCACATGTTAGCTGTTCCTAGAACTACATTTTTCTGGACAATGATCCTAGAATCTGTTGAAGCCACTCCTCCAGCTTAGGAGTCACAGTCCCGTGTGCTCCTATCAGAACTGGGACTACTACTGCCTTCACTTTCCACATCCTTTCTAGATTTTTTTTCAGTCTTTGGTATCTGTCTGTCTTCTCATGTTCCTTCTTACTGATGTTATAGCCTCTGGGTATTGCCACATTCACCACAACTGCAGTCTTCCGTTCCTTGTCTACCACCATGATGTCAGGCTGGTTGACCAGTACTTACTTGTTAGTCTGGATATGGAAGTCCCACAGGATTATAGCCTTGTCATTCTCAATTGCCCTTTGTGGTATCTCCCATCTGGACTTAGGCAGGTCCGGCCCATATTCTGTACAGATGGTTTGGTACACAATCCCAGGAACTTCGTAGTATCTCTTCATGTATGCTGTGCCTGCTTACCTCTTGCATCCGGCTACTATGTGCTGGATTGTCTCAGAGGCCTCTTTACACATTCTGCACCTTGGGTCTTGCCTGGTGTGGTAGACACCTGCTTCTATTGACCTAGTGCTGAGTTCCTGTGCTGCTAGAATAAGTGCCTCAATGCTGTCTTTCAGTCCTGCTTTTTCATACCACTGGTTGGATTTTGCCATTGATTTGTGACTTCAGGACTCTTTGGAGGTAGTTGGATGTTGCTATCCTCCTTGCCTCTTCTTCATGGTTGCCATGTGTTTGTGGTACCCCCAGATATTTGTATCTGTTCTCTACATCTTCTAGTTGGCCTTCTGGTACTTGAACTCCTTACCTCTTTTTGCTGTCATTTGCCCACACTTCTCTAGCCTGAACGACATTCCAATGTCCTTGCTGTATATCCTATTTAGGTGGATCAGTGAATCAATGTCCCTCTGATCCTTGGCATACATCTTGATGTCATCCATCTAGAGTAGGTGGCAGATAGTAGTAGCTCCACTCTTGCACCTGTATCCGTATCCACTCTTCTTGATGATCTGTCTCAGGAGATAGTGCATCACCTTTCTATATGCCACAGTTGATATTCACTTGTGTTATTGTCCTGGAATTGGCATCTAGAGTTGTTTTCCACTTGCCAATTGAGTTCTTGATGTAGGCTCTTATTGTCGTGTTGACCTTGTATTTAACCAAGCATTCCAGTATCCATGTGTGTGACATTATATCATAGGCTTTTTTGTAGTCAATCCAGGCTGTGCAGAGACTGGTCTCTCTGGTCTTAAAATCCCTTGTGACTGCTTGGTCTACCAGTAGTTGGTGTTTTGATCCTCTGGTGTTTCCAATCCCTTTCCAAGTATTGCTCACCGACTGACTTTTATATGGAGGCTATGATACCTGACAGAAGTTTCCATGTTGTGCGGAGGCAGGTTATTGGTCAGTAGTTGGATGCCGTTGTTCCCTTGTGAGGGTACTTTGTGGCCATTAGTGTTCTGTCCCGTGTTAGCCAGCCAGGGTGTGGGTTATGTCAGATCCTGGGGCTAACTAACTCTTCATGTGTGCTACTTGTTGTTGGATGTCTTTTGACTGTTATGGTGACTAGTTCCTGTTCTGGTGGCATGCAGTTGTCTGCTTTCAGGTTTAGTAGCCACTGGTCTTCAGTGTTATGAGATGCTTCTTTCTCCCAGATATTCTTTCAGTTTCTGCCCTGAGTGGGTCTTGGGAGGAGATGTGATGGTATTCCTGCAGATGTGCATACACCTTGGATGATTCTTTGCTAAAGAGGACATTGATTGCCTTAGCCTCTGCTTCTCTGGTGTATCTTCTCAGTCTAGTGGCCAATGCTGTTAGTCTTTGTTTACCTGTTTCCAGTACCTCTCGTATGGGCCTATCCTTGTACTTCCATAGTAGCCAGCATCTATCCTTGGTATTTCCACCTCTGTTAAGTTGATCCAGTTTACTAACTTTCTTCCGTCTTGTGTTGTCTTTATCTTGGCTTTCAGTCGTAGTCTCCATCAGTGGCGGCACTAGACTTGGTGAGACTCAAAAAATGAGGTCTCCACTAACACCCAAAGTAAAAAATAGGGCTTGCATTGTGTGTATAAGGTGCTATAGTTGTATTGAAGGACAAGTTTTCAGCACTGGATACAGAGAGCTAGTCTCTGTGCCACTGCATTGTGAGTTCTCTGACTGTAGTAATGGCATAATTTGCTAATTAAATTAATTTAAATTAAACAAATTTAACTAGCAATTATGCTAATCGTTAATACTGCAGGGTGTGGTTACATAGCCTTTCAGTCGTATTTATAAGTTCCGGTGTTTCTGATTGTGTCTGGCATTGTCTAACTGTGTGTGACAGGGTTTGGGGTGAGTGTGGCAGGGTGGAGAACAGGATTGCAAGGGTGAGTGTGGCAGGGTGAAGGTGGTGGGGCAGACTGATAGAAGATGAGTGTGATAGAGTGGGTGTGAAGTGACAGGGTATGGTGGGGGCTGTGACAGGGTAGGGTAGCTGTGGCAGGGTAGGGGGGACTCTTACCCTATCACAGTTACAGGGTGGGGGGCTGTGACTTGGTATGGGTATGTGACATGGTAGGGGCTGCTGTGACATGGTAGGGGGAGTTGTGACAGGCCCTGCATCTGGCAGCATAATGGGCACGTCACCAGGCCCCCTCCTGTGTCAGGCCCTTGGTCAAAAACCCAACAAGTCAGTCTGCCCTAAGGCAATTCAGGTGGACTTGATGCCCAGTCAGCGGAGGTCATAGACGGCCGCCTTAATTGCCTAGTTAGAGAGCTGCCTCTAGTCTCCATGGTGGGCATTGCAAATCTCTGGGCCTGACCTTGTAGTCAAGCAGCTGGAGGACCACTAATGCTGTGGCATATATGAGCTTGTTTGTCTCTGTGATGGTGCAGGTTTGGATTGTGGACAGTGCATCATTAACTGCAGCTAACATGCTGTCTGGTGGAAATTTTCCAGTGATATTTGGAAGTCTTGTTTGCTGGTCAACGACTATTGTTTTTTATGATTTTTCTTATCTGTTATGCCATCTTGGGGCAAAGATTAAAGTTGGCAATTCTCTGCAGGTGTGGATATGGGTATGGGAATGTATCCTCATGATGCATGGTTGATGTTCTCTTCTGTAGTCTGTTAAAGCCAGTTGTGATACTAGATTCCTTTTGACAGTGTGTAAACAGCTGTTAGGGTATTTGATGGTCTCTTACTCATCCATATCTCCCACAAACATTTCATGTAGTCTGCTGTTGTAGTAGCATTTAAGCTGGTCTAGGTTCTTGCTTCATGTCCAGGAATGATTTCTTCCAGTAGCCCACTTGTCGTCAGTTTTCCTTGGTTCCCTAGCATCTAAGGGGGACCTTGTTAATTTGGTCGACGTCCAAGCCGGCATGACTCTCTATCTATAATAGAACTCAAAGTATCACAATTTAGAAAGACACTAAACACAAATGCATCCCTGCATTGACTCAGACATTTCACAAAAATGTATCCCTACATTCACACAGAGGCATGCGTACACCCCTGCATTTATAAATACACTCACACATCACTGCCTTCACAGACACACAAGCACTTTATGCTGTGAACGTGACCTAACTTAAATTTAAAATGCCTGGCACATACGTTTTGAGGTGATGAGTACATTTTAGGCCTGACTATGTGACAGACATTCTTCAATCTTGTGAACTGAAGCAAATTCCATTTTAAAATTTGAATATTCAACATTTCCCAATAATTTAGTAATGTACAAACACTGTCATGTGATACAGTAAAAAAAAAAAAGGATTTAACCATTTCTACAATTTCTATATATTCACTACATGGCTTTATGCTGAGTTGAAGGGATACTCTAAATCAGGGGTTCTCAACGTTAGTCCTCAGGACCCCCTACCAGTCCAGGGTTTAGGGATTACCTGGGTGTGTCTAAGGTGTTTAGAAAAAGAGAAAAAAAACACGCTAGAGTCTAAGGTGTTTTTTTCCCTTTTTCTAAACACCTGAGACACACCCAGGTAATCCCCAAATCCTGGGGGTCCTGAGGACTGGGTTAAGAACCCCTGCTCTAAATCAACTTTAGTTTAATAAAGCAGTTTTGGTGTATAGATCATGCCCCTGCAGTTTCACTGCACAATTCCATGCCATCAAGGATTAAATCACTCTGTTTTTGCAGCTCTAGCCATACATCCCCTGGTTGTTCCTCAAACAGCCTCCATAAAAAAGATTTTATTTTTACAGCACAGTGTATTTTCTTTAAAAGTCCTTATCTCCTGCTTTATTTGAAATATTATCGCACACAGGAGGCTGCTGGAGGCTTTAGCAGGCAACAGGGCCTAGATAAGAAATTCTAATTTAAACACACTGTGCAAAAAGCGAAATAAAAAACTGTGTGAGTGGCTGCATAACAAATGTAATTTAACTAATGGCAAAAAAAAAGAGTAATGATACTGCATGGGGCATAATCTACACACCAAACCACATTATTAAGCTAAATTCGCTTTGAAACTTAGGGTGCCGTTTGACAACTGACTTGAAAAGTGTAGGCCAAGATAGACATATTGGGAGGGGGAGGGGGGGGGACTTACAAACTTAACAAAAATTGAAGTATTTTAACATTAGGTTATTTTAGCGTAGATGTCATGTGCCAACTCAGCATTACTATTTGACAAATAGACTGTGTAGTTCCATCAGCTGACAAATTTGATATATCACCCTTTTACAACAATGATACAGCAGTAAAGCCAAGTAGAAATAAACTAATTTTCTGATATGTATCTAGAATAGAGAGTATACAGCACTTTACTGGACAAAGTATCCTGTTTGTCAAAGTAAACTTATTTCTTATTTCCAAAAGTTTTAAGGTTGTGTCTGTTGAAATAGACTACTTTAATTAATCTGCCACAAGGCTATCAATAATACCTTAAGATATTCAATACAGGATTTGTCTGGTGTTGTAGACTGGCACTTGGCACACTAAATATAGATGATTTAATTAGTTAGAGAGAGACATTTCTGACTTGCCTGGCAGAAAACAATTTTGGATCTTTCCTGAAGGCTTCACATAATTCTTCATTAGACTGTTCCAAATAGGTTGGGAATTCTTTTGGAGGCTGCTTAAGATCTGCCAGACACAGCTTTCGTTCTAGACCCTTGTGAATGCAACATCTTTCAATACCAGGATGTTTAGGGAAAGGAGACTTTGGATCACATGATTTTACTGATAAATCAGTTGCCTTGAATAAAAAAGATGCAAGTTAGCAAGGTGATAGTAGCAACACAATAATAAAATAATGGAAAGAGTCATTAGTAGATATGCCATTAAGATATATTAAATTCCTTCTTAACATCAAATATGGATGTAGTGCCCCTTTATGGTTCTGTTCTGGGGCCACTTCTTTTCAACATATTTATAAATGATCTTTAAGTAGGCATTAAAAGTCATGTTTCAGTGCTTGCAGATGACACAATACTCTGTAGAGTAATACAATGTGAGCAGGATAATGTGAGCTGCAGAGGAATATAGATAGATTGGTGGACTGGGGACTCAAACGGCAGTTCAACTTTTTAATGTAGAAAAATGCAAAGTTATGAACTTTGGAGTAAAGAGTGCACAAGTAACTCACACCCTAAATGGTAGTGAATTAGGGATAACAATACGAAAGGATTTGGGAGGGGACCATGGGGGACATTAGGTCTCCCCTTTTATTAGGGTCCCCACCCGCCACACGTGGGTGGGGAACTGAGGGGGTATTTTATTTATTTAGGGTCCCCATCTGCCACTCATATGTGGGGGTGGGGGTGGGGGGAGTGTAATAGCCCAGTAGTATTAAATGATGAACTGTGGCTGTTTAGGTAACATGCCCCTACTCACAGCATACCGCGAGTAGGGGCATGCGGGAGGATTTAACCTCCATTTTATTAATGGGTTTCAATGTGGGGGGGTGGGGAGTAGGAATGGCTTATTACAAGGAGGGAGCTGGTAGTGCTGCCAGCTCCCTCCTTGCTTTTTTTGTTTTTGCGCTTTCACAGTGCTGTTTTCGTCCTAATGGACAAAAACAAATTATTTTTTAACAAATTTCGATTGAAAACGAATGATCATTTGTACGAAATGGAAAATTTCTCTGGTGCACATGTTTAATAGACAACAAACTAAGTAACAATGTGCAATGCCAATCAGCAATTGCTGAGGCCAGTAACATATTGTCATGTATTAAAAGAGGCATTAACTCTTAGGGTGAAAATATAATTTTTCTAAATGAGTGGTAAGACAACACCTTGAATTTGCACAAGAAAAAGTGCAGAGGCAGTCTACATAACTAATAAAAAGAATGGAACATTTTAGTTATTTAAAAAAAAAAAGTTAACAAATTGAAGTTTCTTTAGTTTATAAAAACAGCACCTCAAAGGTGATATGACAGCATTATTTATATATATATATATATATATATATATATATATATATATATATATATATATATATATATGTGTGTGTGTGTGTATATATATATATATATATATATATATAAAAATATATATATATATATATGTGTATGTGTGTGTGTGTGTGTGTGTGTGTGTGTATGTATGTATATATATATATATATATATATATATTTATTTATAATATATTTGGGCCAATACAAACCATTGTCTGCAAATCTATTCATAAACCGAACTATACATATGACACAAGGTCACACATTTAGACTGGAAGAAAGGAGATTTAGTCTAAGGCAAATTAAATGTTTTTTTTTTTTTCACAATAAGGATGTGAAACTATCTGCTTGAAGAGGTGGTTTTATCAGAATCTGTACAGATGTTTAAACTGCAACTGGATGAATACTTGTAAAAGCATACTATTCAGCGATATACTTTTTAATTTGTGGGTAATAGCTTCTTGAACTAAGGAGGGATCTGACTGCCATTCTGTGGTCAGGAAGGGATATTTTCCTAGTTTGTTGCAAAATTGGAAGAATTTCAAAGTGTTGGGGGTTTTTTTTTTTGCCTTCTTTTGGATTAACCTCAAAAACAGATGTGAGAAAGCCTGAACTTGATGTATGCATGTCTCTTTTCAAGTATGTAACTGCCAGATGTTCCAGGAGGTTTGGAGAATTGGTTGCATTGGATTTCTAACAAAGTCAATCTGTTATAACCTGTGTGGAAGATGATATTATATTTTTTTAAATATAACCTATAAAGATTTTATTGAAATCTTCTACAAATGTGTATATAACATTAAAGGAATACAAACCTGTATTCCTGACACTTCTGGGCTTGTGTGGCTTTTTAGATGGAATCTAATAGTATAATCAATTAAATAAAAATACAAAAATTAAAGTCCTGCGCTCACTCCCATCACTCCTGGGCGGCAGCAATGACCACAGTACATATCAGCTAATACATATAGTAAAAAACAAAGAAAAAAAAGTTACCTGCGCTCTCTCCTTAATCCCTATGTATATTTAAACATATGGAGGTCATTTAGTTACTCCAATGGCCACTGGAGGGAATGCCCGCCTGCCAACGTCAAGGCAGACCCCCCTAGACGGGTCCTACTCTGACCCTTCACCTTGCTTCCTTGAGCTTCTGTCAAAAATCTCTGAGACAGGGGTATTTTTTTATATACACCCCTATATACTTGTTAACCCTTAATAAGTAACACATGGGATGGGTGGCAGCATTGTAACCTAGCTGTGTGATACAAAAAGAAGTCCTGCGCTCACTCCCATCACTCCTGGGCGGCAGCAATGACCACAGTACACATCCGCTAATATATATAGTAAAAACCAACTGTATGTATTAGCTGAATCGCAATGTTGTCATTGCTGCAGCCCAGGAGTGATGGGAGTGAGCGCAGGACTTTAATTTTTGTATTTGTATTCACTTTTTGTATCACACAGCTAGGTTACAATGCCCATCCCCTGTGTTCCCTATTTTTTTTTTTTTTGGAATGTTATAAGGCTATAAGTACAAGTAGCATTTTGCTATTTCCAAACCATTTCTTTTCACAATTAACGTGTTACATTGTAACACTGATATCTGTCAGGAATCCCTGAATAAGCGTTCACATGTATATTTAGGTATTAGGTATTCTAAACTACGTTCTGGCATCTCTTCAGTCCATTTATGGTGTGACAGACCCATCTGTCTGGATTACAAATGCTTTGTTCGCCTGTTTTGCCAGTTACATGAATTTCCCCATTCGTATGCTTTATTCAAGGGAATGTCGGTTTTGTCGAACGGAACTACCGAACGGACGGCCACCCAGAAGAGAAGTGTGCTGCTGGTTAACCTATTGATCCCAATTAGAACGTTGCGGTTAACCACAGACACTTCTCAATTAAAACCGAATGCCGGGTGGTCGTCGTTCGTATGTCGACCACGAGGCGGCGGCCATTTTGTCCATGCGAACGACCAGCGGTGTTCGACGATTATTTCATGGATCTGAAAACGGACACTTTTTCAGCCGAACACCGCTGAAGCCGTCGACCTCCCCTTCTCAATTGACAAAAGTATACGAATGCCAGCCGTTCGGGAGATTCAACCACACGAATGGACTTAACCCAGATAGCCGTCCCATGGAGTCAATCGCATACCGAAGAACTGAAAGAGACTTTGACTCCATGGCGATTGAACTGTGCGAATGGGATCTGAGCGCTATTCTCCACTAATGTGCACTCAGATCCAGGCTATCTGGGGATATGCAATATGAATGTAATATGTTCGGCAGTTATGAAGTTATGGATTTTCATGTGTTTTTGTGACTTGTGTTGAAAATGGCGATTGCCTCTGCTCGGGGAGATAATTGAGTTACTTCCCAATTATCCCTCGAGCAGAGGGGAGGGAACTGTGATGCATGCTGGGAATATTGTGGGGATGTATGTCCAAAATGTCCCCATGTCCTTCTGTGATTTCAGTCTCCCATTTGGTCCCCTAGGGGAGTGTCCACCAAGTGGGAGACCTGCATAAATACAGGTAGCCCACAGTAAATCAGTTCGTGTTTTACCCTCAAAGCGGAGCTTGGTCTCGTTATTGGGGGGGATTTTACTACCGGCGCTTAGAGACTGCTTATTGGAATTCTTTGCCGCTTGGGAGATATTAGCGTTCGGCTAATATTGGCAGTTCGTGGATTTGGAGCTCGTGAAGGGAAATAGCCGTACAGGTACCGTTCGGGAGTTTGGAGTGTTCCCTAGCTGGCGATTCGCATGGTTTTAATATACACGCTACCAGCCTACATTATTGCGAACGAGGAGCATTCACTAAACGGCGGTTTGTGCATTTATTACTGGAGGTACCGTAACATATGGTAATCTGTGCGTATTACCAGGTCTGCCTGACGGAGATTAATATTTGATCCTCTGGCAAGGGCAGACCTGGTCGTGTGGTAAGAGTCATTAGAACCATGGATTGTGTTCTCTGTTTATCCCACCAGGATCCGACCAATTCCCAGTATCACGTTCAGATGCTGCCGCTAACAGTGGGTTGCAGCAATCTACAAACTATTGATTGAGGATTTCTGGCCAAAGAGACTCGGTCTACCGTCCTTTGCGAAACACCGCCCTTTGTCGAATTTACCTGATAAGTGGCGGCTGCATTCATGTAGAGAATCCTGGTCGGGCATGACAGTTAAAGGTTATACAGACAACAGGACAGTCCGCGACATATATTCATACGGGTCAAGCATCTTCATTGACCATCGTGAAGCTAGTTCGTGGGCCGTCCTGGTCGTCGGTCAGTTTCAGTTCTTCCTCTTTTAGGAATGCATCACAGGCTACTCCAAATTTGCCACGGACGCTTTGCCCCATCATTAGGAATTCTTTGTTCCTCACACTACTGCCAAACACCCGACCAAAACTCATTTCAACGTGAGATGAGATATATGACATAGGGTGATCCACAGAGGAAACAAAATCAATGTAGTACCTTAAAATCTTATTATGGATAAATGAAACAAAACATTGATTTTGTTTCCTCTGTGGATCACCCTATGTGATATATCTCATTGTCTTAATACTTAACATGTCTCAATTGAGATTTGGACACTGAGGTTGATCCACTTAGGATCTTAGGGTTATAAGCATTTCAGAGACACTGATACGTTGTATCCTCTCTACAGTACAGTTAATAAAGTTGCAGTGTATCACTGTTTATGCTAGGATACATGTTCATTCAGTGTCTAAAATATCAATATATGCTTTTCCCTGTAGTTACAACCTTTTTCATACTTTTTACTAATCTATAGGTATATTTTTGTATCAGTTGGCGTTCTCTTTACCATCACTACCAGATTCATTGGGAGCCTCACCTTCTTTTAAGGGGAGTTATCCAATTATTGTATCTTTGCATTTTTTATGTAAATATTTGGGTTCAAGCCCACATTTAGGTGGGACTGGTACCACCATCCTGACCTTTGTACCCTAGTCTCTGATTCAACAGCTTGCTGATCAGGGACGAAGGGTATTTAAATATATATATTTTGAAAATCTATATATCCCCTTTGCTGTGAAGATTTAAACTGAAAGACTTGATTAAAATACATTGAGTTTTCCTGGGTGTGTTATTTCTAATGGAACTTTTCCCCAGATCTGAGAGAGATAAGAGAAAAGCAGAAACTTGGTGACAAGTCCATGGCAGTTTGAGACCTGAGAAATATCTAGCCTTACTCTGTTCATGAAATAAAACGTGATTTTAATAATTTTGCGTTATTTGCAAGAGGTGGGGGATCACCAAACAAGCTTAAAGGACCACTATAGTGCCAGGAAAACATACTCGTTTTCCTGGCACTATAGTGCCCTGAGGGTGCCCCCATCCTCAGGGTCCCCCTCCCGCCGGGCTCTAGGGTGAGGAAGGGGTTAAACTTACCTCTTTCTCCAGCGCCGGGGAGCTCTCCTCCTCCTCCTCCTCTTCGGCTGAATGCGCAGGAGCCGCGCGCGCATTCAGCCAGTCTCATAGGAAAGCATTCTTAATGCTTTCCTATGGACGCTGGCGTCTTCTCACTGTGAGAAGCGCGGAAGCCCTCTAGCGGCTGTCAATGAGACAGCCACTAGAGGCTGAATTAACCCTATTATAAACATAGCAGTTTCTCCAAATGGTAGAATTCTCTGAAACTGCTATGTTTATAGAAAAAAGGGTTAACCTTAGCTGGACCTGGCACAAAGACCACTTCATTAAGCTGAAGTGGTCTGTGTGCCTATAGTGGTCCTTTAAGCCTCTGCCTATATCTGCCATTATAACAAGACTATAAAGTCAGCATTTGTAAGTTGTTATATTTATAATCTTACATATGTTTTTTAAAACCAAAAGTAAATAATTTTGCAGGTTAAAACCTCCTTGTAATATTAAAACAATTGAATAAACCTACCCCTTTGTCGTAGCAGTCGGCAGGCGCTCCTTGAACACAACATTTATCCACCAAGGTGACTATAGCTTTCACAATGTGATTTATTTCTTCAAATGTTGCATTTGAATATTTCCTGCTGTTCATAATGATTGCTCTAAAAAGAGACAAAAGCAATAAAATGACATTTCTGCAAATGTAGCTTGTGATATCACAGGCAAAGAAAACTCAAATTCTGTAACAATCAAAGTGCTTCAATGAGGGTAGACTTGCTGCAAAAGAAAGAGATTAAGATCGTGTGAGGCAAAATGATGCAGGGAACGTGTTAAATGGAGAAGTTGTAGTTGTGGTTAATGTAATGTGAATGGAAAATGGAAGGATAATTCCTGGAATAATAAGTGACAATGTGAAGAAAAAGATAAGGTAACATCCTTGCATTGGTGTGACAGAAAATGAGACACACCTCCCAAGTGTGCCTATTTTGGAGGATCGGTTCTTATTGAGTCTCATTGAGTCTCTAGTAAATTTCTAGAAGGAAGAGAATATGGTTGCTGAGTAGTCATGGGTGCAAGATTTTGGCAATTGAAGCAATCTGGGATTGTGGAGTTGTGTGTGTGAGTGTGTGTGAAAAAACTAAAACCTTATAATTTCTATTAAATATGACACATTAGATTGTATGTATACTTTTTAATATTTAATACTAAGGTACGAAATCCTTACAACCGTTGGCTAATTGTGTATTATGTAGTAGGACATTGATCTTACTTAAAGGGACACTCTAGTACATACCTGTTTTATGAATTGGGAGCTAAGCTAATGATTGGCTAGAGTGGTCAGCTGATTCTCTAAGCCAATCAGCGGCGCCTCTGCCTGGCTGCACTCCGTGCTTCCTGTAACTCAGGTTCAGTAGCCGGTTGACACCTTTGGAACCTTGAGATCGGCACTGGAGGTAGCCATGAGGGGTTAAACCATTCAATAATCGTTTAACCCCTAGAATGGTTTAACCCCTCAAGGTAAAAGTATGCCCGGGGACCTTCTGGCGGCATAACAACTTAATTTAGATGAAGTTGTTATGGTGACTAGAGTGTCTCTTTTAAAGGAGCACTGCACATGAATAAAGCACTTCAGTTTTCCGGAACTGGTCATTTTTATTTCTTTTTTCAAAAGAAATCAGCAGTTTTATAATTGTGGAAGAAACACCTTAGTTTTGCTCCTCTTCCATTAGCTAGCACATGCCTGCTTTCCCCTTCTAAATGAGATAAACTAAAACTCATTGCATAGTGTGCTCCAGCAAAGAGACTTCATATGAGAATACACCACTCATTTAAAAAAAAAAATAGTTTTCAATCGTTGGGTATTGTTCAGGGAAATTTATCTAATGAAAATTGTGCAAGTGGCAAATACTGAAATTGCCCCTGTCCAAACTTCGACCCCCATCTTTTTAGATCACTTTACTAAAAAATATAAACTGTATGTAATGTGTATACTGACTGTATTCAATGTGTGTGGTGTGTTTTTTTCTTTTGCTGTATGTAATGTGTGAGAGGGGAACTTGCTGTATGTAAAACCACCTGCCTAATATTGTGTAAGTACCCTTCATGCTGCCAAAACAGTGCTGATCCCTTGAGGCACAGACTCCACAAGACCTCTGAATGTGTCCTGTTGTATCTGGTACCAAGACATTAGCAGCAGATCATTTAAATCCTTCAAACTGCAAGGTTGGGCCTTTTTTTGTTGTTCCAGTACATCCCACAGATGTTCAATCGCATTGAGATCTGGGGAATATGGAGGTCAAGGCAACACATTGAACTATTTATCATACTCCTTAAACTATTCCTGAACACTTTTTGTAGTGTGGAGGTGTGCATTACTCTACTGAAAGAGGTCACTGCCTTCAGGGAACAGCATTGCTATAATGGGGTGTATGTGGTCTGCAACAATATCTAGGTAGGTGTTACATATTAAAGTAAAATCCACATGAATGCCAGAAACCCAGGTTTCCCAGGAGAACATTGCCCAGAGCATAATAGTACCCCTGCAGGCCTTCCTTCTTACCATAGTGCATCCTGTAGCCATTTCTTCCCCATGGAAATGATGCACACAGACCCAGCCAGCCACCTGATCTAAAATAAAACCTAATTCACCAGACCAGGCAACATTCTTCTTCCATTGTTCCATGCTCCAGTTTGAACACTCAGATTTGTTGTCCACACTGAAGGCACATTTGATAGTGGACAGGAGTCAACATGGGCACTCTGACTGGTCTGCGGCTATGCAGCCTCATATGCAGCAAACTGTAATGAACTGTGTAATCTGGCACCTTTCTACCTTGGGCAGCATTAGATTTTTCAGCAATTTGAGCTACAGTAGCTCTTCTGTGTGATTGTACTAGGTAGGCTAGCCTTCGCTCCTCACATGCATCAATGAGCCTTGAGCACCCATGAGCCTGAGGTCAGCTTACCGGTTGTCATTCATTTTGGTAGCTCAAATTCTGTATCTCTGTGTATATGGTATACGGATGTATAAAAGAACAAGTGACTTGTGCAGTGACCAAAGAAGTTTGTTTGATTCCGTATTCAGAGATCCACCTGTGGTGTCAAAAAAGAACGATGATTGATGGGGGAAAAGATGATTGATGGCTAAGGGACCAACACTAAATGCTGTCACTATACTGATCCAACTCTTTTCCTGTAATTTGTTACATTTTCTCACCTTTTTTGTTTTTTCAGAATGTTTCCATGAATATTTTTCCATGGACAATATTTGGTCAAACTGAACATCACATGAATGATCGTTGGATGTCCCTAACAAAATTAACATTTTGTGAAAAATGATTTTGCCAAACCGAACTTTTGTGATGTGAAATGGTCTGTTTGTTCTTGTTCTACTGTTTTGAAGATGCGTGAAATGAGCAGCTGACTCCTGTGCTCCCTGGAAGCATTGTGTTTAAAGGCTCATTATAACTTGTAGGTACTGCATTAACATATCCACTATTTTTACTATGCTTTTTGTATATCTAACAACAAGAAATGTAAAAAGTTAAAAAGTAGCTATATGTAAGATGTACTTTATTAGGTAAAAAAAGTTACCCGTGTTTTGTTTTGTACTATAGAAAGGGTCTATGTGCCCTCGTGCACTGTCTATTTTGCTGTTAAGTTTCCTAAAGAGATGAGTACAAGTGTATTAACTAACTCTTATTGACGTCCCATCCTTAAAAAAGAATAAAGTGGAAACATAGCTGCTTTCTTGCGACAGCCTGATCCACGTCCAGCGATGTCACTTTCCCTTGCTGGAGGGACAGAGATGTCAGGAGGCTGGTCGTGACTTGGCCAGCATGGAGAGGACGGCCATGTTGCCATTGGTCATCAGACATCAGCATGCTGTGTGCCTGATGTCAGACAACCAATATGCATGGAACCAGCCAGGAAATGTGGGTCCAAATTGTCTAATAATGCACTAATGAAGCTGCCATAGGTGGAGTTACAGCAAAGGGCTATACTTGTGTATCTGCATTGTTTTATAGAGAAATGGTCCGGTTGTTTGAACTAACACTTTAAACTTTTTTTATTTTTTTTTAAATTGCATTTTTGTTGGAAGAATTAGCAGAATCCAAAAGAAGAAAGAACAAAGCACATTTTTACATTGGTTTTCTGATGTTCTAATAGGCGTTTTTAAAATAATACATCTTTTTCATGGAAATAAACAGACAAGTATAGATAATAATTATTTCACTACCATTATCTTGAGTCATAGTAAATTGAGGATTATTTTAGACATAAACTTTATTCTCTATATACAGACGTTTTCTAGAACATTGGATGCTGTCATAGTAAAGAGTTAGAGGTCTTTGAGTCCCTGGTGGGAAATGTTACTCTTAAGCAGAAAACACAAAAGAGAAATACCACAAAAAAAGACTGATGTCGGATTGAATGCAACTTTGTATTTATGTGATTTCTATCTTTCTTTTTCTCTTTTATTCTTTTGGGCATTAAGTCTATTGAAAGGGTCTGCAGCATCTGTGATTTCTTTTTATTTGCTCTTACTAAGTAGACGTGCATAACATACTCCGCAAAAACATATTTGAAGTGCTTTTGAAAAAAATAAAAATACCACACTACATACCAAACAAACTGCACAAATTGGATTGCTAATCTCTATTAAAAATAATTACTTCCCCTAATTCTACTAAGTAATGTATAATAAAAAGAAAATAGATTCATATAAAAAAACAATATATATAATTTAAAAAACATGAAACATGTACCAGTCTTCTAACTATTAGAAAAGTGTTTTGTTAGTTAGGGTTTTAATTTAAATTATTAGGAATTTTAGATGAACATAATAACTTCATCTGATATAATGAAACCAAAATATTTGTGCTCCTTTAACAAAATGAGTGAAAAAACAACTCTCTTAACCAGATTTTTTTTTTTTTTTTTTTTTAACTATAAAATGTTGTAACTGCGAATTAGTTAAAAACAACATGGAAAAAATGGATAATATGACATATTACAAATAATCTTATATGGAATTTTTTTTTTTAAATTGCCTTTTCTTACCTATATTTTGAAAAGGGTATTTCAAATTACTATAGCGAGTAGTTTAAAGTAAACCTGTCAGGGTTAAAGGGACACTGTAGGCACCCAGACCACTTCAGCTAATTGAAGTGGTCTGAATGCAAACTCCCATCACCCTTAACCCTGAGTATTTGTTTATTGCAGTTTTTATAAACTGCAATAATTATCTCCCCCTCTAGTGGCTGTCTACCAAACAGCCACTAGAGAGACTTCCGGATGTTTATATGACTTTTGGTTGTTTAAACGACGCTGGATGTCCTCACACTATGCATGAGGACTCCCATCATCGCCAGAATCCCCATAGGAAAGCATTATTTAATGCTCTCCTATGGGGAGATCCTAATGTCAGCCATGCCATTGCCGCGACATTAGGTCTCCCCTGCCGGCGGACGTCAGCAGGGGAGGAGCGTGGGTGGAGCTTACTAACCCCCTTCTGCACCACGGGAGGGGGCCTTGACAGACGGAAAAGCTATAGTTCCCCTTTAAAGGGACACTCCAGGCACCCAGACCACTTTTGCGCATTGGAGTGGTCTAGGTGCCAAATCCCACTACCCTTAACCCTGCAACTGTAATTATTGCAGTTTAAACTGCAATAATTACCTTGCAGGGTTAAGTCCTCCCTTAGTGGCTGTCTACTAGACAGTCACTAGAGGGCACTTCCTGGTCCATAGCACAGGTTTTCTGTGCTATAGCGTCGCTGGACGGCCTCATGCTGTGTGAGGACCTCCAGCGTCACTAAAATCCCCATAGGAAAGCATTGAAAAGCATTTTCAATGCTTTCCTATGGAGAGGTCTAATGTGCGTGAGCGGCATTGCTGCGCATGCGCATTAGGTCTCCCCAGCCGGTGGGCGTGATCAGTCTCCCCCGCCGGCTGACATAATGAAGGGGAGGAGCGGCAGCGGAGGAAGAAGCAGCGACGAGGGACATCATCGCTGCCTTTGGTAAGTGACTGAAGGGGTTTTCACCCCTTCAGCAACCGGGGATGGGAGGTGGGAGGGAGAGGGGACCTGCAGTGCCAGGAAAACAGCTTGTTTTCCTGGCACTGGAGAGTCCCTTTAAATATATAACAGCTCCCAAGTAAATATGTAATTTCTCATTGTGATAAATTCTATTTACCACCCGCTGCCCCTCTATCCATTGCCACTATTATTGGAAGTCTGTGTATGATACACTGTTGTAACACTCCCCTTGCACTGCCACTCCATCTGTTGTGATTGGCCCAGTTTGGTGATAAAATCCTCTATAATGATGCAAATATATTGACTCCTTTCCAGCATGATGGCATCAATGGGTCCTTTATTCCTCCAACAAGCATGCAAAATCCTTGTTGGGGGTTGAGCACACTGACAAGGAGCAAAAAAACTGCCTGAGAGAGGGCTGTTTTGCTCTTCCTGTATTTTAGGTCTCTCCTTAGACCTGTAAACCGTTGGCATACATGCCTAACAAGGATTGATTGACTTATGGGCTAGGGACCAAAACTAACTTTAAAATAGCATTACATTACAAATGTATACTTCTATACATTTGCTAGCATTTCTGCTAGCACATTATATAGATTAAACTAAATGGTGTTTAATTTAAAGGGACACTCCAGACCCCTAAAGCACAGTTTGCTGAAGTGCTTTATGTTTGAATACTGTGTCCTTTTTTATCTTACACAATGTGCAGATTTTAATAGAAATTGGCACGTTTATAAATTAACATTGTTGCACCTCCCTGGATGTCAGACAACCAGTTTTGTTACTTCCTGGTTAATAAGCTCAGTGGAGCTAAGCTCAAGAGGTAGACAGATGCCCAGAATACTGGTCTTGGAAAGACTTCTCATGGAGCTGCATTGGGAAGTCTGTACTAGCAAGTCTGGGCTGGGGAAGAAACCTGAAAATTTAACAAGCTGTTTTTAACCCCTTAAGGACACATGACATGTGTGACATGTCATGATTCCCTTTTATTCCTGAAGTTTGGTCCTTAAGGGGTTAAATAGACCCCCAATAAACAAAAATGTGTAATTAAATGCATGCATGTTTAGGGTATATCTACTAATCAGTGATTATTATTATTATTATTTATTTTATTTTTTTGTATTTGGGAAGTGAAGTGTCCTTTTTAAGGTCAACTTGTGTGTACAATAATAGTTACAATAAATAGACCCCTATATAATAAACATTCATTTGTGATTATATTAAGCAAATATTTATTGCAAATTCTAGTCTGTAGATTTCTAAAACATGTTTATTATTAAAGGGACACTATAGTCACCTGAACAACTTTAGCTTAATGAAGTAGTTTTGGTGTATAGAACATGCCCCTGCAGCCTCACTGCTCAATCCTCTGCCATTTAGGAGTTAAATCCCTTTGTTTATGAACCCTAGTCACACCTCCCTGCATGTGACTTGCACAGCCTTCCATAAACACTTCCTGTAAAGAGAGCCCTATTTAGGCTTTCTTTATTGCAAGTTCTGTTTAATTAAGATTTTCTTATCCCCTGCTATGTTAATAGCTTGCTAGACCCTGCAAGAGCCTCCTGTATGTGATTAAAGTTCAATTTAAAGATTGAGATACAATTATTTAAGGTAAATTACATCTGTTTGAAAGTGAAACCAGTTTTTTTTTTCATGCAGGCTCTGTCAGTCATAGCTAGGGGAGGTGTGGCTAGGACTGCATAAACAGAAACAAAGTGATTTAACTCCTAAATGACAGTGAATTAAGCAGTGAAATTGCAGTGGAATGAACTATACACTAAAACTGCTTCATTTAGCTAAAGTAATTTAGGTGACTATATAGTGTTCCTTTAATGTAAATAATATATTAATATATGATATTATGTAAACATCAATTATTATTTGAAATGACCATTTTCATTTTATTGTAAATAATCCCCTTATGTATAATTTTTCACCCTAACCTATTAGTAAAATATTGTTATATTATTTAGTGGAAAGTGTAATACTCAAAAATGGCATTTAAATTCTAAGACAGGCATATTGAGTGGTAAAGACAATTTTACAGAGCCAAAGCATCATGAATTTTTAAATACTGAGTTATCATATAGCCATGCATGGATTAGTTACTGTATTATGTTTTGTTTAGTATCATTTGTCATCTGCATTTCATCATAGTGAACTTACGAGGCTTCAAATTGGTCTTTTCCCATCATTTTATATTCTTGGCAAACTCTATCTCTTTGATATGGTTTTCCTGAAAAGAAAAATAACAAAAAAACATGAAATGACTGAAGCAAGAGAAAGGAAAACCATAACACGCCTCTTCATAAACACATCACTTTAAATATGTCTTTTAAATGCAAATAAAGTCTAAAAATCTGTGAAAAAAACCTCTTTTTTCCCCCAAGTATTTTCCAATTTGTGCGTGTGATGTATATTATATTTAAAACCACATATCTTTCTCTCACTCGTAGTGTATTGGTCTTAACTGTTGTTAGAAGTAAGTTGAAAGTTGACTTCAAATTATACAGGGATATTTACTAAAGTGAGAATTAAAAATTTACTTCAAATTTAAGGCCAGGGTAACTCAATGGAAAGCATGGCTGACTTAAGGATATTTTACAGTTCGTATATTTTGAACTGAAATTTTAAATTTACTTTGATTTCATCTTGAATTCTCGTTTTATTGAATAACACTGATAGATATAGACGTAAGTCAGTATTTCTTACTAAGCCGCGTTGGAGATTTATTTAAAAGGATTCTATAGTGCCAGGAAAACAAAGCCGTTTTCCTGGCACTATAGAATCCTACAGGTGCCCCCTCCTTTGCACCCCTCCCAACTTACTTGAATCCAGCACTGCCCAGCGTCAGCTGGTGGGAAAGACCTAATGTGTATGCGCGGCAATGGCCGCACTCACATTAGGATTTCCCCATATTCAAGGCTTTCCTATGGTGAAAAATCTGATGCTGGAAGTCCTCATGCAGAACATGAAGATGTCCAGTGCCAGATACCGGATCAATGGTCTGTTTCAATTCAGGAAGTCCTTCTGGTAGATACTAGATGTGGAGTTAACCCTCAGAGGTAATTATTGCACTTTCTCAAGAATCCAATATACTTGGCAATTAATTTGGCCAGAGATGGGGGGAGGAGCGCTATGACGCAGCACGTATTGCTGCGTCCTCGTGGTACACGGCTAAGGGAGCCGACCCTAAGAAAAGGGGAGACGACCCGATCTACGTGGCGTGCCACTCAGGGAAACTCTTAGAGCTGTGTACAATGGACAGAGAGGACCCGATGTCGCACTGAGAAGCAGGGAGATGCAGGGAGCTACTTCCTATGCTGGGCAGGATATTACCCTGACACTTCACCGGACAAAAACATGCAGTGCGAAGCTGAACCGGAGTGCACCTCCAGAAGCTGAGTATCTAATAAATTACACCTATTTGTTTACATTCTGTAGAGGCTAGTATAAACAGTCAGTTATATGGTCAGTTCTAAATTGAGTTAAGGTGCCCTAAGGGTCTTTGCTTTCCCTTAACCTTTTTTTTCCATTTGGCTTTTTTCTGATTTTCTTTTTTGTTGTCGCATCATACCACCTTATTACTCCCCTATTCCTGATTTTTAGCGTGGTTAGTTTGGTTATTCCAATATCGCACAAAGATAGGAATAAGGTAACGTACAATAGAATAAAAAGATAAAACTTAGTTGCAGAGGAGAAGGCTGGGACAAAGATGAGGAGGAGAGAGGCCTTCGGAGAAGAAAACATAAAATATAAAAAGATACTACACTAAAACAAAAAAAAGCTCTAGCCTAAAAAGCACTAGCCTAAAGAGAATGAATACATTTTAAAAAAATGGCTACGAAAAAAAACACAAAACGACAAACACCTAAAAAAAGGGAAAAAAGCCTGAAAATAAAACAGAAAAACATCTTCCTTTCTTCTCACCGAACCCATCAGGTAATAAATCAAACCTGGAGGAATCTATTCTCTCAAATATCCCATCAGAAGGAGTCATTAATAAAGGACAAAAGGAGGAAAACCAAGAGGCAAGAGAAGGAAGAAAAGAATATGACCACCTACTTACACCTTTAGATACACAATTTGGAAAATTGAGAGAAGAAATCCAAGCTAATACTCTGGACATTAAGAAGGAACTACTGATCCACATAGTCCACCTTGTCACTTCAAATGTGCTGTAGAAACCGCGCATAACCATGCATTATCAAGCTGTTTAATATGACGTGCCTAACCTGTTGTAAGATTAAGCCTGTTTAACCTTTAACATGCTTTCGAATCGTATAAGCCTGCTTAAACCTCACCAAGTTGTCTATTCAGTTTACCAAACCTTCGCTTAACCTATAATACAAAAATGTGCAAGTACTAACTCGGACCCTAATGTTACAACGGTTATAACGGTTTCTCGAAAAGCATGAGGATTGCCGTTGGGGTACCACATGCTTGTTTGTTTTATCTTAAAGCACTGCAAAAATAAAAATAAAATTTTAAAAAAGAAGGAACTACTGACTCTTAATCAACAATTCCAAGGAATAGAAGAAAAACTAGATGGGCTGGAACACAAGGAAAAACTCCACAAGATAGAACATAAGGTGCTGTTAAAAAAAGATGGCTGACATGGAGTACAAATTGATAGACCTAGAGGACCGGTCAAGATGGAACAATTTACGAATCCGAGTATCAGAACAAATAAATTCTAAAAATCTGGAGCCATATATAGAAGAATTTTTTAAACATCTGAAAGTGGAATGGGACCCCAGCATCCCTATGATGGGAAGATGCCACAGAGTGAATAAACCTACAGGTGTCCCAGAATATCTCCCAAGAGATGTACTGATAAGCTGCGTCTCTTCTAAAAGACACAAATTTTAAGAGCTATAAGAATTAATAATTGCGCAGAGGAATACGAAACATGGCAAACCAGACAAAAGAGGAAGACATTTTCTGATGGTACACTAATTCTAAGACAGAACAATATTAATTACGTATGGGGGTTCCCAAACGAAAATTATTATATCACACGAAGGGAAGATTACTCCCATTAATAGTGCAGAAGATCTAAAAGGAGGGTTAACTAAGAACAAAATTGGAAGCAGCTCCAACCACTAGCCAACTAACAGCGAGGCCCCAAATTTATGAAAGAAAAGGGCATTAGCGGCACTCAACCTCTTAAAATAGGAAGAGAAAAAGAACCATATTTGGAATTCAGAGGGAAATAATGCATGAATACAGCTATATATTTTTTGTTGTTGCTTTTTTTGCTCTTTAACGACTAATAGCACAAAGGGATAAAGGGGATAGTCAGGGAAATATACACAACAAGTAAATGAAAAACGAAAAGAGAGAGAAATAATAGAGAAATGTAAATTAGATTAGAAATTGATTAAGTAGACACTTAGCAAGATAAGTTATGCACAAAGTGAAGGAAAATATGTAACATCTACATAGACAGAACGGAAAGGATAGAACGTAAACCGGTCCTTAGAATGGCCAGACTAATACGTTAGAGACAGAGAAGTGTCAAGGGATAGCCGAGGTCAAGGAAGCCAGGAATACACTGTACCGTAAAACAAGCCAAGTCAGTGAAGCCAGAAATCAGAGTAGTCAGGAATAGCCAAGGTCAAAATACCGGAAATAGCAATAACAGGAATAGAAAACGCACTCTTGGGAACCAGGACAGGAAACCACGACAGAGCAAAGAACTGGAAAGCTTCAGGGATTTAAAAACGCCTCCTTAGACTGTAATTGGTCAGAGGTCACCCTCTGACCCTAGAACATGCGTGTGCGTTGGCGTTGTGACATCACACGCACGTTCGTGTAACCCTGGGGGCGGAGTTATCGATGGTCGCGACCACATGACTGGCACCATCTTTGAATCGGGCAGGTTGCCAGGTGGAGCAGCTCCTGACTCGCCGCTGAGCAGGTAAGCTCAGTCTGTCGGCGCGTTCGTGCCAGTCGGGCGCGATAGCACCTTGCGGCGCGCAGGGGGCCGTGACAATAACACAATGCACACTAAAATTCAAATTAGAATAAAAGGAAGTTACAAATTCATTGAAAGGTATACACCCACACAGAGAGGAAAGAATGCTTTTCCCACATGACACGTGGGACCTATATCTCAGAAATGTTTTGTATTACTCGAAATACTGTATGGCTTTTTTTTTTTTTTTTTTGCCATACATCATGTTTGTCTTAGGTTAATGCCATTGCTTGGGATCAACCTGTCTTATTTTTATGTACTCACAAATAAAGACTTAAAAACATTTTTTTTTTTTTATTAAACTTTGGGAAATTTTGGAGAGAGACAGCCTCGAGAACAGAGGTCTAGAATTGTGGACTTCGTGATAAAAAATCGGGTCAAATTTGTGCCCTGTAAGAAACACACAGGATAAGATCTAATAAAAATATAATTAACTCATCAAGATACCCCACTATTACAAGTGCGGCTCTAGAAAACAAAAAAAAAAGAGGCGTAGCATTTGTTTGCAAAAAATGTCTCCCTAATCATAAAAAAAAATCAACATTGGGGGGGCGGAGCCAACTGTTAAACAGAGCGGACACAAAGCCCTGAGCTCTGTGCCCAAATCGGCTAAAAATCGAGAAAAGCACGGCCAATCAGGTGGAATAAAGGGGAGAGAACAGCACCATAACCCGCACCTCACTCTGGAGCAGAAAATGGGTCGCAAAACAAAAAAACCCAGAGCCGATAAAGGCCCCAACACGAAAGACATTGGTGAGCTGCTGAGACACTCCCAACAGGCCGCATGGGCAAAGATGGCGCTCCTCATGCTCCTCGGAGGACGCACCTGCAGACCTAGGCAAGGGGGCGACATGTAGCCGACCGGCAGAACCTGTCCGCAAATCACCGGGGACGGGAGACCCGGTCACCGCCGAGCAGCTCAGGAGTATGCTGGCTGAGCTGCGCGGGGACATAGCGGCAGACATGGCGTACTATAAGGGCACCATCAAAGGGGCTACTGTAAAAATCACACGCCTCGGCCAACACACAAGACGCTAGGCTGACAGTAATAGAGCAACAGATGGCCAACATACAACAGCAGCAACTCAACATCAGAGAGCGGATGGACCCACTAGAGGAACAGAGACGGAGGTACAATCTAAAAATCAGGGGCATTCCTGACACAGTGGGCACTGCAGACATACCCCACTTCATCAGACACTTGTTTACAGCTCTACTGCCTCCAAAACAGGTGAAACTGCTGCATATTGACGGGATGTTTAGATTGCAGAAACCTACAACTGCCCCAGTGTCGGCCCCTGCAGATCTTATCCTCCGCTTTCAGAGCCTCCAAGCCAGGGTTCAGCTACTCAATGCCCTGCATGGGAAAACCCCGCTACACTTTGAAGGGGCAATGATTCAAGTATTCCCTGACCTGACAAAAGGTACCATCACTTGGCGGAGATCCCTCCAACCTCAACTCCTACAACTCCGCTCCAGGAACATCCTCTACCGATGGGGCACTCCACGTATCCTCCTAATCACTCACGAAGGGAAAACATATCGAGCACAAAGCCACCAAGAGCTGGAGATACACTTGCGCACCATGGGACTGTCAGAACCCCAACCAGTAACCGCTTCAGGACTGTCCCGGCTGAACCCAGCCACCATCGCTGAATTCACCCCCTGGAAGCCACAGCACGCTACACCAGACAGAGAGCCAACTTGAGAGACTGCTCCCGGAGGAGGAGAGAACTGCAGGCCCCCACTTACCCAACAGTGCTCTCAGCCAGGGTTCCTGATGGACTGCCCTCCACCTTGAAAGTTTTGTTCTGTTTATTTTATGTGGACTTTCATGCTTTCTTTTTTTTGTTTTAAGTTGCCCTCCAAGTTCCCTGAGTTCTTTCCCACACATAGAGCCCTGCATGTCTGCGTCACATGGGTCTATGCACCAACACCGCACTCATACATTTGCCACACTAGACCCATGAAGGTGTACCATGCACCAGTGCAACCAGAGACACCACTCCCTACACAGCTGTAACAAAGCGCAATACACCCGCACATAACGCAATCACATACGAGTAATGGTCATACCAGCAATGGCTCCGATCTACCCCCCCCCTACTCTCCACAATAGCGTTGAACTAACTAGAGACACAACTGTCATCGGAGGTATCTACTAACGTGCCCGAGGGGCTAAATTTACTGTCTTAGACCTGCTGACTCACGCTTACAACACACAAAAAAATCACCCTGCATGTTGATGTACAAATGCAAATAAATAAGTATGTAAAAATGTATGCAAACCTCGTAGGCAATGGCCCATAAACTATATGTTTGAACACCATGCTGAGTGACAAAAATAAAGAATGATAAATTAAAAAAAAAATCAACATTATTCTAATATGTGAAATAAATAATACGCCATTCACATTAGTTACGCACCAAATAAATCTACAATAAAATGTATCACAAAAGTGTTTAAGAAAATAGAGCAGATTAAACAAGGGTTGGTTCTAATTATGGGGGACTTTAATTGCATAGTGGACCTTTTAACCCCTTCAGGACCGAGGATGGTTCAGGACAGTCATTGACATTTTTGCTTTGCAGACCGGTGACGGTCCTGAACCGTCCTAACGGTTCAATGTACTTACCCGATCGCCGTCGTTCCCCCGGCGACGATCGGCGGTGCTCCCGTTGTGGGGAGACTGCCTGCAGCCCAAACAGTCTCCCCATGGCGGATTAGGACCCCTGGGGCCATGTGATCGCTATACAGAGCGATCACATGGTCACAATAGGTGTCCATGTGTATGCCTGCAGGGGAACTGCCTGTGCTGACAGGCAGTCTCCCTGCAACTGTAAAATAAAAAAAATAAAAAACAATAACGTTACATAGTTACATAGTTACAAAGTTACATAGCTAAAAAGAGACTTGCGTCCATCAAGTTCAGCCTACATCACATTTGTGTTTTGCTGTTGATCCAACGTTAATGTTAATAAAAATATAAATTATATATATGTGTGTGTGTATGTATATGTGTGTGTGTGTGTGTATATATATATATATATATAATGTCTATATATCATATATATAATGTCATACTAAGTGTATTTTTATATTAATATGTACATATATTAATATAAAAATACACTTATAATTAAATTACACACGTGTGTGTATATATATATAATATATATAATAACTACATATATTGTATATAAATATTATTATAAAATACAAATAATAAGTAATTTAAATTAAATACATTAAATGTAAAAATAATAAAAATAAAAAATATATCTATATGAAATTTTATTCTAACTGTATTTTGATAGTAATATATATATATATATATATATATATATATATATATCAAAATACACTTAGAAATAAATTGTATATATATCTATGTATATATAAATAAAAATAATACGAAATATACATATATCCATATATTTTTATTTTTTATTTTACATAAATAATTATATAAATATACACGTAGACCTCAAATATATAAATATGCATATGTATTTAAGTTCTACGTGCGTATTTATGTAATATTTTTACATAATTAAGTAATTTTATTGATTGTAATTTGAGGGACCTGCCTGCCAACCCAGGTCCAGAGAATTTAATTTTCTAGCACTATATTTTACCCTGTAACTTTCTATGACACCCAGTGGGGGGTACTGTTTTACTCGGAAGTCTTCGCTAAACAAAAATATTAGTGATTCAAAACAGTAAAACATATCACATTGATGATATTGTCAGTGAAAGTGACTTTTTTTGCATTTCTCACACACATACAGCACTTTTACTGATGATATAATTGTTGTGATACATTTTCCTGTTTTGATATTTGAGTTCAGCAAAGTCTCCCGAGTATAACAGTACCCCCATGTACAGGTTTTATAGCGTTTTTGAAAGTTACAGGGTCAAATATTTTTACATTGAAAAAGGCCAGGTTGGTTACGTTGCCTTTGAGAGCGTATGGTAGCCCAGGAATGAGAATTACCCCATGATGGCATACCATTTGCAAAAGAAGACAACCCAAGGTATTGCAAATGGGGTATGTCCAGTCTTTTTTAGTAACCACTTGGTCACAAACACTGGCCAAAATTAGCGTTCAATTTAGTTTTTTTACTTTTTTCACACACAAACAAATATGAATGCTTACTTTGGCCAGTGTTTTCGACTAAGTGGCTACTAAAAAAGACTGGACATACCCCATATTGAATACCCTTGGTTGTCTACTTTAAAAAAATATGTACATGTGGGGTGTTATTCAGAGATTTATGACAGATAATAGTGTTACAATGTCACTATTGATACATTTTAAAAATGTATGTTTTGAAACCGCAATATCCTACTTGTACCTATAGCCCTATAACTTGCAAAAAGAAGCAAAAAAGCATGTAAACATTGGATATTTTTAAACTCAGGACAACATTTTGAATCTATTTAGCAGTTTTTTTTCATTCGCTTTTGTAGATGAGTAAAAGATTTTTCAAGTAAAAGTAAACAAACCTGTATTTTTTTAAATTTGTCATCTTTTTTTTTTTAAATTAAATTACATGAGATTATATAAATAATGGTATGTAAAGAAAGTCCCTTTTGTCCTGAAAAAAACAATATATAATTTGTATGGGAACAGTACATGAGAGAGCGGAAAATTACAGCTAAACACAAACACCACTAAAGTGTAAAGAGAGGCCTGGTCGCAAATGTACAACATCGCAAAAACAGTCCAGTCCTTAAGGGGTTAAAAGACAGAGCCAGAATGACAGAAAAAGCAGGAAAATAACTGAAAACAGATTGCAAAATGTACTAAATAATTATAATCTAAGAGATATATGGGGAACATTTCATCCCTCCGACCAAGATTACAAATCCTTTTCTAGAACATTCAATTCATACTCCTGAATTGACCTTATCCTGGGTAATGTGACCATGCTTTATCTAGTTAAAAGAATAGAGGTACAGGATATAGCATGGTCAGACCATAGTCCAATCATGTTGGAATACAAAGATAATTTTGATACATTGCATAAAGAGTGGCGTATAAAAGATTTTATATTACATAAAAAAACAATGTTGAAGAATTAAGAATATAACAAATATTTTCTTTTTAGAAAATAAAAACAAAGGTACTCTGGATATCACGGTCTGGTGAGCTTATAAAAGCATAGCTAGAGGCCACTTGAAAAAAATGGCAGCCACTGCAAATAAAAAAGAATTACCGCCTTTCTTTAAACTATATATAACATTAAGCGAATAGAAGAGGCAGAATAAAACAACACCTTCCACACAAATAGAAAGGAAGATTGCAGAAACAGAAAAACAGATAAATATTTAGCTAATGAATAAAGCAACCAAACAGCTAGAAGCACTACCATCCAAGTGGTATCCAAAGGGTAACAAGCCAGAAACACTAATGTCTAAAAAAGTAAAGAAAGTAAGACAGTCTAGTTTTAACCTAGTTTTTTTTACTATGCCAAACAAAATTCCTAAATGCCGCCTGAATCATAGAAAGCCAGCTGCTAGGGACTAAAAGGGGTACCATACGGAGGAGGACGTATGATCTTAAAATATTTATTCTTCCCCAGAATGAGAATTCCATCTTTCCCCAATCTTTCAACTGTTTAGATGTTTAAGAAGAGGTAAGACAATTTTTTGTTTGGGTCAGAGCATATCGTTATACCCAAGTATTTTTATGCTTGATGCCTAAACAAAATTGTATTTAGTTTTCAAGAGTTCTTTAGTTTGTATCAAAACATTATTTATTAAAGCTGTTGTTTTATTAAAATTATGCATATAGCCAGACACCTCAGAAAATTATTCTGTAACCTTAACTGTTTCTTCTAAGGAGTTTTCAGGTTCTTCTAAGGTCACTTTCACATCTGCATAAAGGTTCAATTTCAGTTCACCAGAGTTTGTACAGAACCCTTTAATCTTTTTATTAATTTTACAAAGTTACTTTTATAAATTTTACAATGTTACCAGGCTAGCAGACTTTTTCATATATTGCTTTCACAAAATATTGCTGCAATCCAAGAAACATGGTACCTAGACATGAATAAAATAAATTCATCAAAGAGCCACAAACTAAATCCCAAATACTCGAAGAGTTAACGGGTTGGTGGGACAAATTCACAAACAACATAGGACTCAGAAATAGAATAATAGATGTGCTCCCTTTTTCTAGTATTTCAGATATGTTAGACAACATAAAAATAGACACTTGGAAGACTGGGGGATAAGGGAATTTAAAAATATACTGGTGGAACATAACATTAAAACCTTCAATCAAATTATGGAGGAATTCAACATTCCCCCTCAAACACTTTTAACCATCACAAATTAAGGGCTTTTTAGCAGAATATCTCCTTCAAAATGAGGGGGGAAAAATTACAATCCTCAAACATCTACTTGAATTAAGGAACTATGGAAATCTAACAGCAAAATGTGCTAAAGTTATATACAGATGGAGACACAATAAACCGATAGAACTGATAAATACATGGGGAAAAAGAACTACAAGTACATATAGAAGAAGAAGAAGAGTGGATAAGCTCTCTAAATAAACTAAATAAATATGCACACTTACAGAAACCCAATTTAAACTCTCAAACAGATGGTACCTTACACTGAAACATTTAAAGAAAGTATTCCCAGAGTCATCAGACAGATGCTGGAAATGTAATATTAATGAAGGCAATTTAATCCACAGTTGGTGGCAGTGCACACCCATAAATAAATTCTGGAAAAATGTAATCTAGGTAATTTATCAAATAACTGAAATAAAATACGTTTTTAAGCCAGAAGTGGTTCTGCTAAACTTGTACTTGCTAAAAATGACAAAAAAAAATATTAATGATAATTTTACATATAAATACAGCAGCTAAATAACTTTTAGCACTGGAAAACAGGGATAATTCCACACATCCATGAAAGGAAACAGATAGGGGGCGAAAGTGGAGGGGAGGATGGGGATTCGGGTGGGGGGGAGGGAGTTTAAAAGGGTAGCATGATATATTTATGATGACTAACAAGAGTACCAAGGCCTGAAACACAGAAGTATTAGTAAAACTATACAAGGCAGGTACATGTCTGAAATATAAAAAAAAAATTAAAAATATTGCCGTTTCTCAGAAACTGCAATCTATACCACTGCAGGGTTAAGGTGCATGGGACAATGAGCTGAAGTGGTCTGGGTGTCTACAGTGTCCCTTTAAATGTGACTTTGTTGGTGCTTGTCAGCTCTACACATTCACTGATGAATGAATAACCAACTTTGGCTTTGGTTTAATATTTTTGGTTAAGTTTTCAGATCATTATATATCTTTGGATAAACCTTATAATTATTTCATAGTTTGAAACGTATATTTTAACATTTTAATTTCCATTATTTTTTTTATATAAATTTATTTGTTTTAATATATTAAATATTTTGAAATAATTATTTATTAAATCATTTGAAATGCTTATATGAAATACTAAATTAAGGCCTTTGTTGTTTAATTGTTAATAATTCTTTCCCCATAGTTAGATTCTTTGTTAATGTGACAATAAATATAGAAATAACATTTTGCATTATATCCTCCTAATGCACACTTTACTATTATATATCTTCTATATCTGATATTTTCTGGCTAGGTGTAACATAAGTGTTAATGTAGAGCAATGGTTACAGGTTAGTAAAGGTTACTGTTAGGGTACCTTAGGGTTGGTTAATGTTTTGTATTAGTGTAGTGTAGGGGTTTTGTGTGTAGTGTGGAAATAAATGTGTATTGCAATGTGATAAGATAACAAAGGGTTCATGTGTATTGTAGCATGTTAGGCTAGGGTAGGCATTAAGAGATGACTTTACTATAGGGGCAGCACTGGAACATAACTCAACCAATTCAACCAGAGAATAGTGTGAGTTACAATCCTGGACAGTAGCTATTTTACCTGCCATCATGGTAGTGGCAAGTGTTGCTTGGGGGAGTAACTCCCATTCATTTTGGGATATCCATATACTGGTTTTGCTTGAGCTTGAAGCTCTCAGACTGCACTAGGTTAATCCATGCATTATTACACTAACATGCTGCTAGGTACCCCTTTGTCTCTTCCTCATTTTCTTTTTTCCGATACATGTATTAATTAAAACATGCTAATGTGTCTAAATCCAAATATATTGCATAATGCATTTTTCATCAAGTAGTTTACACAAATGATAAAATAAATAATGCCAGAACACAATCATCTTACACAAGTTTTTTAAAAGCAAATATATTTGTTGTACCTCTGATGAAATGAATTTGCCAAATAAACAAGTGGAAAAAAAAAATACCCCAGCTTAAACAAACATCTGTATATGTGTATTTAAAGAGTTAATCGCCAAGGACACAGTAAAAACCACCAAGTGGATATTAATTGAGACTTTGATCTTTACTGTAAGGTTAACTCAATGGCGCATAAACCAATGTGACCAACAAAGGGTTAACATTGTGTGGGACTGGTGTAGCTTACAAAGGAGCCGTGTAACTGATTGTGTGCTTGTTTTGTGTTTTAAAATACAATTCTCCAACTCGTGATTCTTTGACTGGGTAACCCTGGTCAATGTGGCTGACTGTGAGAGTGCTTATCCCCGCAGAGCCTTCTGACATATACCAATACATTTCCCAGAGCTTTACCAAGGCTCTGTATGTACCACTATCCAGACACAAAGCACCAAATACATAATGTTGTGAGTATCCACTGATGTTACAGAGCGAGGATCCCTGGTAAACGGAATACTAGCCCTTTACAGCTTCGGTAGCTGAGGACATAATCTATCCAGTGGTTTCCTTAGCTTGATGAAGATTCTCTCCTTAACAGAGAGCTCCCCCCTTTTTTGGTTTTCCCTTATATAAATATAGGAACTTGTTCCCTTCCTCCTCAGCCATTTGTTCAGCTTAACATACTGACAGCAGGGGTGTGTAAGGGCCCAGCACACTGATTGGCACCCATTGTGTCACTGCAGTCTTCCACCAGGTCCTCACACTATGTTATATGTGTATCACAACTTAACATCTTCTACTGAATTACCTTCTCTTGTTCAATACTACCAGTATTTTCTTTTCCCTGCGTTTAGTCTTATGTAGTGTTTGGGTACAAGGTGGGAAGTCCTATTCATCACATTATCCAGCCTCTGGCTGCTGACTGAATGATATCACTGAAGAAGCTCAGGTTGCTAGGTGAGTAGCCATAAAGTACCAGGTTACTGTGGTAGTTTCTGGTGCTCCCTTGTGGCATTGAGAAGGGACAGTTGCAGTAGCAGGTTGGTCTGGATCCAAACACAGGGAGTAACGAGGCACCCTGTCCCTGTTACAAAGTACACTGTATATAATATTGCAGTGTTTTCTAATCTGCTATATATGTGTACATGTAGCAGTTTTATCAATAAAAAAAAAAAGCATTATAAGAAACTGATTGAATTTTAGGTTCTCAATTTGTGTTTTGTGGTTTAGTTTTATTAAATAAGTTAATTGCACAATATTTCACCGAACCCTTATTTTTGTTTGCTATCAAGCCTGTAATTGAATTAAAACAAATTGCTTTGGTGAAAGGGCACATTCGTGATTGTGACAAATAATACAAATAGGGAGCATATTGTGTAAAATATGTGAGGATATTTCTCCTTGTAATGAAGGTCAATTAAATCGATTATACTGGTACATTCAGCATTGCAACAAATAATCCATATAATAAAATAACTATAACCTTTTAATCACATAGCACAATTGATGTAAATTACTGTATTTCTCAGCTGTTGAAAAGATGTACATTCCGAACAGAAGTAGACCAGTACAGTTTTTTTTACTAAAGAATATGGCACTAATGCTTAGCGTGTATATATTTTATTATACATCCTTAAGGGTAGTGTAGTGGTTCTGGTGTCTATAGCCTGTCCTTGCAGGCGGAGCACTGGAAATGCCTTTTCAGAGAAAATGCAATGTTTACATTGCTGGCTAGTTAGAACTCTAGTGGCAGTCAGTCAGATAACCACTAAAGGTGTCTGTGTCAGTGCTGCAGCACTGGCGTTCTGCATTCTATGCTCTGCGTGGAGGCACTGAATATTCCCTAAAGAGATGCATTGATTCAAAGCATTTCTATAAGGTGAGTCTGATTTTGCTAAGAGAAAAAATTTGGATTACCTGAGATCATCAAGATTTATGATCTCAGCCATGGCGAGATTGACATAGCATGGGAAAAAGTTGAGTAAAAGCACCTTCTAACTGAGATTTAAGGGGGGCTGGGACCTAAATAGTTTGTATTCCTGACACTATAGTGTTACTTTAAGTTGACCTCAGAACAAATGGCATTATTTGTCCTGCATTTATTTTTTGGGGATATGTCTTAAAAGAGATCACAAAACCTGTGGCTGTTATGAACTGCAGCCTATGCAAGCATTCATATTTTTCACCAGAAGAGTATAACAGTCTTCTCTTTTAGACTCTGAAGCTTACCTTTCGTGCACATTCGTGCGCACAGCAGAGTATACTCATATAAGGTTTTGCTAGGAGGTTTGTGGGGGGAGGCAGGGGCGCTCCATTACAGCACACCTGCCACTTCCATTAGCTCAGGAGAGTTAAAGGAAGGAGGAAGAAACCTCCCTGATTGACAGCTAGGGGTGTATCATTAATTATTAATAAAAGTGCTGATTTCTCATAGAAGTACAAGCTCAAGGGGATGCGGTGAAGTTTTAAGCCTTGGATGGTGAGTAGTCTTAAGTCTTGATTTGTCTAAAGTTTAGAGAGAGAGTAAAGAGGAGAAATGTAATATCATTTAGTGTTCTATCTTGCAGAAAAAAAGTGTTCCATTAAAAATAATAAAATGCAAAAACATACAAAAATGACAAAATTATCATCTGTTTTTTTAAAGCGCTTTTTTAAGTGGTTTAAGTACCGTACATTTTAACTGTTTACATGTTTTTAACTGTTTACATGTTTTCATTGAACATTTCAGATTTGTAAGAAAAAAGGATGATATATTTATTATCTGGAAAAAATTATGTGTATGCCCTACAATCATCTTTCAGTATTTAAATAGGAAATAGTGGTTTCTCTTAAAGGGACACTAAAGCTTAGTGTAGTTGTTCTGTTGTGTATATAGCCTATTCCTGAGGATATATTCAGAGAATATACAGTGTTTACATTGACTTAGATTTGTATATATGCTCATTGCAAAATAACTGTAAAAAATAAAATAAAAATTCTTCTCTCAGTAATTTACACAATGTGTGGATGCAGTTTGCTACAAAGTAAATCTTGCCTACACTGAGTTTGGCAGGTCTTTCTAGAAAAAAAAAAGTATTCTAAAAGACGGTAGTGGTGATGGTGGACATTCCCTTGTTCATCCACCTATGATGAATTGGGAGAAACTGATATGACGCTGCTTTTATCAACACTTAAGGACAGTCACTTCTTTTTCGCAATAGGTTTGTTCATCAATTCTCACTCACTTTTCCCTTTCATTTTTTGAAAAATCTCCTGTTTTTAATTTAAATTCATTGATGAAAAAGGAAGCAGCTGAAACAGGAATGGAATTGATGATCCACTAACCAATTCCACCCTTCCTCTCAAATTTTTTTTTTTTTTTTTAAATCCTATTTTTCCAAATGAATTGGTACCACTGAAGGACGATCACTAATGCTACAGACTGGTTATATGAGAAATCTTTGTTCTTGTCAGGGTGGAATGGGTGAGTTGGTGTCAATTGCCCACTGACATTTTTTCTTTAAATTTTTGGATAAAAAAAGAAAAAGATTATAATCAATTATTCTATGGCAATTGAGGTTGGTGTTGCTGGAAATATACTGGTGCAAGTGGTTCCAAGGCAAGTGCTGAAGGATGTAAAGTTGCTTCTGGGTTGATTGGGTCCTCCCAGCATGTAATGATTACCTTTGATTTAACTAGGGACTAACGGACTACCAAGAGAATGTACCTAATTGGGTAAGCAGAGATCACATACCCTCACTAAATTTATTTTATAATTGACTGTGCTAACGAGCTGCCATCTATGTACATAATTTTAATTT